TGCACCTCATCAAAATTGTCTCATTGCAGAACAACTGGACTATGATCAAGTGGAGATGGCAGAAATGGCAGTGACAATGAAGGACCAGATGAATGCAGAACAGAGTGCTGCTTTTGAAGAGATCACCCAACATGCAGGTGATGGACAGACCTTCTGGCTTCAAGGCCCTGGGGGGACAGCAAAGACATTTGTCTACAAGGAACTCTGTGCAGAGCTGTGCTCACAGGGAAAGATTGTTCTCTGTGTAGCCTCCTCAGGTATTGCAGCTTTGCTCCTCCCAGGTGGCTGCACAGCACACTCAACCTTCAAGATACCAATCCCAGTGCATGATACCTCAACATGTAACATACCAAAGAATGGGCTATTGGCAGTGATGCTGAAGGGGGCAACACTCACAATCTGGTATGAAGCCACAGCACAGCATCGCCACTGCATAGAGGCTGTGGATCAAAGTCTACGTGACATCTGAGATCAGCCAACCCTTCCATTTGGTGGCATGTCAGTGGTGTTTGGTGGTGACTGGCAACAGACACTACCTGTGGTGCTACATGGGGAGCAGGAAGACATTGTAGGGGCCTGTATGCAATGCTCTCATCTGTGGCAGAGCATCAAGATCCTTTGCCTTTCTCAGAACATGTGCCTCAGTGCTCAGGATCCAACAAGTGCTGCATTTGCAAGCTGGCTTCTTGAAGTAGGAAGTGGACATGCCTCCCATGCCAATGGAATGCTCAACCTTTAGGATGGAATCAAATGCAAGACTTCAGTGGACAGCCTGATCACATCATCATATCGAGACATCAAGAACCATGAGCTTGGAGGACCAAATGGAGATGACTACTTCCTCAATTGAATGATTCTTGCTGCACACAACACAGATGTCGATGATCTCAATGCAGAAGTACTTGCATGCCATCCTGGAGAAGTCATCACCTTCCTCTCAGCAGATTCAGTTGTTCAGGAGCCAGGCATCAATGCACAGATGGAAATTCCAACTGAGTATTTTAATGCACTCAAAGTGCCTGGACTTCCCCTCAGCAAGTTGGAAATCAAGCCCAGGTGTCCACTTATGCTACTGTGGAATCTTGCACCAGCACAAGGCCTTTGTAATGGGACATGATGTTGACTCATTTGTTCAACAAATTGAGTTTTAGAAGTCCAACTCCTTGGAGGTGAACATCATGGTACAACAGCATTCATTCCATGCATCTCACTCACACCATCTGAGGACAATCTTGGCTTTGTCCTGAAGTGCTGCCAGTTTTCTGTTTGACTTGCATTTGCAATGACAATCAACAAGGCTCAAGGACAGTCAGTCACAAATGTTGGTTTGGACTTACACATTCCTGTTTTCTCACATGGCCAATTATATGTTGCACTTTCACATTGTATATTGCAATTAGAATACTCTTACTGCCTCAAGCACCAACTGTAGAGATGCATGGAGTCACTCAAAATGTTGTATATCCCAAAGTTATTTCCAATATTTCTTAGATACCTGCTTTTCTATTCTTCTTTCTGCTGCAATTTCCTATTATGATTGAAATGTATGTAGATACAACAAATATACCAAAAAAAAGACTCCAAGGCAATACATAGGGTCTTTCACATAACTATGCTGAGCAAAGCGAGTCAGGTTAACCTAGTAGAAGATTGTTGTAATGCTGGGTACATCTCTTGCCTTTCTCAACACAAGGGAGTCTCAGAAATATGTGCTGTCTGTTTCCCACACGCTGAGGAGCATGAATCCAGCAAACGGCCTTGTGATGTAGCATTTCTCAGATAGGTGAACCGGATGAGTAGTCAGACCATGGAAACCGGAGCGTATGTAAGTGATTTTCGTTGTGGTCACAGCCCATCGGACAAGCATGGATTGCACTCCACTCTTTCGGCGCTATCTCCGAATATCAATGTCCTATCTCCGACATTCTCGACCAACCAATCTTGTTCACCTCGGAACACAATTGGCTGAACGTATTGCGCAATGTTCGCATAGCTCTATCGCACTCTTGGATTGATAATCATTCGTTCCAACTTCTGGATTTGTCTTCTGGGAAAGCGTACACTGCCCTGTAATCACCGGACAGAACACTGTGACGAAAATGACTCACTGGCATCCTGTCGCCCTTAAAAGACCTCCACTTTGGTTGGTCCTCCCAGATCCAACCGCGCCCTTTCTACCACACTGTTACCGATACCCGACGCTCAAGTCAGACGATACCAGGTGATACCGCACAATGGGAGACGCTGCGAACTCTCTTGCAGATAGTCTGCTCTTCACGCCTATCCGATTGGGGAACGTCACCCTCCCGCACAGGATCGTGATGGCCCCACTGACCCGCAATCGGGGATATGACGACCACACACCAAGCGAAATCGCTCTAACGATGTATACCCAGAGGGCGAGCTTTCCAGGAACATTAGTCATTACTGAGGGTACTTTTATTGCCAAAGAGGCTGGGGGATACAGACATGTACCTGGCATCTACAATGAAAAGCAGATTGCGGCTTGGAAGAAGGTACGCCCCCAATCCTCGCGTCTCACAGCAAACATTCATGCTTGGAGTAGATCACCGATTCGGTCCACTCTAAAGGATCATATATGTGCCTGCAGCTATGGGCTCTGGGCCGTGCAGCCGAACCGGATGTGGCCAAGGAAGAGGGCTTCGAGGTCTCCTCGCCGGGTGACATTCCCCTCCAGGGCGCCAGCAAGCCATATATGCTCACGATTACGGAAGTGAAGGAATGGGTCGAGAAATACGCACAAGCGGCGAGGAATGCCATAGCAGCGGGATTTGACTTTGTCGAAATACACGGTGCAAACGGTGCGAGTTATCCGGCGGCGGCGCAAAGGAAATCGCTGACACAGTGCACGGACAAGGATACTTCATCGATCAGTTTACGCAAGACGTTTCGAACAACCGGACGGACGAGTATGGGGGATCAATAGAGAATCGCTGCCGATTTGCGCTAGAGGTTGCCAAGGCCGTGACAGACGTTGTAGGCCAGCAACGCACCGGTCTGCGCCTGAGCCCATGGGGTGAATTCCTCGGTTCGTTCCGGTTGTCTCTCCTGAGGGTTAGTCATCTAATTAGTAAACCCCAGGGATGAGGATGACCAATCCCCCCGCTACGTTCTCCTACCTCGTCCGTCAGCTCAAAGAACGCTTCCCCGACTTTGCCTACCTGCACGCGACAGAGCCCCGTGTGCAAGGAAACGTCGACCGCGAGACACGAGTGGAGGAAAGCAACGATTTCCTGCGGGAGATTTGGCGGCCAAAAGTGTACCTCACGGCTGGAGGGTATACGGAGAACGCCGGAGATGTGCTCCCGAGGATGGGAGACATGCTCGTGTACGGGCGCTACTTTATCTCCAACGTACGTGTCGCAGAGTGTTCTTGAAATCTAAGACTGATCTACGCATGCAGCCCGATCTACCTTTCCGCCTGAAGAACGGGATTCCTTTCACCAAGTATAACCGGGCGACATTCTACCTGCATGGACCCGACCAGCCAGAGGGGTACACTACCTATCTCACGGCTGAAGAACAGGCGCTCGTATCTAAACAGTAGAGGCCGGAGGGATAGACATGTCTGGTTTGAATTCATAGATGAGCCGAACTAAGGATTTTCTCACGAGCTTCGGGAGCGTACGTGTGTCAGGCGATGAGATATGACTAGCAGTACGAGTCTCCTCGCCCCTCCCCAATCCAGAGCTGCTGCTGTCAACCTAAGTCACTCTCTCACGATCCCGAGACACCGGAGTTGAATCACCAACCAGGAACCGCACGTGTCGTTCGTGCCTGTCACAGGACCTGATCATCGGTAGCAGTACATTGACGCCCAACCTATTTCTGGGATACGCCGCCCAAGACCCTTCATCAATGTCCAATAGGCACCTTTCCGTGTTTCCCACCGCGAAATCCGGAATGCCAAGTCTCTTCAAGTCCCGAGATGTTGGATATGCGCATGTACTGGATGCCAGGAACGAGGGGCACCTGACCTCCGTCCGAGTTCTCCGAAACATATATCAACCCACACCTGGTCAACTTCATCCCACAGAGATCGCGCAACAGAACTCCCTCACAGGTACAGGTGCAAGTACACCAAGATGCTCACTTTCCTCCCAGTGTTTGCCATATCGGTTCTTGCGAGTCAATTGGGAGCTCGCCAGTCCCTCCCCACAGGCCCGCATGGGACTCCTGGAGTACTCATCCAGCCCGCCGAGGGGCAAGTGTTCGCCAACCCCGGGCCGATGACCATCAAGTATCGAACGACGTCGGGCGGAGGGTACGTGACGCAGTCTATCCAAGTGAACGTCCAGAATCCGGGCCCGATCGGTGGTGGGCCTGAGGCGAATGTGAGTCCGAGTTCTTGCTCGTGGCCTCTCACCCAGCTGGACCGGGCGGGGCGCGGGGGAGAACTGGAGAATGGGACTGTGTTGATCAAGTACTGGGTAGATGTTGAACGGGTTGCAATCCTTGAACGCGGGGACGGACGAGTACATCGAAGCGCTGATCGCGACGCCAGCCACATTCTGCGGTGACCAAGGTGTGCCTCTAACCCAACCGCCCAAGCGCGTTTCCCTAACACACACCAGTGATCCTCGTATTCGAGACCCAAGTCGTACGCACACACCTGACACCTTAACCCGTACTTCCCAAGCTGACGCCGTACAGACGCCGAATGGCACGCTAGTCCAGTTCCTCTCCGCCAGCCCTACAGTGCACTTTTCCTGCTGGGGCGGGGACTACCCTCCTCCCCCGACCTCCCACTCCGGACCGCAGGGGACGCTCCTCTCCCCATCGGCTAATACCGTATACGCGAACACCGACGGCGCTGGCGTGCATATCCATTTCCAGTACGAGCGTTCCCTGCAGTTGGACGCTGTCACTGTATCCCTGGCGTTGGAGCTCGCACAGTCTTTTGTATCGTATACACTCGCTTCGGCGCTCGGACCCACCGGGGGGGTGTTGGACGGGACGATAGAGCAGTATTTTGCCGCGCCGGGGGAATGCTTGTGTGGCACGTTTGGTGCGTTTCTTCCTAGGTTTGGATGAGAAGGGGGAAGACTGACTGAGTGCGTGGGGGTAGATCTGGTGATAGACGAGACGCAGCTCTATCAGGGCGGGTTGATCACTTTCCAGACATATAGCGTCCCGCTGCAATTTGACTGTCCGCCAGAGGTGGTCGCTTTCTGTTCGGGCTGAGGGGCGGTGGACGAACAACGGCGGATGAAGGAGGGTGGGTGGATCAGGGAAGGAGAGGAGGATAACTTGAAGTCGGGTGGACGGACTATTTTCGGACTATGCAGTTATTGTCAGAGCTTGCAATTGTTGTTTGTTGGTTGATCAGATGTTTAATGAACGCACTTACGAGTCATACGGCTTCGCCCTCTTGCTCGTCCGGACATCGCGTAGAGAGATACCAACATCGTGCTCCGGTGGATGTTGCCCTCAGCACCATGACGGTCACTGATGATCCCGCTTCTCTTCGAATTGACAGCACGTCCGGAGGAGCTGTCCAGCAAGCTCGTACCTGTTTTCTCGCTTCGCGCTAAGCTGCATGATGTACCCGACCCCTGCAGCCTGTCGTTTGTGGCTGACGATGATACGCCTCCCCTCCCCTCCCCTCCCCTTTCAGGAGTCGAAGTCCTGGAGGCTCGGCGCATGTGAGACTCATGCTGCCCAGCCTGAGTGCCAGCTAGTGGATGACGGCCGCTCCCGGCGCGCTGTTCATCGCTCATTGTCCCCAGACAGCCGGGTTCACCTGATAGGTACATCAAAAACAAGCAGCAGCTAGAGCTGAGCTGCACGTCTACTGGTCCTTCGTGCATCGTGCGTCGTGCATCGTGCTCGGGGAACGCCTGAGGTTTTCGCACGAGCTAAAGACCAACGCTCCGGCATGTTCTTCGGGAGATAGAACGGGAGCCGTCTAACGTTTTGCGCTTCATCAAAGGCGGACAGCACGCACAGTCTGCCTGTACTGGATGGCGTGTGCATGCTTTCCCGCGTTCTGCGAAACCGGGCCCAGTAGCGGCATGATATCGATATATTGGCTTATCTAGATACATTGGCTTATCTAGATACATTGCAGCAGGATAGATCGTACTCCGGTACTAGAGGACGTACAAGGGGATCACACTCTCGCCCTCGGATCCGCTCCCAGAATCGTACGATCTGAAAATCGTCAGTCAAACATCTGTCGTCACGCACCTGCTGGTATCCCGTCCGTTCCCTCCCCCCCTTCCTCCCATCTCAGCCAACCCCAACCCCAACCCCAACCGGGACGAGCCAACCCCGGCTCTAGGTGCTCAGAAGACTGCTGTTTTTCAGTCTTCGGAATATGCCCGATTGGGGAGCGGGAACGGGAGCGAGGAAGCTATTTGGGGTGAGAGATGGGTGCGAGCGAGCCGAGGGTGAGGCGGCTTGCTTGTTGCAGGGACAGGGACGGGGACCGATGGGAGCGATTGGGGGGATGTTGGTCATTGGACGGGATGGGATGGATAGGTGACGAGGGAGTGGACTGGAGGAGGGGGGAGCGAACTGATGTGGTTCGGTGGATGAAAAGAGACGAACGTGGATGGCACGCGAAAATGAAAATTTGATTTTTATGGTATTCGGTATCTACGTCTGTAAGCAAGTTAGCAAGAGCGAACGAGCGAGCGAGCAAGCGAAGGTAACGAGTGTAGGGAAGGGAGGAGCAAAAAAGCAAGTAGCGAAAATTGGAACGGGGGAAGAGGGATAGAAGGGTGCGGGAAGTCGTCTCATAATCTGGTTAAAATGTGTCGTCTGTGCCTTGGCTCCGACTCATTATATCAGTGTTTTTTGTATTTCATCGACAACTCCCTCGTACAAGCAATAGAGAGGATGCTCACCTGAGAATGCTTGTGCAGTACGAGGTTGTGGAAGTGGTGCTGTCGCAGTGCGAGTCGACATGCGGTGACCTATATTGTCATCACGACATTTCCTAAGCCTGCACTTTACTCTAGGGAGGAGTCCACCCCGAAGAGGGGGGAGAAGGCACTATCAGGCTGTAGAGCAGCGGGAGACAGCGTGGCATCCTCTCTTAAGGAGGAAAGGAGGGGGAAGGGAGGGTTTTTGTAGGTGTGGAGGAATGGTGTCACGTGGTGTGTGGCTGTGTGCACGTGGTGGACATGTGCATTCAAGGGAATGGAAGGAGAGGAGTGTGTTGAATGCATTCACTCCTGCGTGCATCATGTCCCGTGTACTCCAGGCTCAGTCTAGCAATCAACAGCAATTACCAAAGGGTTACACTCAGAAGTTAGAAAAGGAATTAACCAGGTTACATACTGTAAATCCAGGTACGTCATCGTAACATCATTCATTCATTCATTCACTCACTTCGCTTAACCCATCTATCTTGAACACACACACTCATCCATGTCACCAATCAAATACTCTCCATCTATCATATGCTTTCCCTCACTCAACTGCTGCTCAACACCAGAAGAAGACGCTCCACCACCACCATCATACACAATGGCCACCTCTCCTCTCTCTCAGCCTCCCTCCCAAGCAGCATCAACCTCCTCCCTCTCCCTCTCCCCCTCCCACTTACCCCCCGCTCCCCGTGGTCAACTACGCCGTACACGCCCCGTGAGAGATAGGGAAAGAATGGCGGACGACGATTCCTCAGATCAGAGTTACTGGGATAACATGGAGCTCGAAGCGACTCGGCTGGAAAGAGGGTCAAAGGACTACCAATCCCAGAATCCCTACTATCCTCCTCGTCCCCCTCCCGAGACCGCGTCCATAGACTCCTTCCTAGGAAGTGGAACTCCGAGCGGGGGGACGTTCTCACCCCTCCCTTCCACTGCATTCTATGGCGGAACATACGTCGCCGGTCCCTCACGCGACCCGAGCGTGCAAGATCAGCTCTTCTCCACCCATCCCCCAGCTGGGTCAAGCAGCTTCCCTTATGGACAGGTACAGCCCCCGCCGCCGTCGGCGTATCGCCCGCCGTCGACGGAACCGAGGCCTGTACCCCTCCAGGGGCAGGGTACGGGGCCGGGGAGGCCTTTGCCTAGCCCGCCTCGGGATCGAGATCGAGAGAGGGAGCGGGAGAGGGAGGGAGAGGGGGAGAGGGAGGGGTACGACCAGAGAGGAAGTAGGGAGTCTTCACCTCAACTTGCACAGGCGCAACAGAAGAGGAATTCCCCGTCGCCGCAGGGGCAGGGGAATGCACACCCGCCAGCTCAGCCCCAGCCCCAGATGCAACCTCAAGCTCAGCCTCAAGGGCAGTCCAGACCACATTCTCAGCAACCCTCGCCCAAGCCCAGGTCGCAGCAGCCTTTCCCCCAGCCTTCGCCCAACCTCCGTCCCCAACCCTCGCCCATCCCTCACCAGCCCCTCCCTTCCACCCAACCTCTTTCCCTCTCCCACTCCTCGCACCACACCCAAGTCCAACCACACACCCACACCCACACCCAACCGCCTTACTCCCAGCCCCAGGCACACCCTTCTCCTCCCCACGGACCCCGGCATTTGGGACATCACGTCTCTCCCTTTCCCCCCTTTCCCCAAGAAGAACTGGACCGAGACCTTCCGGAGCTACCTCTTACCCCCCGGTCCGGGTCGCCGCCGCCTGAAGGGTTCGGGGGCGCGGCGGCTGGAGCACCGTTTGTTGGAGGGTTTGTGAGGCATAGGGAGGGGGGGTGGGATTTGGATCATGCACAAGGGATTGGGTACCGACAAGGGCTTGGGACTGACCGCGGGCTTGGGCAGAGGGAGAGGGAGAGGGAGATCACTCAGCCTAGAGAGCGAAGAGAGAGCAAAGACAGCCGGCATCTGGAACCTAAAGAGTCCAGGGAAGCTCAAGCTCGGGAAACCAGAGAACCCCGAGACGCGAGGGAACCGAGCGACAGCTACACGCCTTTGAGGGACGAGATGGGCCTCACGAGGGGGTATCACGGGCAAGAGAGTTCTGGTGAGACTGTTAAGCCTCTTTCTGCTCAGGCTCAGGCCTGGCAGGCTGGGCATGGGAGGGAGGACAGTGGTGGTACCGGGGGCGGCGGCGCGGGGGGGTATCCGGTGGAGTTGACACCACTTTTGCCGGGAGGGCTGAGGTTGTTGAGGGCTTCTAGGGAGATGAGGGAGAGTGAGGAGAGTGCGGAGAGGGAGGAGGAGGAGGAGGGTGAAGAGTACGACGAGGGCGAAGAAGAAGCAGAAGGCTCAGCTGAAGAAGACCTCGGGAGTCAAGTCACCCAGAGCCAGGACGAGTACGACCCAGTCTTCCAGGAGCAACAACAGGGACTTGAACAGGGACTTGAACAGGAGCGGGAACGAGAACGGGAAGAGCAGCAACAGCGCCCGGATGGGGAAGTCGACTCGCTCGTTTCGCCCCTCCAGCCTGCTGCCTTGCACCCGGCACGCAGCCTCCCTCCTCCTGTACGCGCGGCTGCACGACCTACGACGCCTGAGCCGCTCACGATCGAGCCTGATTCGCCTGACGTGCCCCGTACGTCCCCCTACTCTACATAATGAAATGTACTAGTACTGACCTCCCCCCCTCCCCCCGGGCGCCAGTCCTCCTCCCGAACGGCAACACAAAGCTCCTCTTCCGGATCCGGAACCCAAACCCCCACCCCATCGTCTTCAAAATAATGACAACCCAGCCCCGGGTATACAGCGTCCGGCCAAACTTTGGCTTTCTCCCACCCGGGCAAGTGCTAGAACTGGAGGTCCACGCCCCGGGGGATGTGAACCTCCGCCGGCGGGCTACGCCTGGGAGAGGAGATAGGTTTGCTGTGCTGTCTAGGTTTGCACCTGCGGTGTGGGAGGGGGACGGGGAATATGCGTCACTTTTTCCGAGCAAGACTACTCAGGCGGAGGGGATGCGCTCGCAGAGGTTTCGCGTTAGGCCTTTGCTTGTCCCCCAACTCCAATCCCAACTCCAATCCCAACTCCAATCCCAATCCCAATCCCAATCCCAATCCCAATCCCAATCCCAACCCCAGGCTCAGACACAGACACAGGCACATGCACAGGGGAGCGCGGGCCCAACGCTGCCAGGAGCGTTCTCCCCCCCGGGGAAAACGCGCGCTCTCACCCCTTCCCTCTCCCTTCTCAGCCCGACGTTCACCGCTCCCCTCCTCCCTCCCGCCCCCGCCCCAAGCACCAGCAACACCCTCCCCCTGCTGCGACCCCGCAGCCCCCAAGCGATCCGGTTCGCCGATCCCGTCTCCCTCTCCGCCGCCGCGGGCCAGATCGTCCAGTCCCGCATAGCCGAACAGCGTGAGACCCAACTACACGCGTCGATCGGCGCTGTCCAAGCCGGAGTAGGCGAGCTGAACCTGAAAGTAGAGGAAGTCCTGCGCAGGATGGGCGCTGCTGAGGAACTGAGAGCACGTGCGCAGGGGGTGGATGAGATGCCTGCGTTGATGGAGTATTCTTATCCGGAGTTTATCACTCCTGGGAGGAAGAAACAGGGCTTGCAGCCTGGGGAGGTGATGCTCCTCGCTGTGGGCGTGTTTTTGGTGACGTATTATGGGAGGGCGTGGCATATTATTTGAGGGAGTTGGACAAGTATGATACGGTTTGTATATGCGTGCGCTCTATCGATATGAAGTTGTGTAGAATATGTTGACGGTCTATCATCCCGCGCAAATGTATATATTGTGTGCTTCTAGCGTTTGAACAGAGTTGTATGATGCTACGTTTCGAACAGATGTGCGATTCGGATTGCTGACATGGGCGCGAATCCTGTGCGGGTATGGAAGAAATACATCATATGGTTTTACATTTCGTTTGCTATGCCAGTACACTTGTGTTTATCTAGTACAGTTTTGCTAGGAAAAGGAAGAGTGCTGCAAAATGCCCAATGCTTTGTTTCGTTCTCAATGACCGCCAAGAGTCGCTCCGACTTGGCTCGCGCCGCTCTCGCTCGAGTTGCGCATGCTCCTCCGGCTCCGCTTGATCAGCAGCGTCGGCCGCCTCTGCCTCACCTCCGGCGGGGGGCTCGACGGGCGCGAGTCCTTCTGGCACCGGTGCATCGAGTGCGGTAGGTGCATGAACGCGGGGATATGGTACTTCTGCGAAAAGCTATCCATCCTGCAGGGGTGCTCCTGTGCCTGCACGGGAGAGCTGGTGATGGATGTCGAGGCCTGGCGGGAGTGGGCGGGAGATGCTGCCGGGGATGCGCCTGGAGAAGGGAGGTGCTCGTCCCCGAACGATCGTTTGGCAGAACGAGGCGTCATAGGTGGGGTAGGGTGGGAAGGGAAGGGCTCCGTGCTCTTGTTAGAAGGGGTGACTGGGCGAACGACTTGTTGTGCCCGAAGCTCACGAAGCTCACGCATTTCGGCTTGAGCTTGTTCGAGGCTGGCCATCATACGACTGTTGTCCTCGACCGCGCGCTGCAGCTCAGCCTCGGTTTCGTTAATACGCTTGTTCGCGGCCTCGAGCTCATTGCGGTACTGAGCCAATTCGGCGCGGTGCCTCTCGTCCGCGTCCGCCAGTTGCGCGACTTCGTCGTTTGCCTCCTCCTGGATAGTATCGAGGGCATGGCGACTCACGTCTAGCTGGACTTGGAGACGCTGGTTCTCGTCCTTCAGAACTTGCAGTTCCTCACGATGTGAAGCTTCTAATTCGGAAGCCATGGCGATAGACCGCTCTTTCAATGCAGAGATCGTGATCTCAAGTTCAAGCCGCCTCGGCTCGCACGCGCGGTGATCAGCACGAAGCTCCTCCAATCGATCAAGCAAGGAGCGAACTTGTTCCGAGTTGTCCCGCTCCATCTGTGTGAGTTCAGCAGCGTGCTCCAGAGAGAGGGCGGAGAACGCCTCTTTTTGCTGATCAATCGCCTCGCGGTGGATGCGCTCCACTGTCGACATCGCAGACCGAAGAGAGTCAAGCTCTTCCTTATGTGAGTTTGTGAGGGAGATCCGGGTGCTCTGCAGCTCCTGGGCGTGGGACGCGTTCAGTTCTTCCATCGCATCAGCATCCTTCAGGAGTGCGTCGACACGACCTTCCTCAGCGTCAGTCAGTTGCCCTTTCAGCAATTCGACCTGTGACGCATGATCCTTCTGCAACTTGGAGAGCTGTGAGGCATGAGCCAATTCGAGCCTTTGGATGGCGTAGGCATGAGTAATCTGCATGCGAGTTACGTGGTGTGCATGACGATCGTCCCTCTTCTTCAGTTCGGCAATCTTCGCTTCCAATGCGGCGGCATGGCTGGCTTCGATAGCTTGGAGAGCAAGGGCATGCTCTTCCATCTGCTTGACAACTGACTCTGTCGCCTTCTGGTGCTTCCGGCGAGCGTCGATAAGGTCCTTGAGCGACTTGTGCAGCTCAGCAGTGAGACCCTCGACAAGGTGCTCAAGCTGATCGATCTTGTTCTGGCGTTTCTTGAGTTCCTTCTTCTGCGTCTCGTCGCGCTTCAACTGGTCGTTCCTAACTTGGGTGAAGACTTGATCCCAGCGCCTTTCCCGCTTGGCCATGCCGATCGCGTGGTCCCTCTTCATCTGCTCGATCGTGTGCGCATAGGCGATCTTCATCCGCTGAATCCGGTGATTGAGCTGATCCTCATGCGTGTGCAGCTCCTTGTCCGCGTCCTGTAACGCCATGGCTAGCTTGGCCTGCAATGACTGCACAGTGGCATCCCGCTCCTTTTTGAGCCCTACGACCTCGAGCTGGTTGTCCGAGCGCAGAATGGAAACCATCTCCTCCGACAGCTGCAGGCGGCGATCAAAGTCGGCACGCAAGCCGTCGAGCTCACGCATGTGTTTCTCCTCGACTTCGGCAAGCGCGCGGATAATAGCTGCCTCGCTCTCGGCTGTGGAACCGGAAGAGAGGGAGTAGACGGACACATCCTCAATCAAGACTGGGGCGGTGGTGGTAGGCGACGTGGGTGAGAGGGGCGACGCGGGTGAGAGGGGCGAAGGAGGTTCCTGTTGTTGGAATAAGTATAACGTTCACGTAGTTGAGGTGAACGCTTACTTCAATATGGCTAGCAGCTTCGGCAGCTGCAGCGGCCGCTACGGCTGCATCCTCAGCAGCAGCGATAGCTTCCCGCTCAGCTTCCGGTGTTTCTTCCCACACTGGAACGCCAAAAGAGGCGAGTGCGCGAAGATGTTCATCAAAGACATCCTTATCATAAGCGTCCTCCTCTGTTACTACGGGCGGTCAGACAGAGTCGTGGATAAAGGGGAGGCCACTCACTATGCGCGACGCTGCTAGTACCGACGAACTACGCGATGTGAACTAGGCCTTTGCTGCTGTGGAGGAGACTCACATAGTTAACGATGGACTTGAGACTAGTAGACATATTGGTAGTTGAATATTGGGGCTTCTAGAAGGAAATTCGAGGGCAAGAAAAGGTGATTGTAGACTTCTATGAGAACCTGGCATAGTGGTAAGTAACGTAAAGGTATAAATATTCACCATGCCGACCTATGGCTACTCGGTTTCCGCAATGTATGGACCCTTGTAATGTCCGGCGCGAGATAGGACCGTAGCGGTTTACGGGCTTCAGGCACCTTCCGACCGGGAAGAGATCTTCCCGTAGCGAACAAGTGATGACGGATGAAAGAATGACGGGGGCGGCTGATGGTGAGCTGGCGGGCTCTCAGCGACCTTTTAGCTGGAAGAACACTGTCGGTGGGTCTTGTCCGGAGGGAAGGGAGAAGGGCGAGAGGGGTGAGAGGGCGTGGAGGGGGTTCCGCAAAGGTGCTTGCAACCCGCGTATATGTATGCCGCCTCCAGCCCCGCACCGGGTGCAGGGTGAGCCTGAATCGCGTTGCAGCATGCATGTCCGGGTGTGTAAATTAGGGGGCGATATGGTCCAGCCAACCTGTCAAATGAATGCTAATCAAACAGGGGAGAATAATATTGCACAGGACATCCGTGCGGGTCGTGGTCTGACTGCAATGAGGTAGCACACCCGCACCAGCCCGATCGGTCCCTTTTTCGTCCCTCGTCATCTTCTTTCGAATCTTAGACAACCTATCATTGTTTCATGTAGATCGAGTCATTCTGGGCACTTCTATGGGCAGCGGTCGTCGATGGATAAAACTTGTTTATACCTCCACAGAGGATATCATCCTCCGAGGATCGACTGCGTCACCGTTGAGCATTCCGCAAGTACCCAAAAGCCGGCTGTGCCGTCGGAAGGTAGAAGCCGGACGTCACATGTCTCGGACCGCCCCTGCAGCCTGTCGATCCCTTGCCAGCGGTTACCCTTCCTATTTCGGCACAGCTCTGACGTTCTCTTGACGGGCAGTGCCGGGTGATGCAACATATCATCCTAGTAACCAGAACACGTCACGAATATAACAGTTTGTTATTCTATCGGTATTGCGTCGCCGTTCGCCGCCTTGATATCTCGAAATGTCCGGGTTGAAAGGAGCTACCTTTGCCTACCATTGGATAGGGGGCCGGTCAGTACAGCGTCCATGCGGTCATCGTATTCTGGAAACCGTCATGATCATTTGCCTTTGGCCGGAAATCAGCGTAAACTATTGCATCAGACTTCTTACTTACTGCAGCCACAACCGGATAATTGTCGACCCTGAGCTGGTAGGTCGTCGCCACTGTAGCAAGACCATAGATGGAAACAGGATAAGAATTGATGATGTTCAAGATCTGAGCGTTGCACGTGTAGTTCGCCTCGCAAGATGCGTCGTAATCGTTGAAGAATGAGTAGAAGCCAGCACCGTAGACGAGCGCATCGATCGAGTTCTGGATATACAACGACCAGCCCTTCCCAGAGGGATATGTCAGCGGGTCATAGTAGAGAGCATTGACGTAGAAAGGCGCGGGCGCCAAGGGGTTGGGTTGCCAATAAGCCTGAATAGTATAAGTATTTGCACCGCAGACGCATTAGAACGAGAATTCACCGTTTCCGTCTGCATCAAGCCACCATAGAAGTTCTGGGAGTTCACGACGTTGTACTGATACAGCGCATGATGCTCCGCTGCTCACAATTAGAAGACACAGTGCGCAAAAGGGGTTGAGAAAATGTACACGCTGTGCCGATAAGCCAAACAGGACCGTTGACTGCCTCACTCAACAGTCCGCGACCGGTGTAAATGTTCAGCTGACCATTACCATACGTATCGAGATCATGATCTGCGGTCCACAACCAGACGTTCTACCAACAACGGTCATCCTGCGTGCACAACATTTGCGGGCCCGATTTTACCTCAAGATACGCCGAGGCACCGGACGTGATGTGCACGTCGAGAAATGACGCGGTGCACTCTGCTGGTGTCGCAGTCGTATTCGTACTCGAACAAGTTGCGTACTGCAGGTTTGACCCATCAAGCCCACCAGTACGCACATGCGTGTCCCATGCACCGGCTGAGCCTTGACTCGTCTGTCCGACGTTCCATTCAACGATGATCGCGCCCGGTGCTACATGTCGTCAGTCAACGATAGAAGAGCCGGTCTAGGTTCCTCACCTGGCCCGCGCGTGCTGAAAACGATATCCGTGATTTCCATCACCCCTCTGGAGCCAGGGGTACCAATTTGAACGACTGGAACCGGCCTAGCTGCATCGGAGGAGACAGGCCCACCGCCCATGATGACGGACCACACCTCGCCGACGATGATCGTGTCCGCCGGAAAGCGGATGGTGTTGGTGACATAGTAGGTTCCCTATTTCGATTATGAGAAACAACTTGTCTTCGCCCATGGCAAAAACAGTCACAACGCACCGCGTCGAAATAGATGATCTTGCATCCCGCGTACTAGCCATACAGATAAGGACCATGGTCTTAAAATTGGACAACACTCGCCTGATCGATGGTTTTCTGGATAGCAGCCGTGTCGTCCGTCACACCGTCGCCCATCGCACCCATTGCCTTCACAGATTGGAACTGGTTCGGAGCGTAATCAGTGTACTGTGGGCGAGAACGTGCATAGATTCGGCCAGTAGAATCAAGAAGGGTGGGAGGCTTGTAAGGAGCGGCTAGCGCAGCCTGCTGATATCGATACTCGCCCGAGATTCCAGTGTACACGTTACCCTGAGCCCATTGGGATATCGTCGTTGTTCCGCCAGCGAGCACGGTGCCTTCCGGATCTGCGACTGCAGTAGTGACGTTGCTGAGGTAGATGTTACTGAGGAGGATTGATCCCCCAAGTGTGGTCCTTTGAGCGGTCGTGGTCTGGATGAAGGTGGGTGTGTTGTAGACTTGCGCATCGATGATAACTTCTCCTCCAACAGAGCTCCCACCGGTTGCAATCTCCATACCAACCTGAATGGAGACAAGCGAGGTGAGAACAATGCGGGGCCAGATAGTAACCGATCCGCTGACCTGGCAGTTGTTGATCGTAACCCCTTGAAATGTCCACCTACCAAGGGAATCAGCATCTTCACCTTCTCCACCTATCAAATCTTACCCCCAATTCCAGTTGGCATAGATCCCAATTTGTGCATTGTTGACAGTGATGTTCCGAACAGTGAATTGCTACCCTTTATGAGCGTTGACATTGAGGATTGATCAGAGAACGGACCTGATTGCCAACCCATATACCATACTTGCCACCTTTGAAAATCAGATCAGACATGAAACCGCCTGAATTCACTGTTAACTAGTACTCGAGAAGGGAAGGGCAATTCCATACCGCTACCATCTTCCATGTAGATGCCCTGGTGGTTGGTGTCGGGGGCCGTAGACATGTTCACTACGACATTGACGAGCGACGTCGCTTGCGACACTTGCCAATGAATGCCGGTGGAGGATGCCGTCGGCGGCGTCTGGGTAAGGTCGATAATGATGTTGCGGACCGAACTGGACACCGAGTAAGTGCCAGTTCGAACGATAGAACCTCCAAACCAACCGGTAGAAATTGTCTTGATCTTTTGAAAACAATGAGATCCGTCGGGAAATGGAATGATGTTACTTACTGATATACCACTCACCGTCGGCTGTATATGGATCTGACAATGATAAGAAATATTGAGAAATGACAAGGGGCGATATCATACCTGCATCAATAACAGCTATGCCGCTGAATGAAGGAGAGGCAAGGAGCGTCGCCATGCTTCGAGCATCGCCCACCATTTCCGTATAGTAATAGGCGAGAAGAGGAGCGGATACCAGGTAAGTGCCTGTGCAAATTCACGCGATATGGACGAGGTGGCAGCAATCGATTGACCGATCAACGTACCGCTTGGGAAGAATACAAGAGCAGGAGATGTCGTGCTCGATTGGCATCCATATCCACAGCGGTTGCCGTAGGCGATGGCAGCATTAATCGCGGCGGTGTCGTCAGTGACGCCGTCTCCTTGAGCACCGAAATCCTGCAGGGTAGATTAAGATCATGATGCACGGCGACGAAATTACCCTAATTACCTTCACATTGCGATATACCTGGTACGTGCTAGGATCGGTGTTGTACGGCGATGTTCCATTGTGTTGAATAAGCTGCATCCAATATGGATCGCCGGGAGCGGCAGTGCATCCCGTCATGGGAGCACTACAAGACGATCCTAGACCCCAGGCGGCATTAACAGCCAGAATGATGGAGAGAGTTTCCAACAGTCCTAGCATAGTTGGGAGAGCAAAGCAAAGTAGACAGCGTGCCCCGAACTTGTCGTCAGATAACGACGAAGCGGATTGTTATATCTTGACTGAGTTGTCAGTGGCAGAAGATGGACTGCTAGACATTGAGTCCATGATACGACTTGGGAACATATGCTGTATCAATACTCCGGCAGATTTGGTGGAGTCATACGGCCAATTGACCAGGTGCAACCTGCACGCCATCTTGTGCTGCAGAAGACACGTACGTAGCAGTGGTGAAGACGAAGCAAGGCGTTCCTTCCAACAGTAGGGTGATCGTCTGAAGGTGACGTCGAATATCCGTCCTCGTACGATTTGTGGTAGAACTTGTGTAGAGCAAGCCCAAAATAGAAGCATGCCAAGAAGCCGGCATTCGGAGAGCTGCCACGTGGAACCCCAATACCGCTCGGCGGTGTTCTTGAGTTCCTGAGCGTGTATCGCTGCGGCGCGAAGGCATTGGCCGGAGGATTTGGTGCTGATGGAGGCGCAAGGGGATCATCCATGGAAATCCGATCAGTCGTCAAAGCACGGGAATGACTCACATCAAAAGAGATTTAAGGATCATTGACTGGCTATCAAAACAGCTCTGCGAGAGCCCCATTCTGTGACAGAGAGACGGAAACATTACGAGACGGAAACATGTAATGTCACTGACGGGGGTCAGACCCCAAGCAACGGTTGTGATTGGACTACTGATTCTGATTGGACTCCTGATGATGATCATTGATGAGCGGGTCAACATCAGCGCTGAAAGCGGCAAGTACTCAACAGAAAGTCTGAAACTTACGTTCTGTCCTATACATTACTGTATTCCAGGGAGATTTGCTGCGGGTACCCGTTGCGAACAGGTGATAAAGATGACAGTACTTCAGTTCCATTCTTTCAGCGAACAGTCCCCTATCCATCGTATGTTCGTCGGCATATTGTGTTCTACAAAAGCACGGTCCTTAATTTGAATGAAAAACATGATATGACCACAGGGGAACGGCGCAAAACGGGTACGTACCGGCTCCGACTGTCCGCAAGGAATAGTGACCTGGAGACTTTCATATCAATTTGAACTGGTTGGCTTCGTCCCTCGTCGGTGTGACCAATCCGCTAAACTTAGGCACTGGACAAAACACACTTTCGATTACGTATCATACTTGACAGAGTACGTAATCTTGGTTTAATGAGTGCTTGATAAACCCGCGCGACTAGGACGAGGTCCACGCAGTCATATAATCCGAAAAGCCGTCGTGGTCATTCGCCTGCCACATCATCATGAGCCCGAGTTGAGCTAAAGGCGAGAGAATCAACTCACCGCGGCAACGATGGGACTGCCGTTCACGCTCAATTGGTAAGTGATCGCCACGGTCGCCAACCCATAGATTGAGACGGGGGAGGAAGATACCACATCAACAATCTGGGCATTGCAGGTTGCAGATGTCTGACAAGAGGGGTCATAGGCGTTAAAGAATGAATAGAACCCGGCACCAAACACCAGCACATTGCCGGAGTTCTGGATGTACAGGGACCATCCCATTCCGGAGGGATAGGTGGTCGGGTCAAAATAGGTAGTACTGGATTGGAACGGTGCCGTTGCTGCTGGGTTTGGCTGGTAATAAGCCTAGCCGAAGATTAGGTGAAAATGCAGCACGTTTGGCGGCCAAAGCTCACCGTCTCGGTTTGCATCAAACCGCCATATACATTTTGCGAGTTGGCGATGTTATACTGGTACATCGTGTGGTGCTCCGCTGTTTGCGATTTAGTTGCAACATCCTTGGAACTGTATGACATGCTCACATGCTGTGCCTATCAGCCATACTGGGCCGTTGGACGACTCACTGAGGAGGCCGCGGCCATTATAGATGTTTAGTTGTCCGTTTCCTGGAGTGTCGAGATCATGATCCGCAGTCCACATCCAGAAATTCTGAGGGACAGTTGAAAGACCAATACATGCAAAATAGTATGAGAAATACCTCGAGATAGGCTGTTGCTCCAGAGGCGATGTGCACATCGAGATACGCGGCCTCACAGGCCGAGAATGTAGCAGTGGTGTTCGCACAAGTCGCAGATTGCAGATTAGATCCATCGAAGCCACCGGTGCGCACATGTGTATCCCAAGCGCCAGCAGATCCCTGTGATGAAGGTCCGATGTTCCACTCAACGATGATGGCGCCCGGCGCTGGATGCAATCAGTGATGACAACTTCGACAAGCTCAATGAAAATGTCGAACCTGGACCGCGAGTGCTGAACACGATGTCACTGATCTCCAAGACTCCTGTGGAACCAGGGGTACCGACTTGCACGACGGGCACGGGATTGGCACCATTCGAAAAGGTCGAACCCCCGCCGAGGATCACCGACCAAACCTCGCCGACCACGAGCGTGTCTGCAGGAATAGTAATAGTATCCGTAACGTAGTACGTTCCCTGCTTACCATTTCAGTCACATTTCATGTCACTAGAAATCACATACGCACCGCATCGAAGTAGATGATCTTGCAACCAGCATACTACAGATCGTGTAAGGTAAGTTGAATAAGTACAATCAATCAGACCAACCTGATCAAATGTCGCCTGAATCGCTGCAGTGTCGTCCGTGACACCGTCACCTTTGGCACCCATAGATTTCACAGATTGGAACTGAGTAGGTAGGTAATCCGGGTATTGAGGTCGAGACCGCGCGAAAATCTGGCCAGTAGAGTCCAAAAGAGTGGAAGGCTTGTTCGGGGGGGTCAAGGCAGCTTGTTGGTATTGGGGCGTGCCCGACGTTCCCGAGTACACGTTGCCTTGTGCCCACTGGGAAATGGTTGTTGTTGCGCCTGCCAAGACTGTTCCTTCTGGATCGGCAACAGCAGCTCCAACATTGCTCAGGTAGATATTGCTCAGAACAATAGAACCCGCCAAAGACGTGCGCTGGCTCGTGGTCGTCCTAATGAATGTGGGAGTATTGTAAACCTGGGCATCGATCACAACCTCGCCCCCAACGGCCTAGTTTGCATGAGACCAAAGAATAAGATTATACGAGCTACAGGATCCCTCACCTGATTTGCCGAAGTGGTGCCGCCGGTAGCAATCTCCATTCCGATCTGGATGATATCGGAAATGAGGTGAGATGTCTGTTAGAATAAGACGACCTCCTTCATACCTGACAACTATTGATCGTCACTCCCTGGAACGTCCACCTGCGGTACTTATAAATGTACTTCTTTTGATCAAAAAAGAGACTGACCCCCAGTTCCATCCTGCATATATGCCGATCTGCGCGTTGTTGACGGTGATGTTGCGAACAGTGAATTGCTAGCGTCGACGGGTCAGAATTCAGTTAGACTGCAAGGCTTGGACAAAGACCTGGTTCCCAACCCATACACCATACTTCCCTCCATTGAAAACAAGATCGGACATGAATCCACCTGGTAATGTGCTCAGCATAGATTCCCACGACCGTTCTGGGTCCGCACCACTACCGTTTTCCATGAAAATTCCTTGATGGTTCGTGTTCGACGCAGTAGACATGCTGACTACGACATTGACGAGCGAGGTTGCCTGGGAGACTTGCCAGTGGATACCAGTAGAGGAAGCGGTGGCCGGAGTGTTCGTAAGATCAATGACGAAGTTACGAACAGATCTGAGGAATTTTAGTCTACGATTACAAAATTCTGCAGTTCATGCAGCTCCTCTCACCGGAAGAAGTTATTCTGGTCTGGAGGAAATGGTTAGAGATATTCGAAGGACTTGAACAATTCACACTTACTGACATACCACTGGCCATTGGAAGTGGAAGGATCTGAAAGCGGTAAGCGAAGTACTTCCTACGTATTAATGACTTCACGTACCTGCGTCTATGACTGCTATGCCACTGAAAGAAGGTGCAGCGAGGAGCGTGGGCATGTCCTTGGCGTCGCCAACCATCTCTGTATAGTAATACAGTATGATGGGAGATGAGATCAGATAAGTGCCTATATTTGGTCAGGTAATTTCGCCGCCGAGATGAAGAATAAATGCAATACCACTTGGGAAAAACACCTGTGCGGGAGACGTCGTGCTGGAAGCGCAACCATTGCCACAGCGATTGCCTGAGCTAATAGCTGCATTGATCGCCGCCGTGTCATCGGTAACACCATCTCCTTTGGCGCCAAAGTTCTACATGGATTTCAATTTACGTTTCGACAAATGACAGTATTTGCAGCATACCTTCACGTTGCGGAATTCTTGATAGGTGCTTGGATCACTGTTATACGGCGACGTACCCTGATGTTGGATCGTCTGCATCCAGTAGGGATCCCCCGGAGCAGCTGTACCACCAGTCATCGGTGCACTGCAGGACGAGCCGAGGCCAAACACGCCATCAAGGATGGTGACGAGAGCGAGGACAACGACGACAAAACGCATGCTCGAAACAGTTTCAGAGACCAGCCAACAAGCTAGAAGTGAGAGACCACAGAGGTTTCCCAGCTTGACTTTGTAGGTCAAAACTGATGTATTTATGTAATGTCGGGCGTCTACAGTGCAGGTCAGTTCACGGTTCCAGAAGGGCGGCGATATAACCGCACCGTTTATTCACGAAGTACCAATTCTTAACGGATTCAGCGATCAACACGCCCATTCGACGGTCTGCACGGATAGCACACAAAAACTGAGAAACGTGTGCGCCAGAAGCCGCAGACAGAACATGGCGCTGGAGTTCCCCTGCTGCATCGTTGCCAGGATCGCATGATACGTTTCATCTCGTTCAAAGATACCGCCGGTTTCTTTGACTGTGACGCAGCGCCTCACGAGGAAAGGCACTGGTACATATATTGGGTAGAACATAGAAACAGTCGCCTGCAAAGTGCATTCAAAGAGTTAATATCGTGGAAATAGTACTTTGTTCCAGAAGCACATGAGGAAGCCTCGCCACGCGCAAGACCGAAGGAACTTCAGGCGGGCACGAGAAGCGAACGCAGTGGAATCTGGGCAGCTTCCCCCTTATGGTGATGAAGTAGCAAGCCTGGTTTCGATCGCTCAGACCGAGCCGCTTGAATCAGGATATGTATGTGCCATAGTATACAAACTCGCCCCTGTTTGAAGAAGCAAGAATCAGGGAGATTCTAGCGAGCAGTCCGCTTTCCGAGGGCAAGTAACAGTTTCAGGTCGCCAGCATACAAACCAACTGGAGCAGTTAGTTGGTTAGAATCAAAATCAATGAGAGAAGCTGACAGATATTTGCAGAGCTCACGGTTGGGTCAACAATTAATGTCGAACCACCAGTAATGGTGTAGAGCCTAAATTTTTCGCCCAGGTTGTAGCCACGGAAGCAATCCTGGGATTCTTCAGGAATTCGAAGATGACTAAGGACGCTGTGAATGGGACCGACCTCACAAGGGATCTTGAGAGCAATCTTGATGCTGAGACACGTTTAGCAACTGGCAATGGGAAAAGAGCTGCCTGTGCCCTTTGTCTCCAGGAAAGGTGAACCGCCCGCGCACCATGAGAGATGGTTTCCCATGCGCCGACTGTCCATCCACAGCAAGTCAGTGCCGAAAGAAAACTAGAATTGGAGTCAGGCACATACATCAGTAGGGACTTTCCGGCCGGATCAAGCTTCCATACGTTCTAACCATTCGTGATCCTTGGTGAGCAGCGCGACTTCTGATTCTTGGTGCCGCGGTGTTAGTCCTCGCTATGTCCCATGACACGAAGAAAGGTTCATCCAGGTGAACCAGATCACTCGAGTGGAACAATTCCATTCTGTAATAGTCGACCATATCCATCGTCGTCGGTGATACTGGATCGGTCTGTCATTCAGTCCCATCGTCCACCGTTAGACAAGATTGGTATGCGCTCACCTTAGGGGAATCAGAATACTGCTTGGCCATACAAAGTGCATGCGTACCTTGAAGTCGTCACGCAGAAGTAGCCGCCTGCGGCCGGTCTTCACGCCGGATGAGAATGTGAATGATTGAGGGTGGGCTGATTGTAACACCAACATGGACCTACTTCTAGCCGGAGTCAACGCGAACGAGCAACCTTGCGGGTGCACTTTTTGGATTTCCGTAGATCTCACTGCCGGCCGCAATATGTTGAGTGACCTCTGCTCCTTCTCATTGGCACCAGGAGAAACTGCCGTACTTGAGCACCGAACGTCAAGGAGTGACTAATCTAGCAGTTTTCCAATGGTCTTCGAAGGCGTGTGAGAATACAAAGACGCTGGATTGATTCACTTACAAATGATGCTTTGAGATTGAAGACTGGAATAATGGAGGTACAGCCGCAGCCTCTTCGCGTTGCCTTTCGTGACCGAGCATGCGTAAGACTCCTTGGGCCCAGATAGAAAACTCTGCCTTGTTCGTATTGGCAGTGATCTGGTCTTCAAATGTGCCGGTGAAGAAGTCCCTCATGGTTTGTCGGGCTTCAACTGCACCACCAAAGGGGCACCCGCAGAGCAGCGGCTTTCGCATGCCAGAATGTCTCGTGATTGCTTCGGCATGTTAAGATCAAGTCCACGGATCAGGATGAGAAGAAATTACTTTACCTGGTTGCTCTGGACATGCTAGTCGGGCCTTCCGTGCCTGTATCACTCTCCGATTCCGTCCACGCTGTCATGGGCCGTCTATAACTGGGCGGGCAGTCCGAATTCTTCGTCAAGCGCAAGCGCAGTATAAGGCCGAAACATGCACGCGCTCATGGGATCTGTTATTGATCAATCAGGCGTGGATGAGCTGACAATACTGGATAGACTTCACGCCGATCTTGGAAACGAGAAGGATTGAGCATGACCATAGCTGAAGTCGGTGTACGCGCTGAGAACCGCCTGTCAGCATAGCATAGCAAACGGCATGACCAACAGCCTAAAGGGCGTTGACCTACCGAACGCCAGGGTTGACCGTCCCTTCGTCGTTTTGCGTGGTCCGGACTGCAGAAGGTGGTCAGTCCAACACCTGTCATTGGTAAGAAACTCGATACTCACTGGAGGGTCATGCGATGCTCTTCATCGGCGAGGAGGGGGACGAGGATAAAGTCGTACATATGTACAACTCCCATTCTGCTCTTGCGAGAAGAGTCAGTCGATCAGACGTAATCTGAGGTGATTGGATCGCCTATCAACGTGGAGTTACGATACTGGAGGGAAACAAGCTCAGCTGACTGATTGGTGTTGATGATATGCCTACTCGTTGGCGAGGTTGCATCGGTTCTAGTAGTAATGGCCGATTATCGACCCACTATGCGCATTTTCCATCCCAAGAATCGGATAGGGAGACATCACGATCAGCTCGGGGCAGTGGCTCAGACCTGGTCATCCATCGGAAGCAACGTACTCCAACGTGCGCGGTTCGAGGTGTTGCTCGTATGGATGATCAGGTGCGAGACACCGGTCGATGACGAGCCAGCTGCCAGGGATAGACTTGAAATGAACACAATTATCAGGTTAACTGGGCGTTAAAACTGATATAGGATTCGTAGAGGAATACTGAGGAGATAGCAAGCAAGGGCAGAGAAGAGGAAGAGGGAAGAAGGGCGGCCAGGTGGACGAAAGAGAGGGGGACGCAAACAACCCTCCACTCAAACGCGAGCATATATATGCGCGCAATAGTGGAATGCATCTCTATTCAGAGCGTCCCAGACAGTAAACATCTGCGTTCAACAGATCATGACCGTCGATATGTGCAGCCGAGCTAGGAATGCGTCCCGTTGACTCGTCTCAGAAAGCATAGCGAGCTTCGATCAAGCTTTGGCATAACGTGTGCATGATATAGCGCATACACTCCCATCTACCCTCACGCACAGCTGTCCGAGAGCGGAGCGAGGGATTCGTAGTTCCTGTGAGGTTCAGATCAAAGTTCACCAGGTTTCGGCAGCAGCAGCGGCTCTCGTGAAGAGGCTCTCGACGCGATGCGCGTGATGGTCGAACACGCATCGTGAATCGCATAGACAGGTCACGCAAGATAGTGTCTAGAAAAGCGAAAGATATACAGGCATCTGTGTAGTCGACCTCGACGATATGAACTGTTGGACCACGGACGCCCGTGAGAGGAATGACGACGAGAAAGGCAGTATGTAGGTGTAGTAACGCGCGCGTCGGAGGCAATTTTCCTCCGTGATTTCCGAAAAAGGGAATTCTTGCCCTATGCGCCTGCGTGATGTTAGGGTACTGGTTAGGATCCCATCCAGCAGGTTAGGGTGGTTAAGGTTAGGGTGGGGTAGGGGTTAGGGTTAGGGTTACCGGTAGGGTGATAATATCATATTTTTACCTAAGAGAATTATTTATTTAAGCAATGCCATGGGCAAGGTCCATAGCATTGGTTCGTTATCAAGCTCTTTCTATATTTGGTAAAAGTAGGGTCTTTTGCCTCCGACGCGCGCCTTACTACATGCTTCTTACTACGTTTCTCGTCTATACTCCGTGAGAGGGAGATGAGATGGCCGACCCTAACGAAGCGCGCCAGGCCCCACCAACAACGACCACGATGACTGGAATCCTGCCAGGACAAGCATCTATGCCCTTCGTGATATCTCTCCTCTTTCAATCATTCCTCGTCCCGTCTAAACGCCGTATCTCCCATATTCCCTGCTGCAAACTGCGTTCACAGAATGTGCTACTGCTAGATGAGAAGGCAATAAGCGCCATGATGCGACAAGTGAGTGATACCCACGTTTCAGCTGCGGTATCAGTATGCTGACCGGGAAGAATCGTCTATCGATTTGTCGATCTGTCGAATGTCGCTCCCTACTTCATGGTCGGTTGTGATGTCGTCAGTCACCAGGTCTGCGAGATACTCATAGGGTGAGAGAATAGGCAAGGACCATCAGAATCCAGATATGTTAGTATGCCGAACCTGCGTTAAACGAGTGTCGTCACATCTGATATTTTGACAGGATGAGATCTTTGTGAATGAGTGTGACCCGGATGTTGGAGCTTAGACCGAGCCCTCTTTTTCCTCTGGAACACGCCTTCACATGTTTTCCCCTGGAACACACCTGCACATGTGCATACACCCACAGCCTCGTTCACGCCAAGCAGTTCAGTAAGATCACCACTACTGGTAGTACCAACCCCGGACGCCGCTGGTGTCTGCACAACCTCTCCCTTTTCCTCACTCGAGCCTGTCGGGGTTGACAACTAGGCACGCTCCACTCCACCCAGCAAGACAGTTCCTGGCCCATGTGACCTCCAAAGGTCTTTGCTCAGGCTGGGTATAACCCCACTGGGCATCTGACTGTTTGATTGATATTGTACATCCCTTATGGGGAATAACTTGTCTCCCTAAGAATCAAGTATAAAGAATCCGAGCGCATGCTGGGAGGTTCTGATAAATTGCCGCCGCCGCCGCAGTAAGCGACCACGGTGCCCAAACATCATGATCTCGGCCCATGTCCAGCATCATCACCCCTGTGCCAACAACGGGAAACTGACCAAGAAGCAAGAAAAGAACCAAACACCGAGAACCTGAATCCGGATCAACTCGTTCCCCGAATCTAGGACTCACGTAACGATCAAGTGATATGATAGGAGCAATTAGGGACGATACAGTTCCACCCTCACGTTCAGGGCCGGTACGTCGTTACGTTACGTCACGTACGTACCGCGGGTGTTCTGAACCCCGCTCTAGTCCGGGGCTGGTATTCGGAAAATATGTCGACGATCAACAAGCTTGAATCGGGAAGTGCTAGGATCTGACGTGATACGGTCGATCTGGGAAAGATCTGAGAGTGCTGTTCGAAGCCTGAGGTTCCCAAGGATAACCGCACTGGGAGATCATGCATGACTGGAATAGATTAGCTCTTGTTTTGGGATAGAGGCTCGCCTTCGCGCAGTACTGCGCGTGCACCGATCTTGGTCGGAGGATGGTCCGGACGAGACTAGCCCGCACAGGCGGGAGATAGGGGCAGCTGGCCGGCTCTTGGTGTACCTGCACACGCAGACGGAGAACAGACAGGCATGCGTCGTCCTCCACCGCCAGCACAACAGCACGCCGACAGACCAGCACAACAGAGGTCGTCCCCGGTATCCACCCCTATCTCTCTATTCAGATCGAGGACGTTCCCACGCTGTGAGGGAGCGTACATATGGGCTATAGAGATAGGGGTTTGTTGACGAGGAAGGCACACGACGTCGCTGGTTTGTTGTAGGGCGTGTGGTAACGAGCACCGACACCCCCTATGTGCTTGAATTGGCTCGTGTGCTGTCCCTTGTTTCTTGGTCAGAGGGAAGAGCGGGGTGCATTCCAGTTGTGTGTAGGGTAAACAACGCGTATTATACGAAACAAGCAGCCACAACAAACTGGTGTGATCGAGGTGTTGATGAAAGAAGAGTAATGACGGAAGTATAAGTGAGTTGACCAATGAGAGAGTGAAGAAGGGTATCCGTGTGGGGCTGTGCTATGCAAATTGAGTGCGCCTCGAGGCAGCGCTTTGTCTGTCATGTCCTCACCTGCCCTCACCTCACCATCACGCCCCGTATTGAGAGGACATTACGCTCTCTTCATATTCTTCATCTTCATCCACTCAACACACCACATCTCTACTCTCAACCACCACCATCACTACACCTCCCTACTCATCATCATCGTGCTGGTCACACTCACCCTGCCAGCGCTCATGACACCTACCGCACACACTTCTCTCTAACAACCTCCCCCACTCAACCATGTCCGCCATACCCGCTCCAGCTCACTCACCACCCGAACAATGGGAAGATGACGATTTCCCTCTTCCACCAGGGGTAGACCTCCTCTCCTACACAAGGAACAGGTCATCACTCGCCAGTCAGCTTACATGGGAAGGCAGCGAGGGCAGTAGTCTGGGCGGTTCACCCGTAAAGCCCGTAGAGGAGGAAGATGATTGGGATAAGGACATCCCTTCCTCACCTGCTCCCTCCCACCCGCAGTCAAAGCTCTCGCTCAACGCCCCCCCTTCACCGCATTTCACTGGATCGATCACTCGACTCGGGTCTGTCTCCCCTCATCAGCCAGAAGCGGAAGACGACGGGTTCGACTTCTCCGACGCACCTCCTCCCTCTTCCCTCCGACTCAAAGTACGTACTCCGAGAGCCCTCGATCTGGACTGGGACGACGACGGGAAAGCGGACACGGTGAAGGGTTCTCTCGGAATAAACGCACTGAGGAACACGTTCAAGCCTGTCTTGCCCCCCACCCCTGGTATGACAGAAGAAGACGACTTTGAAGCTGCGTTTGCCCTTTCCCCCGAAGTAGCCTTCCTCTCCCTCTCCAGTAGCTCACATCCAAAACCACCCAACACGCCGGATACAACGCTGGGATCGACGATCTTCTCCCCCTCCCCTTCGCAGCTGTTTCACAGTACTTCCCAGCTGTCACTAAATACCCCCAGTACGAGCGCCAGCGCGTCGAGTCAAGGGGACTCGCTCTCCTGCCCTGGGTCGCCCGTGCCTAGCGCAAGCACAGGTCTGAGCACGCATGGGGAGGAGCTGTCTGACCTCGCCTCTGGTCTCGGTCTTGGCCTTGCTCTCGGTCTGGAAGCACACCGTTCCTCTGTAGGGATGAGCGAGCAAGATATTTCCAAAGCCTCGGATACAGAATCGATGGACATGGAAGCCGACATCCTCTTCCCGGCGAACATCACCGCCCGGGGGTTACAGCAGCTCCTCACCGCTCGGCAACAGCGGGCCGAGGCCTCCCAGCCCCGGCCAGCAGAGGAAGAACCGTTCGAACAAGGCCTGCTTATCGCCGCTGACGAAGAACTCTCACCCTCCAGGCTCAAAGCCCGGCAGAGAAGTATGATCCCTATCGCTGCTAACCGCCAGCCGTCAAGGCGCCAATCTCAGCTCTCTCAACCGGCACCGTCCCACCCTCAATCAACACATGCACACCCAAGCCAAGGACAGCCAGGGTTCCTCTCCCCCCCACCACGCCTCGGACATAGGAAAAGCACGAGCCGCCTCCTCTCCCCCTCCCCCGTGCTCCGGCCAGCACCTCCCAAAGCCCTCCGCAGAAAAGCGAGCCTGGGGACGATGCTCCCCTCCGCCGCGGCCGCCGCAGGTCACAAGCAGAAAGCAGGAAGCACATCCTCCACCGACTCACTTTCCCTCAGCTCACCCCTCCCCCTCCCGCAGGGCGTACCCCCCGTACCCCCCATACCGGCAAACATAAGCCCGACAACGTCCATCTCCTTCCGTCGACCAGCATCCCAATCATCGTCACTCGTCTCCCCGCGCTCTCCGAGTCCGGCACCGAGTTTCTTGGGAACGGGCAGTGGCCGGAGTAGGGCCAGCGCGAGCGGGAGTGGGAGTGGGGGGTCGCATGGACAGAGCTCGGCGGGGAGTACGAGGAGTAGGTTGGACGCCGCCCCAGGAGCGGGCGCGGGCGCGGGGCCGGTCAGGGCTCCCGTGGGGAGAGGGATGGGAAGGGCGAGCCAGACACAGCCTAGTAGGAGGATGGACGCGCCTGGGGTTGGAGCAGCTCGAGTTGGGGCTGGGGCGGGTGTGGGAGGGGGAGGGGGAGGGGCGAAGAGGACTCCGCCGAGGCAGAGGGGGAAGCTGGCGGGGTTGTTCCCCGGTTTGGGTGCGAACGGGAACGCGGCGACCGCGACTGGGAGTGCTGTTGCTCCTGGGGCTCCTACGGCTGGGAGAGGCGTCTCCCCCGCTCCTACAGGTCAACGTCCCCCCCCATCCCCCATCTCCATCCCCAGCCCAAGCCCAAGCCCAAGTACAGGCAAAAGACATCCACAGTCAGCAAGGTCCCGTCGCGCGGCTGCTCAAGCGCCCGAGGGGTATCGAACGACGAGGCAGGATCTGGGGCACGGGGAGGGAGTTGGATGGGATTGAGGATTTGCCTGTGGGGAAGGAGGATGCGCCCACGAATTCGAGCGGTGCAGGTGTAAGTGCAGGTGCTGCTGGTGCGAACGGTGCGCCTGGGCCTAGCTCCTGGGGCACTGTCAGGCGAGGGATGCGAGAGCCTAGTCCGGGGCCTACAGCCCCTGCGCCTGGTCCTGGTGCTAAGGTCAGATCGGGGCTGTACGCCCTCCGTCAGGGGCAGAAGGCCTCTCAGCCTAAGCCTCCCCAGCCGCAGGCTCAACCGCCAGCGCCAGCGTCGTCGCAATCGCAGTCGCAGCCGTTCGCCGCTCTCGGGAACGGGAGTGTCAGAAGTATAACAAGCGTGGGGAGTGTGGGGAAGGAGCCTACGCCCAGGAGTCGGGCTGCTCCTCGAGTGGGGGAGAAGGAAAATGTCCGCGAGAGGAAGGGGAGGAAGGGGCCTACGTTGATTCGTGATCTCGGGAGTTTAGGTTTGCCCAGAAGTGAGTCACGCTCTTCGACCCGGACGGGAACCGGGAAACCCTCATGCAATGCTCATGCTCATGCTCGTATTTCCTCTAGCACAAAACGGGATGAAGTGGAACCCGACTAAACAGCGCTGGGACGGCCAGGAACACTTGCTTAACGTCTTCGACCCTCCTCCTTCCGCACGTCCGGCGCTCATCACCCATCTCACATCTTCTATCACTTCGCCCTTATTCAAGACCCTAGGCCTCACCGGTGCCGGTGCCGTAGGGGCGCGTGTGGTCGGGGAGATGATGTTTGATCCTGTGGAAATGCGTTGGTTGCGCCGGGATGGTGCGGAGGAGGAAGACGTGTTTAAGCATGTTGAGGAGGAGAGCAGTGTTGGCAGTGAGCATCCTGATTCGCACGAACACGAACACGAAACCGATGCTCCTGGGGCTGGGGGGACGATCCGCGCTCGTCTGGGGTCGAACATCCCTTCCCCGGGGAAGGGAACCGGCGCCCCCGTAGACCCGGACCTTATCAACCAGTGCCGGGAGGCGGAGGCCCGGCATCGGCTTGAGCTTGCGGGGTGGTTGGGGGGGATGGAGAGTGTGCCTGCTAGTCCGGTGGAAGATGACGACCATGCAGGAAAGGGGCATCGTTGGCTCTGGGATATCCGCACGCTTGCTATGCAGACCTAGGTCCCTGCGTGCGTGGTCAGACCGTGCGGTCCAAAACTTGCACTTTGCACTTCGCAATCAAGCACAAGCATACGATCGAATTACTCACACAAATCCCGCCTCCTGCCTCACGCCTCATGCCCCATGCCTCGTGGTTCGTGCCTCAAGGTCAACCCCCACATATGCATATAAAGTATCATCCCCCTTGTGCTGCCCTTTGTTTTTACGTGTTGTACATCCACGGCTCCGCCACGGCCTTCTGTCACGTTTCCAACAATTGTCACTCATCAGTGATCGCTCCTTCCAAACCCCAGGACCCGTCGCTCGCTGATTGGCAATGTTTTTCCTTTCCTCCCTCCCTCCCTCCCTCCTTCCTTCCTTACTTGCGTTTCCCTCTCCTTTCATACCCAACCTCGTTTTATCTTCCTCTTCTGTTCATATAAAATATTTTCTCTGTTGATTCGTTTTGTTGACCCGTCTGATTTCGTTCTTGGTCTCTCGCTTCTGCTGTTCATGATCACGACCTGCGATGACCCTCCAAGTACTTATCATACCACAATACGCATATTGCATCTTCTTATGCCTGAGTGACGAGATGCCCCTTATGGACAGACTATGCATACAAACGTCATTGTCGCCCCTTTGGAGTTCGCCATTGAATGCAGTCGTGCTACTCCAGATATTGCGACTAGCAGCGTTGATCTCTACCATTCTTCCGATATTATGGCACTGCGTGATCTACAAGCAAGATCTCTGGAAGCCCCTGTTCAAGCTGCACATCCACGTCTGCATCATGCCCTCCAAGAGCAATACAATAATGCTCCGACCGTCAGTTCTGCGATACTAGTAATACTGCCTGATATCATCCCAGGACACGAATACCGCATCATCCAGCTGGACCAAATCAACCGAGTAGAACACTTCAGGCTTGTAATAGTCAGTCACGTCTGCCGGTGATGCTGGATCCGTGCATGATCGAGTCCCGTTGTCCACTGTCAAACAAGACGGGTATATGCTCGCCAGATCGTATGCCTGAATGCAATCAGTATATTGATTCACCTCAGAAGTTGTATGCGTACCTCAAAGTCGTCACGTGGAAGGAACCGCCTGCGGCTGGTCTTCACCGCGGAAGAATATGTGAATGCGGAGGGCTGATCATAGTACCAGTATGACTGCTGCTTGTAGCTGGAGTCAACGCGAGCCAAGAACTTTGCGTATGTGCCTTTCGGATCTCCGTAGACTGCGCTGGCAGCTGCGACGTGTGGGGCAAGCTCTGCTGTGTCGTCATTGGCGTCAGGAGGGACCGTCATAGTATAATCGACCGCATCTTGGATGGTCGCCCCAGATTTGGTCTTGAGCACCCATACGTTGAGTCCCAACTGGTCGGCTAATTTCCCGATGGTCTACGAGCACGCGTGAGAACATGAATCCCCACAGCAAATGAATCACTTACAAACAAAGCTTCCAGATTAAACGCTCGATAATGAAAGGAGCGACCTTTTCGTGCCGCCTCCCAGGGCTGACGGTGTGTTAAACCTAGTCATGCTGAATGTGTTGATACACTGACCTGTTCGCCGCTCGCAGCAATCTGATCTTGAAATGCGCCGGTGAAGAAATTCTTTATAGTTTGTCGAGCGCCAACCTCATCGCCCACAAGTATCTGCAGAGCGGCTGCTTGCGCATGCCAAAAGGTCCCGTGGTTGCTTTGAGAGAGTCAGGTCTGATCCACGAAACAGTCGTATCGATAACCTTACTTGGTTGCTTTGGACGCTGCTACTCCAATGTTGGACGTCTGGATCCATTGCAGGTACGACTTCGTCCACGTTGTCATAGCACTGTCTATGCTGGATGTCCAGTCTGAGTTTTTCGTCGAACGTAGCATCAGGATGCCATTCACAATCTTCACCATGCCACGAAAGTCCAGCACACCCATAAACTGACCTTGTTGATGACCAGGTCCACGGACGAGCTGACCATAGTTGAGGTTGGGATTCATGCCGGTCTTGGAGTCGAGGAAGAACGTGTTTATAATCGATGTTGCCGATCTTGTGTACTGAGATCCTCCCGCTAGCACGAAGGTGATCGCATTGTACAAAACGGCCTGAGCGACAGCCTGAATAGCGTTGACGCCGTTCAGCTGCCGGACATCAGGGTTGACTTGTCCATCCTTTGTCTTGTAAGGACATGTGGTCCACGCTGAATGCGTTCAGTCCGACATCCACAATAGACGATAATCTGAATACTCACTGGCGGACGGTGCCAAGCTTTTGGTGGGCGAAGGGGTACAGGACCCGGAAGATGTGGACGCATACAGCTCGGCATTTTGTCCGTTTCCAGATGAATCGGTCAAATAGACGGAATCTGAAGAGGTTGGATTGCTTGTCAACGCCGTAGATACAAGACTCAGAGATGGAGGTGCTTGGGTGACCACAGATCCAATGGTGGGTTGAGCAACGAGTGAGGTGGAGCTAACCTGATCAGACGGAGTGGCGAGGTCTGGAAGAGAAGTTATCGGTGTCGACGGCGTGTTTGCATCGTTGCCTAGACCGATCTCAATGCCGTCGGGGCCGAACACCGAGATATCTGCGCGGGGATAAAGGTGGTCCGAATCTTGACCGGTAGTTGCTCGGGTACCGGGGTTGACTGCGTCCAGCCAGACTACTTCTTCGAGTCGTCTTTTCTTTGACTTCGAAGGACACCAATTGCAGTCCGGCCAGTGACTGGATATGAACAACTTGTCAGCAACTAGATCATCCTTGTTAAGCATGGAAACTTACTATGGTGCCCAGCTCAGGTAGTCACGACTGTTCCCACTGGGAGGAAGAATTTTGGTGTCGGTAAGCGCTGTAAAGCTGTGTCACAACATTGACGGATGAAGTATGAGGGGGTACGCACTCCAAGGTCCGCTGTTTGAGCTGTACGAGGCACCCTGTATGATAGCATTACGGGCATCGGATGTTGATGGGTCGGGCTTGTTAGCAATGTACTTGGGGTTAACCCAATCCGTGGGGTCGGCTTCACAAGAGGGTCAGAGGACGCATACAGGTAGGAGATAGAAGGCGTACCCAGCGACGCAGAGATGAGAAGAGCGGTAGTTCCCAGAGCAGTCCACATGTTCAACATGGGAATGTGTTTTGTCCTGAATATCCTGACCTGCAGATGCAACGCTCAACGTCGCTAGCTTATAAGGAACGCTGGTAGCTGTTTTCGGAAATGGAAGAAGGGAAGGAGATGGAGGAAGTGAAGGGGGGAAAGAGGATGAACACAAAAGGGCTCAACCAAACCAAGCCATTTGTATGCAGGAATGCATCGATTCGGATGGCCCCAGACAGTAAAACAAGAGCGTTTAACAAAACGTGACCATAGATTTGTATATGCGTGCGCCCTCGGAATGCGTTGTCGATTCGTCTCAGACAGTCCTGTGGCGAACTTCGATCACGTCTTTACATACCTTGTGCATGATATAACGCATCTAGGCAGACCACTTCACACAGACGGCCGAAGATGGAGGCACACCTCGATTTCAGGAGAGGTTCAGATGAAAGTTACCCAGGTTTCGGCAACGGCAAGACCACTCCTCTGGGAGACACTTTCGAAGCCATCCATGCGATTGACAAACGCGCATGTTATAGAGTAGACAGACCACGACCACGACAGACGGTGCTCGAGAAAAGCAATGAGATGCGTAGACATTGACTGTGTCGTCGACTGGTGAAAAGTTATCTGAAGCCTGACAAAGACATCATCGTAGACTCGAGGTGAGGGCCAGGAGTTCGACCCTCATTTGACGCGTTGATGACTTGACCGACAATGGCAACGACGATGTCATTCCTCCCATCGAACTTTACACTAGGCATCCTTCTAGGCCAAGCATCTATACTATTCCTGATCTATCTATTTGTACGATACCTGCTCCTCGCCGATCCTGACGATCCTGTTTCCCACTCTGCTGCTCCAAAACCGCGATTACGAAATGTCCCACCGTCAAGTGAGAAGCGGGAGAGTGAGCAGGCAGTGTGGTTGAACGCTATGACACGACAAGCAAGTGATGACGTTTCGATCAGTATATAGGAATGCTAATGCACAAGTACAGATAATCGATGCATACCGGGCATCACTCTCTACTCCACCGCCGAATGTGTTGCCCTCTCCCGCCCAGGCGGCGGACACCGTCAGGGTGAGGGTAGAGAAGTGGGTGAACGACCACCGAAGTCCAGATGTAATGGTAAGCGGGCTGCTCTTCTAACTGATTCTGCAATAATGACATCTGCACAGGATGAGATAGTTGTGCACGAATGCGACTTAGGCGCTGGAGCTCCCAGTGTTGAGGACGTTCGACTGAGCCCGCATGTGAAGGGCGGCTTGGTATGTGCAATGCCTGTTTAGCATTTTTGGTGTATAGTGATACTTGCCCAGAAAGCCGAATTCGACATCTCCTACAGTCCGTCAAGTCCACCGACAATATCAATATCCACCGCGATACTGCTGAATGTGCCGGTGTCAAGGTTCGGCTCGCTTCCAGTCTCCTTCAATATCGCTCTGTCACACATCAGTGGCACTGTATGTGCGACGGTCCTCGTCTCCTGCAGCTGGCTGACTCGAACTTAGTTAATATTTCATATCCCGCCAGATTCAGCACCGATATCCATGAACTTATCATCAACGCCACCTTTACGGTTGTCCCTCTCTCAGTCCTCACTTGTGGGCTCGCGAGCCAAGCTTGCGGATCTTCCCAAGTTGCACGAGCTGGTGGAGTCAAGGGTACGTACGGTGCTTGAGGACCAATTGGGAAAGGCGGGTGAAGGCTGGGCATTTGTCCTACCGGGGTTGGGTACTGGCATGGGTGGTGTAGAGGGGCTAGCGCGTACAGTGGGCGAGGAAGTCCTGGGCGGGGACTCGGCAATCTCGTCTTGAGGTGTGGCCGTACCAAAATAGTCCGTGAATTTTCACCCCTCTGCAAGGACATTTTGCATTCTGGATGCACGTGTAATCGAGCCCTGGGCAATTAGTTATTGAAACAAAATCGGTGTTGTAGAATACATTGGGGAGCACAGAGGGCAAGATCTGCTATCTATGAAGCTGCACTTGGTTCAGACAGTCCATGTATGGAAGTCAACACGTCACCAAGCTTGCTCGCAGACTTAAGCACATGTTGGGTATTAGGGAAGAGTGTTTCGTATATCTCGTTTGCTCGTTCAGTCTGCTGTTTGATCAGTCGCGCTCCTCGAAGGAGGAAGACACTCACGTTAGAGTCGTTCCATTCCAGGTCGTGCCACTTCTCCTCCTTTTCGTCTCTCATCAACATAAGCATCTCTTTACGTACCCCCGAGGTACCACCCAACCCATCTTTATCCGATCCTGGGGCTTTGACCGTCCCAATGACCTCTCTGACATCGCGCGGCTTTCCTCGACCGCCACCGTCTTTTCCTTCCTCTTCATCATCATCGTCATAATCTTTCTTTCTCGATTCCTTGTCCCTTGCAGCGAGCACGTCCAAGTAGTCAAGGGATGGCCGCAGCTGATAAGTGTGTTCTAATGGATGCAGGTAGAGGGTATTATCCCGTAAGACGCCGACCATGTTCGTCGTCCGTGGTTTGGCGCCCTTTACGCTCTGAGAGACAAGTCGAACCTCATCCAGCCGCTTGTGGATTTCTTCATCCGAGCGAGATTTCTTCTTCCGCCTGATGCCCGACGCAGAGCTTTCTGCCTCTTCTTCCTCCCTTCCCAGGCCCAATTCGTTCCCCCTCTCCTCGTTGTACACTTCCTCGCGCGTGTCCAAAGGTAGGCGAACCTCGACAATCCCTGATTTAGGTTTATGACGAGCTTTTATCTTCCGTCCGGCTGCCTCTGCAGATGCAGGCACTCGGAGTTGCGTCAGCAGTGGGAATTGGTGAATCGACAAGTTGGGCGCCAGGCGATTGCTCAGGTGAATGGGTATTGTTGCAATTGGTGCGTCAGGATCGATCATATGCACATCTTGAGGCTGTGATGGACCAGCATCAGCCATTAGAATGTCGGAAGACATATTGCTTGTTTAGCCGTGCGCAGAGCCTTAGAACAACGACATAGCTGCTGCTGTCGATAAATAATTATTCGATCCCTGGTCGGAGCCGAGCACAACCCCGACAACGGCTTCTTTTCCTTTTCCTACTTCTCGCCGCCACCCAGCGGTTGCCCTTTACCTCGTCACGGTGTCTTTATCCTGATTGCGAGTCACAGCGCGTCATGTCCAAATCACCCATGAAAACGTACTCGTTCGACGCAGTGGAACTCACTTGATCTTATATTCACATGACTGAGCTGGCCGCGATCTTGCCCTGATTATCTCTGATGATGAAACACTGCTGAGCATGAATGCTGTGGCCACCATAATGCCTCGTGTTCTTTCTCCAGGCCCCGTCAATCCGTCAGGCTATGCATTTGTGTGGGGCTGGATAGGGGCTAGCGTATATAGGTCGACGCGGTTTGTGGTTTGAGGCCAATCTTACTGTTTACTCTCTTTGTCTTGCGACCACAAACCTAGCTTGTATCGACACTTCTTATGCAGACATCTCTATCCTCTGCTACTCTGCATATGCCATGCCGCTCCTTCAAGAGACTAAATCGACACCTTCGCCGCCGCTATACCAATCAGCGTTCCCCACCCCGAAGAGCGAAATGCCGCTGAAACGCGTCCGGCTGCAGCGGCCCCACGAACTTCTTCCTAAACGTACGAGTGGCAAGTCTCCTCGCTCGTTGAAAAGCCCATCCAAGCACAAGAACTATTCAGAGCGTCAAACTTCATCTTCCAAGAAACGCTTGCCATCTAGGCTAGGTGGACCTAGCGTACCCGCCCCTCCCTACCCGACGGACACGTCCCAAATGCCGCGTACCGCCGCCGATCCTCTTTCACCGTCATGCTGGAGATACTCGGCCAGTCCATTCCACGAACTGCTACGAGAAGAATACACGAGATTTTGGCTGCCGTGGAGAATGTGGGCGGAGGACAGCCCAACTCTTCTAACGTCTCATCATTCAATGTTCCTTGCGGAACGTGTCAGAGCCTCAGTAAGCTTACAATACATGACCAAATCAACTAGGGTACTGATTTCGCGGCTGATAGGACTGGGTGGAACAGATGTTTGAATCCTGGTTCTTGGCTGGCTATGGTTACCGCAAGACGCATTCTGAATATCTCGGCATGGACTCTGATTAACTATATGATGACCTTACGATTATCCGGGCTTATGCATCTCATCCTATGCCGATTCTATTGTTCTCTGATGTGTTCACACGTGGTCTGCCTCTCCTTGTTCTACCACAAGTTCCCTACTGTAATACACAGCCGCTGGTCTCTTCTCCGCTGTGCGCTCTCAGTGTTTCAGGACGATGTTAATTTGTTGCGACCCAGCGATTTTCGACCTGTTAACAATTCATTTCATTTTAACAATACTGTAATTCTCGTACACGTACGATGCCTGAACTGCTTTCTCGCGTATGTCAATAATGCCTCTTCATCGCAACCTGTGAATCGAGCTCTTCATCCGTGATGTCAATGTAGAATTTCGCGCCTCCTGTCTGGATCTATTGCTGGTTGCTCGGGGAGCTTTTTCAGACATGGGGAGCTAGACGGGGCCGACCGATCGCTTATGGATTATGGTGCCGATGACAAACTCTCACGACGTCCTCACTCGTCTCGTGTATGTTCTACAGTCCCTCTGAGGCCTGATCACTGGTATCAGATACTGAATATCATCTGACAATAACCACACCGCCGCATGTCCTTGGAAGAAAACGGTCCAAAAATCAGATGAAGCGCTCAAAAATGGGCGTGGTAGGCCACAACACCGCAAATGGCAAGGTAAAACCTATCATCTTGCTAAAGGGAACGACGGGACTTTTCTTTCGCTTCTTCATGTCATACTTTCTGGTTTTCTCTTCGGAAGTGTTTCTGGAGCGTCGAACCCGATGATCGAATGGTGGAATATGGACAACGCGATCCTTGTATGTGATGCAGCTCGATACAATGGCTAATGCCGTCTTTTATGTCATTGACACATATCAAACTTGCAAGTTCGCGTTTTCTGTTCATACAAGGCATTGCGTGCTGCGGTATGGCAACCGCTCACTTGGAGGGGAGTAACAAAAGGAGGAAGAAAAACAAGACGGTGCGTGAAGTGAGGGGAAAGTAGAAACTGTACCTCCACCAGTCAGTGAACGATAGCTCCATATGCGGAAAGATAATTTTGTGAGTCGCAGCTACGCGCATAGAAACAACTTTGGAGGGGCGTTGTGGATATGCAGTACATCAGCAATAGAGGCAGAACAACCGGCCACTGGGCACATCTTGTCCCAGTGCCCTCCTGCGGGAAGAGGTACCAACCCTGATCGCCAATCACGATCTGGATCAGACGCATTGACGCTGACTGCTTCTCTAATCCCACCTGTTTGAGGACCTACGGGCAGAAGATATGTGAATACGAAGATATTATGAGGTGTGGAATCATGGACCGAACCAAGACAAAACGACATGCGCGTATATCGTTGTAGCATGTTGGAACCTTCCACATCCTCCTAGAATCTCAAAACCGCCAGGTGAAGACCGGCTGCAAGCTCGAGTACAGCTTGATCAGATGTCATCAAGTCTGCGGGGACATCGGAGTTCCAAGCTTTCGAGATGCTGATCGGGGATACCCTTATGATGGCGTGGACATGAGATGATGTCCTTGGCGGCACAAAACACACAGACGATTCACGACCGGTACTTCGAGCAGTGATGCGCCAATGCATTTCGATGCTCCTGAGAGACAGGCTGCAACCTGACTGGTGTCTCTCAGCCTTCCTGGGAAGCGCAGTGCCAAGCAATGACGTGTTTCCAAGGAAGGTGACACGTGCTGAGTCTTTCACGGAAGGTCTTAAACAGTAATCACAGAGCGTGTGCGGCGCAGCCTATCAGTAGTACATGATTCCCTCGAAGATAAGATCCGCAGCAAGTGACCGTCCAAGTCGAGTGCGTGTGAAACTCATTGATCCGGGGGAGATTGACAGTCAAGAAAACATAGCATATATAGCGGTCTCCTGGCAATGTACAGCTGACTTGCTGTACAGAATCATAATCATGATGGTGGGTGGAAGGATCATCATCATCATAGGACATCATCGCCCATGAGCAAATGTCGTAACAAGATGACAAAGTGGGACTCTGTGTGTGGCGCTGCCCTAGTGCTTCCGGATGTTCGGCACGCCTCGCACCTTACAATTGTCGTTCATTCTCTCTCAATTGCTCATGACCTACCATTTGTATCGTATCAATAAAGCAATTTCTATAATTTTGCTGGAAATCTGTGTTCCAGAACTCTGCCACAATGAGGATAAAGCGGCGTAGCGCCGGAGTCAATGGTCCGCACTGCATCTTCGGGTGCTCGCGGCACAGCGGAGAGCGGCTAACAACTGGGCTGTGGGAACTGAGTCGGCCCCGACACGTCGGCTCGTAAAAGGCACGGCAACGCCAGCGCTCACTGACATGTTACAACTTACACTAATTCAACTTTACAGGTATCTGCTAAATACCCCACGACTTATCGGTCCGCCGGCACAACAACCACACCCTCCATCCACGCAGCATGCCGATGGGAGAAACAAACCCAGATTTCCAAAAACATATGCGAAGGCGCGACCAACGGATCACCGAACAACCATCGGACGACCAGGAGAGCAATTTCGATTACCCACCACGACTGCAGGTGATAGGCTCTTCTAGTGGGCTCGATCGGCGGTATGGCTCGTTCTCGAGAGCAGAGGAGGTGGTGCGGGCTTGGAGGGAGAGGAACGCTAAACTGACGGACGAGTCCAGTGCGAGTGCGAGCAGTGATAACGACGGTTCTCCGTCGTCTTCCGGGCAGAGAGAGCGTAGGCACAAGCACAAGCACAAGCACCGGGCAAAAAACAGTCACGATGGGGCTACCCGCTCTCACCGGTTCGACCACTCGAGCAGAGATCACGACGAACTCCATCAATCTCACCACTCTGTACGGAATGCGACGCGAGAACTAGTACGGTCGACAGTGACGAGCGACGACCCGGACCGGTCTGTACTTGTTCGGCAGATGCTGGATGGGTGCAGGGAGAGCTGTAGGCAGGCTGGAGTATCCTTTGAGGACATCCTTGGTGAGGACATGGAGGGACTTGAAGTACCTCCTCTGGTATATGAGATCTTCACAGGGTGGGAGGATGCGGGATTGCTCCAGTTTCTGCTCGACAACACCCCTGCTCGACATGTGGAGATGTTCGTCCGGCGCGGCTGTATGATGCGCGGGGACAATACCATGTTCCAGGTATTACGGTCCGCACTGTCCGCCAGCGAGAAGGTCGACATCGTCCGTTACAGCTTGACGATGAAGGAAGATGCAGGCCAATTCCAAGTAGAAGGGTCGATTGAATGCATGCCCGAGCTGCTCGCTCGTGTTTGCACCCCCGTCAGCGACCGGAAACGCCCACTCCCCTCCCCGGTGGAATGGATCGCCGCTGGTCGTATGTGGAGCATAGAGCCCACAGCCCAAAATACCCTCATCCTCCGATTGCTTGCTGGGGAGCCCCTGAAGGTGGTTGACGCCGATCTCACCATCGTCGCCCGGGACGCTGCATCATCCTCTGGAAGGAAGAACAGCATGGCCGTATCGATGATGAAGGACAAGAGCATGCCTGTCAACCTCGTCCCCCTCTCGCAGTCTGGAGTCAACACCATCTTATTCATCCCCTTCAGCCCGATGCAAGAGCGCCTCACCCTCCCCGCATGCCTTTCCGCCGACGGAGCGCTTCACTTCCATCTCTCGTTGAGCTTTCTCAACCCGTCCAAGTCGCGTGACTCGAGCGAAACGGAAGACTGGGAAAAGATTGCCCGAGAGCAGGACTGGGTGTTGGCCAGATGGTCAGGCAGGGGTGGTGAGGCACATTGAGGTATGAGAATGGATCCACTCTGTAACATCTTGTACTTGTGTCTACGGCACCCTGACCGTACCCTTTTGTATTGCTCCCTACAACTGGTATATTCTGTCACTAATCTCTTGTTCTTTGTCTGTTGCTTGTATACTCATCCCGCATGCTAACACCCAGCACCTGTTGGCGGTGGACCACCGACTGAACAACTTGAAGCCTGCAGCGCGACAGCCCTCACCAGCGCTGCCACAGCCGCCCTAAAGTGGATGTGTGACTTCTGGAAAGACTTGGACGCACTGCATCCTCGACGGATTTCCTTTCTAGAGTTCTTGTAACCACATTACGCATTTCATTTGGAATATTCCCGGACGGGTCTAGCCTCGTTATGTCCATATCCCGACACCAGCGCTTGTGTTGCTTACCAATTACTCGTACAGGCGATGCCCTGCCCCTCACCATGTTGAACTTCATCGCCCCCTCCATAACAGCGCCTCCATATCAATATCCACACTCTCAGAGTGCGTCTACCTCGGACACCACTATATCAACCATTAACTCATACGCATTGAATTGTCTTGGCGGTCACCCCGCATCCCTTTTGACAGAGTCCCCCAAGCTTACGGCATCCCTTGCTGCTCGATACATTCCAATGCCCGTGGCCGTCGCGCTGACAGACGTCTCAATGGAGAAGCAGGGTACGTACGAGACATCCATTTTGCACGTGAACGACGATCTCAATATTACATGCGCATATCCACCAGACCTCCGCGTTGCAGGCGTCCTTAAGCTCTTCGAGTCCATTTCTGTGAGCGTGATTGAATGCACACGCATAGGAAATTTCCCCATCGATGGAGGAGGTTATGCGGACGTCTGGAGGGGGAAGCGGTCTTCAGATGGGATGGAAGTTGCATTGAAAGGCTTGAGAATCAATCATGAGGATCAGGTTCTCATCAAGGTGCGCAACATCGAGCAGCAAATTACGGTGATCTGTCCGTTGACACATATCCTCAGCTCTTGATCCGGGAGATCTCCATCTGGTCCACACTCGACCATCCCAATGTTCTCCCTTTCCTCGGTCTCAGTATTCAACCGGGATGGCGGATACCTTGCCTCGTCTCTCCATGGTTGACGCATGGGAATGTCATGAAGTACCTGGAGTTGCATGACGACGCTGATCGAGCGGAATTGGTGTGTCCCGTCCCTTCGCGTTCTTCGAATGATCACTGACCTTGTCGTATCGCAGATTGACGGGGTGGCCGATGGCCTCAAATATCTCCATGAGAAGGGTGTGGTACACGGTGACGTGAAAGGGGTGCGTTCCATTTGCCTAAGAACTATCCCCGTCCTCACAAGCTTGAACTAGGCCAACATACTCGTCGCTAGTGATGGACATCCTGTACTGGCCGACTTTGGCCTCTCCGTCATGGAAGAACAGAACAGCCAAGGGCAGACCACAACCCAGACGTTTGCAGGATCCATGAGGTGGATGGCACCGGAGCGATTGGCACCTGATCAGTTTGGGATGGGAGCACGCACGTCTCGGACATTCGCCAGTGACATCTATTCTTTTGGCATGACGATCTATGAGGTACGTCTGTCGATGAAACTCAACTGTACTGCGGCTCAAAGGTACAGATCTATTCTGGCAATCTCCCTTTCCACGAACTGGGCAACATGGAAGCATCGATTGCGGTAGTCAATGGACGGCGACCGGTGCATCCCGGTGACGTGGCTATTCAAAGGGGTCTGACACCAAACCTGTGGATCTTCATCACCCGTTGTTGGGAGCAGAAGCCAGATGCTCGGCCGGAACTGTCTGAACTAGCGCAGGATCTTGATGGATCTGTGGACACTGCAGAGATAACCCACGCGTTGGCTGCGACCAGCGTTGCTGCCACTCCTCCGCCTGCATATTCTGCCTTTCCTGGTACTTCACCCCCGGAGCATACATTTGAAGTATACCGGTGCGTGCATGGCCATGTACACATCAGCTCATGTCTGATGTCCTGTAGACCGTGCCCCTTCTGTGATCCAGACAACGAGTTTGGATATGTCTGCGAACACCGTATACCTTGGCTAGAGGATGCACACGAGACTTCACGAAAAGAGTATGCTATAGGCAACATACCTATTGGACATTCGGAATGCGTGACCTGCAGCAGGCTCGCGCCCATCCGCAAAGGCGTCAAACGCGATCGTTGTGCGTACCTCTGCGAAGTCACCCGGCACCCCCCTTGATGCGTTTCTGACTAGGTGCCGTCTGCACGGGTATCTTCTGTGACAACATCTATGGATCATGCCCAGGCCCCCGTTCGGCAATCTTCGATCGCGGACCTTTGCGCCGTCTTGAGGGTACGTCGTTTACCATTCAACAACCAGATGAGCGCTAACACTTTCCAGACTGGTTCCCTGACGAGCCAGCCGCGGAGATGTTCGACCTCTTTACCCAATTCCTCTTCTTCGGCAACCGATTCGAGCAGCAAAAGTTCCGAAGCTACCTCTTCGACTCAGGCTACACATTCTCAGAACTCCTCAAGTCGGTCCTAGATCTGTTCGGGGGAAATGGCCTTCCACGAGCGAGCTGGCAGGGGCCTGCTTTGGGAGGGGATCCAGAGGCGTTCCAGCTAACAGACTGGACGTGTCATCGGTGTGCGATAGATTTGCTCGAAGCGAATCTGTTCGAATGGTACCTACATCAGAGAGAAACAGGCGTAGCGTTGAGTAAGCTGTCCTGCCACAAAGTGCTGGGCACTATATGCTCACTAGCGAGTAGGACCGAGTTCCCTTAAACCGAGACCAGATTGCCCCAAAGGCACAAGCTGCCAAGCCGCGATGGTGGACTACAAGCACGCCAGGGAGCAGAATCACATCTGCCTTCCAACCGTCTCCCAGCCCCTGCAAGCGCCATCCCCTTCCCCAGGCTCATCACGCCCCGCAGAAGGCCCCCGCATCCTCCTCACCGGCAGGGACAGCGTGACCAAGTTCCGCACCGCTTTCCTGCCAGACCAAGTCCATTTCCGGGACAGGGACGGCCAGCCCAGTTTCATCGTTACCATCTACGGACCTGAGCGGTCTATCCCCGGACGGGCGACACTCTGGGAATGGGAGTTTAAGAATGTGAGAGGGAACAGCGAGCCGTTTTTCCAGGTCTACTTTACGGAGAACGAGAGGGAACGAGTGTGGTTCGCCCAGTTCGGCCTGCTGAACCTGACGGAAAATATGGAATGGGTGCGTGCTGAGGGGGGCAGGGTACCGGAGGGGAAAAACCCGGTCTTGGGGGGGAAGAAGGAAGAAGGGACGATGATGTGGCATGCGGCTGTTTGGTGGCAGACGAGCAGGCTGCCGGGGAAGTTTGACCCGGGGCTGGGGAGGGCGTGTATTGGGTATGGGACGAGGGAGATTAGGGTTAGGGAGGGGTTTGATGTGCTTTGTTGGAAGTAGCTATGGGGGGAGGACGAAATCAAATGTGTGAAAGGAGTAAACTGGGGATTAGCAGCTTTCGACTGGCTCTGGTGTTGGATTGGCTGTGTGAAGGGCCAGGCAGAGATATGCGCCATACGCGCCACGTTGTCGACGATCGATTACCTCACACCAGATGTATCTACTTTACAAAGGTATCATCGTACAAGTTCAAAATATTCGTACAGTACATCTCAGCACCGAGGAAGCTGCCCAAGCCACCGATCACTGTAACGTCGATCCCAAGATCTTCATCGCAAGCACTTTCAGTATCTACAACATCAATCAGTATTGTATCCCGGCCATGCCGTTCAACACGGTCGAACCGCAGTCTAAGGACTCACCTCAGCCTTCCTCGCTCCCGGCAAAGCGACAAACACCTCTGCCACGCTCTTCCCCTTCGCGTCCCTAACCTTGCCCAGCCTGTTCCCCGCATACGCGCCCAGCATGAGCCCGGGAACGTTTCCGATGATATAGCCGAGTCCTGCGCCGGAGAGTGAGCCTAGCCAGGTCCAGTACGGGAGGTGGGGGGCGATCTCTGGAGTGAGGAGGTCGGCAAATACGTTGCTGAATGTGGTGTTAGGGTCGGGCTGGTGCGAGGACCAGGAGGAGGGGGGCGCTTCTGGCTCGGGGGAGGAGTCGTTTGTGGTGGTCGATTCGGGTGGAGGGGGGTGAGAGGCCCCGCTAGCGAACGCACTTGCGAATTGCTCAAAGAAGCTCGCACTCGCACTTGCGCCCTCTCCCCACCCGGCAGGAGCACGCGCATCAAGCAGTGCATCATAGTCCCTCCTCCTCCCAGGGTCGGAGAGGACGTAGTACGCGTCGGCTACAGCCTGGAATGCTTGAGTTGAGGAGGCCCTGTCTTGCGGAGAGGAGGAGGGGGGGAGCCGGTCTGGATGGGTGCGGAGTGACTCTTTTTTGTAGGCGGTGCGGATCTGGTTGGGGTTAGTGTAGGGTGGGAAGGGGAGTGGTAGGAGGGGGGCGTACTTGGTCTGTTGTTGCGCTGCGTTCTATGTGTAGTATATGATAGTAGTTTACGAATGCGGCCATTTTAGCTTATGGAGTGAGAGGAGAGGAGTGAAGGAGAGAGAGATCGACGTGGCTTAATGGATTGGCCGTGTACGTCATCATGTCCTAGTTATTCACGTGATGTACAGCCACTAATGCCACGTGAGGCGGGAATGCGCTGAATTGCGGGCGCAGTTTCATTCACAGTCAACGAACACTAACTCTTCCCTCTTCATCCTCTCTCTCTCTCAAACCACCACCTCAACAATGGACGAAATACCCCCAACACCAGGACAGATTGCACTCACAATCCTCGTATTACTCCTCACTGTCTTCCTCTCTCTTCTCATAACTGTCCCTTTCTTATCCCTCGTCATCCGCTACCGCGCTCACTACTCCCCGCGCGCCCTCGGTCTTCCAGAGGACACCACCGCTCCCCTAACAGGCACGACGGGGCTGACAACCGGGCCAGAGATCCGCGGGCTTCTGCACCTCTTATCCCGCATCAGGGCACAGGAGGGTATCGCAGGATTGTACAAAGGCATCTGCCCAGTCCTCTTCGAGTCCCTCCTCGGAGGACTCACGGCTCTGATATACTTTGGCATCACTTCCCCCGGAATGGCAGTTGGTGCTGGGGGGAGCTATGCTGTTGCCCCTACGTTCGGATTGGCAGCTTTTGGGTGGGCAGTGTTTAGCCTTCTGCTCAATCTCCCCATGACCGTCATCCTCAACCGGTGCGTCTTTTCTTGTCCAGATGAACACCACTAACCCCACATGGCAGGTCCATCACCACGCCCTACCGACTTCCCTACTCCCCGCTGCGAGCGCTCCGCCTCCTCCTCTCGCCCACCGAATACCGCCAACCATGGAAGATCTACCTCCTCCCCGGTCTCCTCCCCACAAAACTGGTGCACATCGCCTACCTAACCCTCGTCCTCCCCGGTCTGCGCGCAATTCTCGTCCCTTCCTTCAGCCCCGAGAGCGAGTGGGGCGACACACTCGGTTTCTGGGGCGGCATGGGTTTGGGAACATACGTCGTCTTCCTCCTACTCAGCACAGCCCTGCTCTGCCCATTGGAGATAATCGCTCTCCGGCTCTCGCTCCAGCCACTCTCAGGCCCAAAAGTAGCCAACGCACCGCCCGTGCACCCCGCCGCTCCAGGCTTGGGCACCAACCTCCCGCCAAGTGAAGAGCCCCCGCTAGCAGGAACAGAGGAAGACGTCATCCTCCTCCGTTCTCCTGAGACGGGTGGAGAACCGTATGAGGGCATGAGGGACTGTTATAAGAAGATTAGGCAAGAAGAGGGTGGGAGGGTGCTGGCTAGGGCTTGGTGGTTGACGGCTTTGGCAACGATGGGCGCGGGGTTCTCGTAGACCATTGGCTGCCGGAAGCTTGCTCTGGTCAGCCGGGTTGGGAGGGATGTCCGTATGCTTGTGAGGAGAGGGGAGGAGGAAAAGGTAAGTCCCAATACCCCATCCTAGGATCTAGCACAAATCAGTCAGTCAGTCAGTCGCGTGTTATCTATACTCGTTTCTACATTCTCATGTCCCTGCTGCCGGACTCCCGAGCTCCTCGCGTTGTGCGGTGGGTCGTCTACTGTGGTCGTCAGGCAATCGTCCTCTGGCGCTCTGGTCCACCTGGTCCTCTGGGTTCGGCCAGGAGTGAGTCCGCCGTGTCCTGGATTGACGTTCTGGTGTGCTCGATGAAACGTCGGACGGCTCGCTGGGCAGCTGTTCTGGTGTTCTGGTGTTCTGGTGTTCTGGTGTTCTGGTGTTCTGGTGTTCTGGGTTCGCTGGTTTCCTGCTCAGTAACTGCTTCGGGAGTGTAATCCTCCATCCGCACAGGTATCCTTGTCTGCTCTCAGTCTTCCACCCTCTGGTCCAACGGGCACCTCTCCGCTGGACAGTGCAAGTTCATACTATCCAGAGCCGAAGCCTGAAGTCGTCGAACCATCGGCCACAAGAGCTAGAATACTATCACGTGGTGCTTGGTGCTTGACGTTGTTTGGCCTGCGCGGTGTCGTCCGCCCGCCCCGCCCTCTACGAACCCGGATGCGGCATGCTGGCTGCTGGCTGCTGGTTTCTAGTTTCTGTTGGGGAGGGGACCGAGCGTGCGCGGCGGTGTCATGTCATATCCTGCAACTCTTCTGAAATCTGGTTCTCGTATGTTAGTACCCCAGATAATTCAGCTTCTACCCATGCTCATCCGTCGACAACCCGCGTACGGTCACACTGTATTCCCTGTACGGCGTACAAGCTCCCTCGACGAACCGACGACCAAGAAGCTCTCAGTAGGAAAAGCTCGTCCACATCGGCCTACGGAGCGCCATCCAACCACTTATAAACCTGGCTCAAGATGGGTTGCTCATTCCCGGAAAGCAAGTTATGGGAACCTGGTTTCTCGTCTTGCAACAGTCTGCCCAGTTGGACATTGATGTTCTCAAGTTGAGGAGCTCCCTCTGCCAATCTGCGTTTGATGGGGAGGAAGTTCATTTCCTCCCACGTTTGATGAACGTTCTGCGCACCTAGTGAGTACGAAACCCCTCACCCACAGTGTACATCCTTGTTGACCGTCTGCAGCTGTCTCTCTGCATTCATTTCCCGTAGGTACATGACAGGCTGCCAAGGACCTTTCCGACGCATGATCTGGCGATTTTTCAGTCACGCAGACGAAATCCGACTTTTTCTCCGTTTCAACATTATACCCAACCTCGAACATCTCACGAAGCACGCCTTTCATCAGCGCTGCAACTGTCTCTCTGCATTCAGTTCCCACAGTCGGTAACCCATGACATGTTGCCAAGGAGCTATCCAATCCATGGACATCGATCGTGCATCTATCAATTCATGGGCAGCATCTTTCACGTTTTCTGCTCTCTTTCCCGGGTTTCAACATCCTAGCCAAGCCCACGGGATTCCCGGCTTCTGGCAGCCCCTGGTCGGGTATGCAATTTACCCAAGGGAACTCCCGGAAACTGGTGGAGCCCCACGGGCCTCCACGTTCCACCCGAAATCTGGCCAAGCCAGGCCAGAAGCGAGCCGACTGTCAGCTGCAGGCGGCTGGCTTCGGCACTTCTAGTCGAGCCTATCTTGAATTAGACTGGGAGAGAAGTGAGACTCGCGCCCTGAGTCCGTCCAAATGTTTATTCTGAGAAAGCCTGCTTGAACGGTTTGTCCGGTCCTACAGACTGACGACATGCTGTCGCCGGTCCGTCGATGCTCTACCGATCGTGTTGCACGTACGCCGAGGAAAGGTTCGGTAGTGGGAATGCCGATCTCCCGGAATTGGACAACTGCGATATGCCTCCAGTTTCGGTCAAAGCACAATCGGAATATCAGAATCTGGTCGTCTTGGCGCTCCCAAATTTACCAAGTGATAGCCACTTTCAAAGATGTGATAATAATATGCTTTACATTATCCTCGAGATACCCGGAGAAGTAGGGAGACTAGACGTTAACTAACATGGACAGAGATTCAGTACCTATGTATCTCTGCATCGTCGTATCCTACAGATGGTTCATTGGGGCGTTAATGAAAAATGGAATGACCCGTGATGACCCGTCAGCAGAAATCACTGCGATTTAGGGTTCGAGACCATCTCGATGTGTGCCGTCTCATACTTGAGGTCGCTCTCGGCATCAGGCGAGTTGCCGCCACGCTCCAGACCGAGGGCAGCGGCGTCGATGCCGTGGATCTTGTAGGTAGAGAACTTGCGAGCGGGGACCTTGTTGATGAAGAGCTCGTCGAGTTCTTCCAGGGAGAAGCCCTGGGTCTCGGGGAGGAAGAAGATGAGGAAGATAACTGAGAGGAGGTTGGACGGTCCCCAGATCCAGGCCACCTTTCCGCCTAGGTTGAGTGCGGTAGCGTTGATGAAGTAGGGCGTCGTGAAGGTGGTCAACCAGGCGAAGACGAAGCCAATGGCCATTCCGAAACCGAAAGTCATGGAACGCAGACGGTTGCTTGGGATTTCACCAGCAACGACCCATGCAAGTGGCCCGACGCTGATGGCGTAGGCCCACTCGTATATGCACACCTGTCATGTCCTTTCAGTAACCATGTATCTGGAACATTATAAGACTTACCATTGCGACCAATGCCTTTCCGGCGTCTGGCTGAGTGCGGATCGACAGAGTCGACAGGATAGCCACGATGAACATGGTGGCCGTTGTAACGCAGAAGCCGAAGATGAGAATCTTCTTACGACCAAGGACACGTGCAACGAACGGTGCCATGAGTGCACCAATAAGACCGCACATCTGTAGGATGATGGTATCCACGAACGCGTTAGACTGACCAGCGACTTGGAAGAACACCGTTCCGTAGCCGACAAGGAAGTTGATACCGCTGGAGGCGTGCAGCGTCGTAGCAGCGCAGCAAAGAATCGTGCGGCGCAGATCTGTGCCCCTGAAGATGTCGAAGAAGCTCGCGCCAGTCTCGGTCTCCTTTTCGATACGAATAGCCTCCTTGATAGACTCTAACTCGATATTAATCTGCTCAGAGGTCAAGGCATTTCCGCGCAGCCTTGTCAGCGCCTTGTGGGCATCTTCATCACGTCCCTGGGTGGCAAGCCATCGAGGGGACTCGGGCAGGTAGACCGAGTAGATAATCAGCCATACGGGAACAACGTAAAGGATGATCAGCTGGAACTGATACGAGTGTCTAGAGAGGTCGTTCTTGAAGGCGTTGTTGATAATAGAGCCAATCAGCCCACCGCCAGAGTTGAAGGCTTGGTAGGCAGCGACCTATCGTATCCAATCTGAGTATGTTCTGCATTGATTTGACATGGAAACTCACGAAAGCACCACGGAGATGGCTCGGGGAAGCTTCGGAGACGTATAGCACGACCAGGTTGACGTACATGCCGTTTGCAATACCAAGGAGCAACCTAGCGAAATAGATGGCTAGCGAAAGCATTATCAGTACTGAAAAGACACGTAAAATTAGGATGAGACTCACGGCCTTGAGTGGTCACGAGCTCCTGGATGGTGATGGCGATGATAGCGAGGACCGAAGCAACAATAAATCCCATTTTACGGCCCAGCTGAATGTAATGTTGAAACGATTCCTAACTTTCCAATATTTCTGGAACTTACGTATTTGGAGAAAGGACCCATGATGGCAGAGGCGATAATCAGACCCAGTTGAAGAAGGGAGGTAATCAGCTGCTGGAAGGTGGTCTGTCGCGCAGGCATGTCTGTTAGACCAGTAACAACACTCAAATGGACCACTCTACCTGGATCACGTAGCTGGTCCCGGTTGCGTTCGGGACACCGAATACCTTCAGGAAACCTTGCATCGCTTGCTGAGGACCCGTTAGAATCTGGCCCAGGCACCATACCACAGATCTGAAGAACTCACGAAGCCATTGATAATACCTAGAAAACATGGGGTTGAGCGGGGTTCAGGGATAACGCCCGAAAAGGGAACCTACCCGTATCGAAGCCATACTGGAAGGTCGCGATAGACACAAGCAAGCAGATGATGAAGCACTTGAGGTTCTCTAAGACGGTTCCTTGCGGAAGACCAGCGACGACAGTGTTGACAACGTATCCTCCAGCCATGGTGGTGCAAGGTGAGGGGAAGGGGTTGACAAGGAGGACTTATTCGGTCTGAGAACCAATGCGGGGTAGGTTTTATAGCAAATCGTTCTTTTCCTCACTCATAGACAAATAGAGTCGTAAGGAAAAGGCGACCGGGTAGGTTACGTGGGCGTCGAGGGTGCCTGGGTGCCTTGGCCGTGTCAGGCCCGGTCCGACTGTCCACCAACATTCTCGACGCAATTGGGTTCAAGGTCCTTTTCGGCCAGCGAAGGTCATGCGCCTCATGGTGAATTGCAATCTCAGCCCGAATCACCTTTGTGCGGCGCTTGGAGGACCGCACAGAGAATCAGAACGTCGTCAAGATGCAGGTCAGGCGGGTTGAAAACTTAGCCGCGGGGGAATGGTTCAACCTTGGCAGGTGTTCCCAACATCCCTGCGCATGGAAGCAAAATCCCACCTTTGTTTACCCCGGTTAACCCGCAAATCTCCTCACGGAGAGAGTGACGTTAACCTCCTCCTCCACAAATTGATTTTAATCACTCTGAATCCCTTTGGCCGCCGACCATAGCTCTGGTGCGGCTGATCCTACAACCGCCTACATCGGCCGGATCAAATGTTATGCCGTATACGAGGAGTGCCGAACGTGCTTCCGACTCTCCGGTCCGAACCGCATTGTTCAATAATACTTAACCATGGACAAGCATGCCGTTTCACTTCGCCTCACTTCTGGTTATCTTCACATCTTGTTTCTTTGCTGGCCACTCGAAATTTGACTTTGAACAATGGAGACTATCCAGATCGGTTCCATCACTTGCAAGCCGCTGCACCCTACTTTCGCGTACGTGCCAAAGCTGTTGTTTTGAGTAAGACTGAGTTGGCCTTAGCGCCGAGATCACTGGCGTCGACTTTTCCCAGGTGCCCCTGCCCCAGAATGTCATTGATGATCTGGTCACTGCGCAAAACCGCTTTGCCGTGACCGTTTATCGTGACACTGGTCTGGATGATGCCCGTCACGTCAAGTTCTCTCAGTAAGTTGCAACATTCGTCTAGTATGATAAGAACTTTGGGTACTTACGGATGATCTCAGGCAGCTGAACGAATGCGAGCTGTGCCCCAAGTTCGGCGGCCCCGCTCAGCCTGACAGGTTCTCCGACCCCCATCTGTTCGACGCCGGCAACATGAACCTGGACGGCACACTGATCCAAAAGGACACCCGTCGGTGGTGGTACAACAAGGGCAATGCGCTCTGGCACACGGACTCGTCGTTCAACCAGCACCGGTCCAAGTACTCCCTTCTCCTTGCTCACCTCGTGCCCAAGGACGGCGGAGACACGCAGTTCGCCGACGTGCGTGCGGCATACGACGACCTCCCCCAGGAGAAGAAGGACCAGATCGAAGACCTGGTGATCGAGCACGATCTCTGGTGGTCGCGCCAACTCGCTGCGCCCGAGGAGTTCGAGAGCGTCACACAGCACGAGATGAACGCGAAGCAGCCTGCGTACCACAAGCTGGTTCAAGTCGGCCCAGGCGGACGGAAGACGATGTTCCTCGCTGCGCACTCTAAGCGTGTTATCGGCTGGAGCCAGGAGAAGAGCACAGAGCTGATCAACGAGCTCATCGCGCACGTTACGCAGCCCAAGTACACCCTCGCGGTCAAGTGGTATCATCCTGGCCAGCTTGTGTGGTGGGACAACAGGATCAGCATGCACCGCGCGACGCCCTTCTCTGACCAGATGGAGAAGCGCGATATGCGCAGGACGACGGTGTTTGATGATGGCCCGTATGCGTACGGGGTGCCCGATGCTAAGCAGATGGAGCTCGGCTCGCTGCCTCCCGCGTGAGCAGGATCGAGAGGAATTCGCTCGTTGTATTAGGAAGGATTATTATCTATGTGCATCATTCGTTGTAAACCAGAATTTAGTCGTTGGTCCCAGATTCTGAGGCGTGAATGGGTACTCGATTGCGAGAACAGCTCACTGCGGTATCCTAGTCCGTATCACTATACCAACGCAATTCCATGCAGTCTATTTCCTCCTCAATTTAACTTCGGCACTCGAGCACCGGCTGAGTCACCTCATGAGGAGAGTGACGGATCTGGAACGTGTCGTATCCTGACTCATGAAGGCCTGGAGCATCCCCTCCCGGAGTACAGTAAGCCTCTCAATGTTTCGCTATGGGCGCACCAGTCCTGCGCAGATAGGATATTAATGGGAGCGATGCAGTATCCATAGGAGACGATATGTATTCGCAACGAATACAAGTCAGACTACATGTACTCCCTGTCACGGGCCGCACCTGAGGTTCGGACCTGCTCCGTGTGCATACATTCAGATTGGGACAAAGTGGTGAGACTTTCCGACTTGCGTACATATACAATATACAATACCAATACGAATCCCACTAGTCGGTTCAATATAAGTTAAGTAGGGTATCTCTTTCCTCGGCCTAGCCTAGCCGTTATTTCCAGATTATTTCTCCACCCGTACGCGTTACGCTGTGTCGTCGGCTTCGTTAGGACGCATCCTACAAGGACAGCGTTTACCGCCGCACGCCTTCCGAGCCTGTCGAGCAAAGACGCACTACCGACCATCAACAACCCTCCTCGCAGCACGCAAGAACCTCTCCCTACTCCCGTCCCCCTCGTCGCACGCGTCCGTTGCAGACCTGAACATATGCCACAGCCCGCGGAGGGCGTCTTCCAGCGGCTTGTCTCCCTCGTTCCCGTGCACGCTGGAGTACGAGTGCGAGTGGGGGTCGGCGACGACGACGGTAGGCCCGTTAGGAGGATATCGTTTTACCGGTGTGCCCACGCCTGAATTGAGCACCACCTCCTGCTCCCTAGGACGGGGTTGGGAGTGGGAAGGGATCTCATACCTCTCATCCAGCTCCCTCACGTCGCGCATATCGACGTCCATCCTCTCCCTCTCCCTCTCCAACCGGCGAAACCGTTCTTCAAGAGTGGTACTGTCTTCCTTCTCCCTGTTCCCCGGGGAGCGAGCGAGCAGCTTCTCGGGGTTGACGGGCGAGGGAACGGTAGAGTCCGCCGTTCCCCCAACTTGGGAATATCGGGACCAGTAAGCGTCTTCCCTTCCTTCCCCTTCCCCTTCCCCTTCTCCTTCCCCCTCCTCTCGTTCAGGGGAGGGTGACCTAGACCCCCAGTACCCCGCCGGCGCCTGAGCAGCAGCATGCGTCGCGCGGATCGTCCCGTATTCCTCTTCCTCTTCCTTCGTTTCTGGAGTCCGCGGCGTCCGGGGCAAGGCGGCGATCGCTTCCCCTATATCTGAGTAGGGGAACACTGGGGTCCCGAGTGGTGCAGGAAGGAGCATGGCATCATGATACCCCCATTCACCCCTCTCACCTTCCCAGCGCCATACGAGGCGTACCAACCCCCCGAGGTCGACACAGGCGAGCAAGGTATGCGCATCGGGCATCGTATACCCCGGTCTGGAGATCCTGGAGGGGGAAAGGGAGGAAGAGGAGAGGGATTCGAGGAGGGAGAGAAGACGGTCTGGGGAGGGACAGGATGTTGGCCAGCAGAAGTAGGATCCGGAGGAGGTGTGTAAGAGGAGATGACGTTGTCTGAGTGGGGTGGAGAGGAGGCTAGGGGGGGTTAGTGGGTGAGAGGAGGGGGAGGGGACGGGACGTACTGGGCTGGGAGGGGAGGGACGGGGGGAAGGAGGTATTGGAGTGTGAGCTGGATTGTATGCTCTGGGAGGTTGTACGGTAGACTGGGCATGGTTGTTGTAGTTGGAGGAGGAGGAGGTGGTGGTGGTGGTGGTTGAATGAAGAGAAGTGGAATGGGTAAAGTCGGGAAGAAGATAGCGCCTGTTTACGGTGATGACCGAATGAATAATCGAGTAGAGCAGAATAATAGTTTACACAACAGAAACCACCGCGCTTCTCTGATGAACCGTTCTCGTCAACTTCTTCTGACGTCCTTTGTAGAGAGAAAAGAAGTAAAGAGAGTGAATTATTATCGGATAAAAGAGGGATGAAATGAAGTGAATATGGTCACGCGTCACACCATCTCTTTCGCCGTCTTCAACCGATTATCAGAGTGCATGACAAATCATTCCACATGTTACATCACATGCTGACTCATCTATCCATTTTCACATGCTATTTCATTCCCTATCTTATCATCATCTATCTCTCTCAACGTCCGCCTCCTCGACACAATGGAAATACATACCATAGTATTCACTTCACTCAACACTGTACTACCACAATATGACACTCTAGTACCAGCAACAATCGAAGTCGACCCCGTACAAGGCATCATCACCGGTGTGCACACCAGCATCCGACCCCAGTCAGCCTACAGCACAGGGGTGGAATACCACGACCTAGGGCACAAGTTCCTCTTGCCAGGACTTGTAGAGCACGTCTTGCCTTTATGATGAGGGAGAGCGAAACTAACACGTTGCCAGCTAGTTCCCACGTGCACCTGAACGAGCCTGGACGTACAGATTGGGAAGGGTTCGATACCGGTACTCGTGCAGCCCTCTCAGGCGGCGTGACCTGCGTAGTGGACATGCCGCTCAACTCTTTCCCTCCTACGACGACGCGCGCAAACTTAGAAGTCAAGAAACGTGCCGCTCAGGGCCGCGTATGGACAGACGTCGCCTTCTGGGGAGGGGTCATACCTGGGAACGAGCACGAGCTGGGGGGGATGGTCGAGGTCGGTGTGAAGGGGTTCAAGTGTTTCCTAGTAGACAGCGGTGTGCCGGTGCGCCTATTCCTCTCAACACCGATCCTGCCTGACGGGAAGTAGGAATTCCCGAATGTCGACCGGTCACATCTTGAAACCACACTACCATACCTCCGCACGCTAAACACCCGCCTCCTCTTCCACGCCGAGCTCGCCCCTTCCCTCCCCCCGGCACCCCCTTCCGACCCACACGCATACAGCACCTTCCTCTCCTCCAGACCAGACAGCAGCGAGCTCCACGCTCTCCAACTCGTGCTCTCCCTCCCCGCTCCCCCCAGCCTAAAACTGCACATCGTCCACCTCTCCTCTGCGGAGTGCCTCCCCACGCTCGCACGGGCCAAAGCACAGGGAGTGAACATCTCAGTCGAGACGTGCTTTCACTACCTCTGCTTGTCGGCCGAAGAAATTGGGCAAGGGAGGACAGAGTTCAAGTGCTGTCCCCCGATCCGCTCTTCTGCTAATCGCGCACTCCTCTGGCAAGCCCTGAAGGAGGGGACGATAGACATGGTCGTCTCCGACCACTCTCCCTGTACTCGCGCGCTAAAACAAGTAGACCAACCCGGAGGAGGGGACTTTACCTCCGCATGGGGGGGCGTCTCCTCCCTCGGCCTGGGGCTGGCGTTGTTAGTGCATGAAGGGCGGAAATGGGGTGTGGGGGTTAGGAAGTGCGTACAATGGATGGGGGAGAGGACGGCGGATTTTGTAGGGGTGGAGAAGGGGAGGCTGAGGCTGGGTGCAGGGGCCGATTTGGTAGTGTTCGATCAGGAGGAGGAACATATGGTGCGTTTGCGCTCCTACTTTCTCTCTCTTTCCTTCTTCCTGCCGCCCACCCCGTCCTTTCCCTCCTTTCCCTCCTTTCCACGGACGGACACCCCTAACCACTCACAAACAGATAACCCTTGACACCCTCCTGGTCAAGAACAAGCTCACCCCTTACTCGGGCCATACCGTCCAGGGCTGGGTGAAGCAGACCTGGCTAAGGGGGAAGCTGGCGTATGACGCCGGTAGGGGGGAAGGGGGGTTCGAGGGGTTGCAGCCTGGGGGTGTGTTTGTCTGAACTGGTGCTGGTGCTGGTACGTCAAGCGCGGGTGGGACGGGAATGGGGAATCATAAGGCGAAAAGTTGCTGCCGGAGTTCAACTGCATTCACATTCCCCTTTCCCCATACCATCCTTCGGGTTAATCACTAGCCGTACCACATTTCTGTGTTTCCTTTTCATGGCACAGACGACGATTCTCAATCGGTGTAATATCCCTCCCATACATCCCTCCCAAAAATGACTCCAGTGGGGTTCGGAGCCGATCCGGTTGATCCGAGCACACGCGGTCGTCCAGACCTCAGACGCAGAATTAGATGAACATTCCCTATGGTATATACAACCCCACCAAACAGAAGGAAGAGACCCGAAACCGAAGTTGAAGTTGATTAGTCTAGTGTTTACGTATATGGAGATGGCCTGGAGATGGATACAGTATACAGTGTGACCGTTGCTACCCTTCCTGTTGAACAACACGTTCTGGATGCGGATGAATGGAAAGAAGTTCGAATGACTCGGATGTGGGAATTTCTCAAACCCTGACGACGACGAGCCTAGGCCGGTTGCTACATGCCTGGCGGCTCGTAGCGAGGGTAATGCTGCTGCTGCTGTTGGTGCTGCTGTTGGTGCTGCTGGGGGTGCACACTTTCAGGGCTGATGGTGTAGGTGTGGAACTTGGTCGTCGATGCAGAGGGGGAGATAGACGCAGTGGCAGAGGACAGCGCTGATGATGCCAGCGTGACGCTGCTCGGCATGCTGCTTGAGCTAGCAAGGGGCGAGGGCAGGCCTATCCCATGCATACCGTGCAAGTGCAGGCCTTGGGCTCGTACTTGCAGCGCGCTGGGTACTGGTCGACTCTGAATGTTCTCAGGCTGTTGTCGCTGGTGTTGGTGTTGGTGCACCATTCCCTGATATTCCGATGCCCCGTACGTGCTGCTCCACCCCGAGCCCGGTCGTTGCGTCCCTTGATTGGAGCCACCATGCCCGCTATTACCCTCTCCCCTCCCGTCATCCTCGTGATCATCATCTGCTTTCTCTTCGTCGTCATCAGCTGGCGGCTCATCCGTGTCCGGCTTCGGCCCGTCGTCTCCTTCCCCCTTAGGCTTCGGCCGAGGACAGTTTTTCGTTCCTTTCTGATGGCGTGTGAGCGCGTCGCTCCGCGCAAAGTCCTTTCCGCATCGGGAGCAAGGCCGTGTTCGTGTTTTCCCATGCTTCTTCATATGTCGACGGAACTCCGGGGAACGCTCGGTGGCGAACGAGCAATGTGGACAATGGTACTTGTGGTCTTCTTCGTACCGTACTTCTCTGTGAAGGCGACGACCATGGGAAGGGTCGGATGGACCGGCTTGAGGGTCCCCGTACGGCCCAGGGCCGAACAGGAACGGTCCAGATTGTTGTCCGTCATAGGGCACATTGTACGACGCCGACGTGTAAGACCCTACTTGTTGCTGCGTGGGAGCGGTGATGTCGGGAAAGAGACGGGTCTCGTACGAGGGGGTGGCTCCAACTGCGAACAGGCGGGGTGGTGGTGCCTGACCTGACATGCCCGAGGCTGGCGTGTAGGTAGGGAATTGCACTTGGGCTTGAGAGGGGAATGGCATTCCAGATGCGGAGGAGAACGCAGGGAGTCCTAGTCCGACATTTGGGTGGGCGGTATGGGTCGGACTGTGGGCTGGGACCTGTCCATGATACGATGCGACGGGATATGGATTCTGCGGAGGGAGGTACTGAGGAGGTGGTTGGCGCTGAGTAGCATAGCTAGCCGGGGGGTAGCTCGGTTGAGGTGCATATGAGAAGGGCTGAGAATGCTGGGAGCCAGCAGAGGAGGGAGGCACAGCGGTTGTCGGTCGAGCTGCTACCGCTGTTTGAGGTTGCTGCCTGTACTGATACGGCTGGTACGTTTGTTGATAGATGCCTTGCTGAGGTACCTGAGTTGTGGAGTGTTGCCCAGATGGCGGCGCACCTCCAGCAGTGGAGGGTGGATTGTATGCGAATGGAGAGGTGTCTTCTACCTCATCTTGGTGAGGCATTGTTCCTTGTGGGGTGAACTGAGGCTCACTCTCCACAGTGTAGCTGAACAAGAAGCGCTGTAAACATTTTTGAGGTATCTGAAGAATGTATGGCACGCACTATGGGTGTCGCGGCTGTTCCGGCTGTCGCGGCAGGGTATTCGAGACATTTGAGCCTACAGAGGGTTCGGCTCTACTGAATCCTTGTCCTTGGTCCGCGCTGCCTAGGCCGCCGCCCGAACCATGATACATGACAGCCGCGAGCGATAGTAGCCCAGCAGTTTATGCAGTGTGAGTAGAGTAGAGTTGCACCGAGTCAAGGGATTGCGGTTGTTTGAAGAAAGACGTGGAATCGAGATGCGTGCTACCCGCAGACATGTGTCTCGGTCCAGAGGTACTTAAAGGCGAGAAAAGTTACCACTGCTATCCACAGCGCGCGTCTAAGGGGGCTGATGAATCAGGGAGAGGCTGAGGAGCACAAGTTATGACGGTGTGGAAGGAGAAAGAAATAAGTAGTTGCAGCTGAAGAGCGCGGGGTTGACCACGAGTTCCCGATGACGAAACGCGTGGGTCGACTTCTCGGGATCTTTAGAACTACCGCAGAGGCTAACGAACGAAAGCGGGGGGGGGGGCTGGAGGCAGCAACGCGTGGATGGAGCGAGAGATTTCTGTAATGGGAGAGCGGAGCGGCGCTTGACCTTGAGGAGGAGGTCCCGGGTTTGATGTGATTCAAAGCCCCCGGTATGCCTAAGTTTACACTCCCGGTATACGCGGGTAATGTGTAAGGTAATTTGGCTTGAATTCTGGCTGGGCGTAGTTACTCTGGGTCGTCATTTTTGGTACTAAGCTTGTTTGGGCGCTGGCCCGTTCGTAAGCGCGCATGAGAGCGAAAAGGTAGTCAGGCGGGCCGTGATGAGATTAGGGCGCCCAAAACTTGTCCAAGTCCTCGGGGCTGGACCCGTAATAGCCGGCGGTATGGGGTCCTTTTCACCCTCCACGTGTCTCCTTTCATTTGTAAACCCTATCCGTGCCTGGACACTGCCACTAAGGGACCCGTGCCTGGCCGTCACCAAGGCAGCTTCCCTGCAACTCTATCGGAAGTCTTTGGCACCGCGAGTCCCCGATAGGCCCAACAACCAATCCAGAGAGCGACACATACCGTCTGTCAGAGCATTAAACCTATCATCTTCGTCGTTGTAAGCCACTTATTTTGCTCCCAGTTTTTCCATCCCAGCCCCCTCGTCATCATTTCCGTCATTAATCTTGATCTTTTACCCGTTCGGCTCACGACTCTCGTTACTCAGCAAGAGACGCCCGTTGCCTGCACGGAACCAGTCTGCAACAAGAATGTCCTAGCCAGGTAAGACCAGAAGCCTGGGTAGCTATGCTAATTCTGTAAATCTTCCGTGTCTATCTTATTTGGAACACTCTTTGAGTAGTTGCTATTTTGAGCGAAAAAAAAGTGAATGTGAATGGATGTGTCATGTTTACCGGTAACGAACAATATTGTTGTCAACACAGAGATTCTGCAATGAATTTGCAACCCCCGGTCGGAATCACATTCTTCTAGTGGCTATGGAGCGCACATAGCCACTGATGCGTCCATGTGCTGCATGTCGCGGAGGCTACATTTTCTTCACGCTAGTGCGCCAAGCACCCGCCCTAACTCTTGTTGATGCTCTTGCGGCAAGCCTTTCGGGTCGCTCCTTTGAGACAAGCCGCAGCATCATTTGGTGCCCCGTTCGAATTCCCTGAAATGCACCGCAAATTGCCCTCCAAATTGCCCTCTGAAAGTCGGAGAAAATATTGGATGTTCTCGTAAGGTTTTTTTGGGCATGCTGGCCACGTTTGTTCCATTTATCCACGTGTTATTCATTTGTACTCGAGGCCTTTCCGCACCCTGACATTCTAAGAGAACCAAAGCGCTTAGCACCCATCCTCCACCAACAAGAAGAAGAGAAAAGAAATATCCATACCATGCGTTATCCCCTTCGGCCGGTAGGCGCATCATCGGGCTCATCGACGGGGAAGATTGGAACCCTTTATGCGGAAGCTGACCTCAGTAACAGCGGAATCAGTCCTGCTCGGTCCGAGCCGGCATAGGTCCCCCGGAGCCTACCGTAGCGGCTTATCCTGTGCCGCAAACTTGTCTACATGCCTGACCTTAGATGCGTAACGCGGTGCTGAGGAAGAAAAAAGGAAACCAGCGATATTATCGTCAGTCTCGGAACGCTAGGGCACGGACTCAGCGGGCCGGTCGGTCGGAGGAATGTTGAGGAGTAAAGGCCGCTGCTCGGTCATCCTCCACTTCCGGAAAGCAGACAAGAACGGAAATTATTTCCTCCAGCTCACACAACTCCATCCGTTCCAGTGCTAGGCATCGTCTGAGAAAAGCGGGGTTGTGCCAAAGCAAGAAGTGGGAGTCCAGTCTATTCCCTGTCAGAACCGCATGGACAGTTTTCTGTCTGGTTGTTCCGCACCTATCCTTACTCAGGATCATGAACGAGTAGACTCCGGACTGCACCAATCGGGCCAAGAAGACAGACAGCGGGTGCAATGGACAGATAACGTCCTGTCAGTCATTTCCCATTACGCGTGCACCCTGGTCGAGTTATCAAACTGTACAGGTTCACTCGGGCATGTTCTGCAGAGAGAAAAGAGCCGCGGTAGCAAGGTTATCAACAACGAGCGAACAAGCAACCGATATTGTTTCATCTACCTGCTCCATATGGTCAACCGCGGCCTCCGAGATATGCATAGCCGCCCGGCTGAGGGGCTTGCCTGTGCTCGGAGAGAACGTGATCCGGTGGGGCCGTAGATCCGAGCGCCACAGAGCTGATTCTGAACTGTTGTTCGGCACACGGAGGATTTTGATCACGAGCAACATCACGGGAGTCGATCTCTTGGATCGCTCCCGCTGGCTCTGGGCTTCTTTTGGAAACAGCCTGACGGAGCTGGGGAAACATTGGATCCGGAAGATGAAGGGTTTTGAGAAGCTTAATTGCGATGACAGGAGAACAAAGGATGTTAATACGTGGAAAGGCCGGATGTCACCGAGGGGTGTCTGCCAGTGCCGATAACTGCCGTAAAATGTTTGTCATGATCTGCGGGAACCGCATGCAGCCTTGATTGGGATTCAGGCTGGCCGACGTGTGTCTGGAACGAGATAGAGGCGTCGTTGAGGCAGAGAGAGCGGTTATCTCACCGGAATAGGGGCGAAAGTCGCCGAATCCTCCGGAAGTTCGGCGACAACGGATCGATAACCGATGATCAGCGCGTTTTCGGTCTCGGCTGCTTCGCCGCACGTTCTCACCCCGCAGTCTCAAAGGAATAACAACTCCCGCTTTGTCTTTCTTTCGCTCATTAATGGGTGATTGCGCATCGACCAACCAGAGCTGGGTAATGACAGGATGGATGCATTCGGAGAGATCCGTCGGAGTCGGGGAAGGAATTGGTCAGCTGCCCTTCGTTCACCTGACGCGCGCTAGATGGACGGAACCGATCTAAGCTCCGAGCAAGATGCCAGCCTCCTATGCAATCCACGACCATCCCATCATGCACTTGACTGCGTGTCATGGATGTTCGAGTGTCCAGCAGCCAGGTGAATAAGTCTGATAGTGGCTTTCTTCAAAAATCGACTACCGTGTCCCCCTGGCAGGCTGAGCGCTCAACCCAAGACATCCTGTCTGCTGATCGTGCCTAAAGATCGATGAGCCCGCATACCTTCTCGCTGAGCGCTCAAGTAATCATACCTGGGCAAGACTGATTGTACCTCAGACCGATGCTGTAGGAAAGTGGGGGTTCCCGTTCGGAATGGGTTGCGTGGCCTATCCTTGCTTGGCAAAGGCGCATGATCTCCGCGCCCATCTTGAGCAGGACACAGGACACTAGACAGGAGCACATGGTCCAAGGGGTCAAAGACGAGCAAAGTGAGGTCTATCGAGATTGCAGATCTCACGCAATGGGCATTGGGTTCTGGTTCCCAGGGTCCGCGTGCCTGGAAACGGGAGCTATGGGACGGGCGGCTCTGGAGCGCTGGCGCGTGCTGGGACTGGACGACGTCGCGGGTGCTCGCGGGCGGATGCAGAGGGTGGCCTGATAGGAAGGGAAGCAAATGTGATCTGTCTAGTTGGTGCGAGTGGTTGTCTTGTCTTGCAATGATCACTCGATTAGGGACGTGACGGAGGGTAATAGGAGGGCGGGCGGCGGGGAAGGGACGGGCAATGTGCCTTACCTGGTGGAGTCGGGGTGAGCGCCCAACGGCGCTGCGGGCGGTTCGGGCGGTGGGTGGGCGGTGCAGAGCTGGAAGTACCGGTGGGCCGGTGGGTCGGTGCCCGGTGGGTCGGGGGAGATTACCATAAGTAGGCTGTGCCGCTCGGGCGGATAAGGGATAGAAGCCGCGAATCCGCGAAGGCCCGAAGTCGAGTGCCGATGTTCGCAGTGCACCGCACCGTCCGAAGTTGGACGTCGACATCAAGTTGCTCGGTGCGAGTTCGGTCGGTGTTGGATCGTGTCTTCGGTCGTCAGCTGGCAGCGGATGGTCCAAGGCACCGGTGCGCTGGCTGGATGGACGCGCTCGTGCGGACGAGTATGTTCCTGCATTGCATGCATGCAGTGGTCAGGCACGCGCTGGACTGTAGTTGGATGCAATTGGTGGATGAGGCGAATTGTCCACGCAAGAGACGTCTCGTGACTGTTTCTCATTATGACTGTGTCTGTATCATATAACTTGAACCTCAGTTGAAGACTGTCGTAAGTAGTACTGTATTGATTATTGTCTGGCCATGGGTATGTGCTAGGGATAAGCACGTGGACGATGCACCTCATGGGCTAGTCATAAGGGACAGTATGCAAGGGGAGAAGCGGGTGCAGAGAGGAGAGTGAGCAACAAGAGAGAGAAGATGCGTGCCTGGAAGGCTGTGCGCTGTACGGAGGATGGCCATCCCCGACTGGCATCCGTTCCGCCTCCGCTCTGTCCGCGAGCCAATCAGGGCGCGGATATCCATGGATGGGCCTAGCTCTTTTTTTACTCTTCCTAGATTGTGTCGCTCGTTCACTGCTCTGGTGTCGCACCTTCTTTCACCTTGGGATAAGGCACCTGAATGGCCACACGATGTCGAACTCTTTGAAGCGTACCTTAGTTGCACACACAGCTATGTCTTCGCAAAATAATCTTCTAGCTGTACTCGCACCTCGGAATAGCAGCACTCTGCGGAGACGTAGTGCAGGTCCTACCCGAACGGGGACGGGAGTACGCATCCGCCGCACACACACACTTCCTCCGCACCTTCCTTCCTCTCCCGGATCCGCGCCATCCGCAGGGCCGTCCCTCCCTCACCATATTCGCAACTAAACCCAAGGTGCCCGCTCCTAGAGAGCACAGTAAAGCGATTACGAATTCTATCGATCTCTCAGCTCTAGGCTCGATGGGTGTGCGAGAGATCGGGACCTGAACCTGGGCCAGGGCGGACTCGGGCGGTGTTGGGATTGTTTGGACAGGCCCTGGTGTTCCTAGGGGACACAATTTCGCGTTCCTTACTCTCGTCTGCTCCGTGTCAAAAGAGTTCAAGGCACGCACATGAGTTGCGCTAGACGGGACAATCATCCTTTGACAGGGGAATAAAAATGCAACATTTTCATCCAACCTCCTGACCCGCAACATCTTCCCTTCATCCTCCGCAATTCTCCCCCAACCTGAAAAGGCACAAATACCTCGCACATTCTCTCCTCTCTCCCCAATCCACGCGCAACAACAACCGCATCTGAATCCCCCTTCTCTAACCCTAACGACCGCAACCTTTCCCGCTCCAAACGGATACATCCATCCGCGACATCCCGGCGCTACTTCTCCTGCTGAACCTCCCCCTCTCGACCCCTTCTCGCGTGCTCCCCTCCACCGCACGCTCTGGTACATTATCCCCCTCCCTGCCACACACCTGCTTCCCCCCAATCCCTACTTCTCAACCCTCCCCACCTCAAACCAAAGCGCCCTCATGCCACACCCATACGCACAATTCGAGCCTTTCCCAACGGCTTTCGACTTCCAATCAGCACTCAAGCAGCAAAGTCCTCTCAGAGACCCAACAATCGCTTTCCCAGAGTACGTCGAGTCATCTATCTTACCAGAAATTATCTGACACATTATATTCAACAGGCGTGCATCTCCCCTCGGGTCCTCGTTTCCCAATTCCTCACCCCGCATCTCCGAGTCTAGCAGTAGAGGCACTCCTCTCTACTCGCCAGCCATGAGCCTCTCAACGCCGTTCGACGCTTTCCTCGAGCCCGATCTCTTCCAGTCCCCAACTCCCCCTCAGGCGCCCGCCCCATTCCAGTTCCCCCACGCCCAGCTAACAGCAGACGGTCACGGACTCATCCTCCCCGCCGACCCCAACACTGCCCAGTACCAAGTGAACGGCTATCCTTCCGCCATCGCCGGCGCGTTCTACGACCCGTTCGCCACGCTCCCATTGACCGCCTATGCGCCAGAACAAGTTCAAGACTTGGCACTACACCTCCAGATGCAGACTACGCCTCTCCAACCCCCGTACCCAGGGCTCATCTCCGCCGGCTCCCTATCCCCAACGAGCAGCTTCGATAGCCCCTTGCTCTCTGCACTCGCCTCTCCCCAGCGACACGCTTCCCTCCCCGCGCTCTCCCAGCCCGGTCTTACAGCTCCCTTCCCGCACCCCCCCTCCCCGCCCAAAAAGCGCCGTTCCTTTTCCCACTCGCACGCTTCCGCCCTCCCCGTCTCCTCCTCAGAAGAAGACGACCTCACCAGGGCGAAGATCCATGTCTGCCCTGTATGCGCACGCTGTTTCTCCCGCTCGCACGATATGCGCCGTCATATAAGAGGACACAACGAGGGCTCGCATCATAAATGTGACGCATGCGGAAGGGGGTTCAGGAGGCTTGACGCGGTGAAACGGCACTTGCGCACGGCGTGTCAAGGACATCAGCGTTGAGGCGACATCGACACCGGGGTTTCCAATTCCCAGTAGTCCCAGCGCGGTGCTGTCTATGCGTCGACGTTCTCCCCCCCAATCTTGGGCCCGATTGGAGCCACGAGAAGCCGCCGGTAGAAGCCAAGAGTGCGGAAGAAACCGATCCCTAGCCTGAGCGTGACCTTGCGGAGAGGGCGCAGCTGACTCAGCAACGTGACATGACGGCTCGGAGCGGGTGAGCCGGTGCGGAACGGGAGAGTCGCTCCGTATGATATGATATGATATGACACGAGACGGACCTGAGCTGTTGTGAAGTTTGTATGAGATGAGACGAGACGAGGTGTATTGGAATCCGCTATTTTACTTATCTTTCTCCGGGTCGCACCTAACGGGTGCTGTTGTCGCTGCTCGAGATCGCCCGGACTCTGTACTACTACTCTGTGCTCTGTGCTCTGTGCTCTGTTCTTTCTGTGTACTTTGTGTGCTCTAGAATACCTTATATCCTGTTAACTTCAAACCGCCTAATGGACATACATTGCTTATGTTATCGTCGTCCGGTGCTTGTGCCGACATAGAGTGGAACCGATCACAGTGCATGAGGTCATCTGAATCCTGCGGGCTCGATCTCATGCAGTACTGTACATGTAAGGACAATTCCACTCGGCCTGTATGGCCCGCACTTGTTCATAAACTCGCTCATTTCCAACTCATTAACTTTCTACAATTGACGGCAAATCTCCGGAGCGGAGTCGCACAAGCCAAGTTACGTACGTACAACCCCATCCCGCCGCCGGCGATGGGCGCCGGATGCCGCCTCGCAGGTGCGTACTGCTCACTTGAGGAATGCAGCCGCAGGGCTTCATGTCCAATGTCTAGCAAAGGACGGAACAATCTATTGATGTGGAATGATGTCTAAACGTGAACGTCTACGTAGAAAGCAATCGAAAGGCAACGTAGAAAGAATCTCTATGCGTCTATCTCAGCAAGTCCAAAGTCGAGGCATGTGCCAAGGATCGCCCTATGCATGCCCAGCGGCTACAATCCCTTATTGAACATGAGTGGTCCCTCGTGTTCGAATTCCTTCTCCAGGCTCTTTCCGTTCCCAACTGCCTGCTGTGGGAAGATGGCCACTGCGGGTGGGAGGAAGACGCCGAGACAGATGCCGATGACGGTCAGTTGGGTCACGTTCTGCAGGAATCGACCACGAGGAGTGTTCGAGAAATTCAGGCGGGACATGAGGAGCGGAGGAATGATTAGTGTTGGACTGCGGAAAAACGACATCCGTCAGCAAGCTCCGTGAGACTGTGTGGCAGAAATAATGGCAGTTGCAGAGCAGCATCTGGCAAGAAGGAAGAGGTGAGATCGAACTCACATGTTCGTGGCCACCCTGCTAGCGGCCGTTTGAGCGACCGCCATCGTCCCAGCAATACGGCTCTTGCCGACGACCTCCTTCTCTGCTGCTCCATCTTCTTCTCTCTGCTTCAGGCGGTACACTTCCACGCCATCGCGGATTTCCTTCCAGCGCATGCAGCTGATATTGACCACACCAGCCGTAGCGACTGAGACGAATGGAACAAATTGGGATAGGAGCGCACGCGTGCCGGCGCTGACGAAGCGAAGCCTGGGAACTACGCGCGTGAGGGAAACGGCGATCCCAACAGATGTCGCGCATGCTGCGACATAAGCTAGTGACGACGAATGAGCGAGCGAGCATGGGATCCGTGCTTCACTGACCCATGCCGACCTCGCTCATGCTCATAGGCATAGACTTGTTCGCGTTGGCAAAATCTGGCGCCCAGTGTCACGAATCCCGCCGTGGGAAAACAATCTCTCACTCACTGACACCGACGCTACTATGTGTTAGCGCGCCGACAAGCCACGGACTCTAAAGATGGGCTCACTTTAGGGATTGGTTCGCCCATTGCCAAAAGATCACTGATCGGAGCTGTGAGACGACGTTACTTGACTGCGGTCATATGGAATCTTGCGCGAACGCGTACCGAGGGGTTGGGCATCAACATGCCAGCACAGATAATCAGATTGGTAGGGACAAATGCGGACAGACGGAAAGGGAGTAGGACAGGTTCGCCCGTGTCTGTGATCCGAGCTGAGACATGCCAAAAGAAATCTGGCATTCAAGCGCTTACCTGGATGTATCGACGATTGCACCACTATTCATGTCAATCAGTTCATGTGCAGGTGATAGCCGGTAGATGGAGCTTACGCTGCTGCGCCTTCCAAAAAATTTCCCTCTCTTCGGGTGGGACAAGCAGTGGCCGCAGCCGTTGCGCCTGTATCTCCGCATTGTACTTCTTCACCGTGTCTTGGGCAAGGAGAAGTTCAGAACGTGGGGCGAATAACGTTAGCGGCGATGTAACGTTGAAGAAATGGAATAGGCGACCGGCTATCAAGAACAGAAACCATGAGTAGCGGATCAAAGACACACAATGAACTCATCAAAATTGCGTACCATAGGTATTCAGATCATGCTGCGGTTGGGCTGGAAGGTGGAAGTTAGCGTACGCGTGACAAAAGGCGAACCTGGTCGGTTATTGGTCAGCTTGGAATGAGACCAGCTTACCCAAATCGACCAGTCCCTGCGTGCTAGCGGTCGACATGTCAGAGAAGTTGTTTCAGTGCAAGATCAGCTAGAACAGGTGTGTCCAAATCCGGGTGACAGTAGTGGGGTAAATAAGCTCGCGCTCTCGCGGATGCGTATTGGTGTTCCGAGGTGAGTCAAGATTCGTTTAGTTGATCCCTTCACTAGACGCCCGTTTTCGCGTCTACAATTTCCGACAGAGATATTATCCGATAAGAACAATTTCACCGACAGACCGAAGCAACTCGGAGAGTAGTGACCGCCGAATAGAGTGACCGGCAAACCAGCCTGCAGCAACTCGTGAAAGAACGGGTCGGTTGCAACGCGGTCTAATTTTGTGTCGGCCAATCGGAAATTTTCAGCATCAGTGGCGGTGCTCCTGGTTCTTTTGGGGACCGGCGCAACCAGGGTTCCGGAGGCGGCGCTTGGCAGTGGACAACCCCGCGGGGTTTCAGCCTTTTTTTTCTTCTCTTCACCTTGACGGAGAAGAGCAACAACGGGGTTTCATCGGCTCTGGCAGGGAAACTATGAAGGTTTTTCAATTTGGGCTCCTTGGAAAAGTGCTGATACGCCCACACCAGGGGCTTTGGTTTGCGTTAAGCATCAGAAAGATGCGCATGTGGCAAGCTCAGGAACCAGGAACGAAGGGTAGTCGTTGATACTCAGGACAGTTTTATCACGGCATCCTAGAGAAAGTAGTACATTAACCTTCCTAGAGCCAGCGGTACCATATGCACTCTAGTGTCAGCTCAGTGGACAAAAGGCATTTCGCACACAGATTTTGTTGCCGAACTATAGGGAGATGAAATGAATGCAAAGTCAAGAAGGAGGGGTGTCGTCAGTCCTGTGGGTGAACAGGTTCCCCGACCAGGAAGCTTCCAGCATTTCCCCTTGGAATATGCACAGCGAGGTTTCGGGGAGAGCTGAGAAGAGAACGTTGATGCTATCTAGAGTAGCCAGTACTGTTGTGCTCTCGCTATCACTTGTGATAGACGTTCCCTTTGCACTGGTGATGGCCCTGTTGCAATGCTAGTCAAACTAAGTCCCCATTGGTAGGTCCGCTTGCCCCAAAGCCTGTGATGAATCCAAAACGACATCCAGAACGACACAAAAATCCAGCCGATACATGGACCTAGATGCCCAAGCTGTCGGGAGTCTGAAGCCTCCCCACCAGAGTGTTCGCCTGTCACCTAGAGCCCTCTGAGGGATCTTCCAGCAGAGGGTGACACGGGATTCTACTTGCGGCTTGGTGGGTCTTCGCAGCCATGAAGTCGCACAGGTAGTTCTTTAGGAGAGCATGTGAGGGCAGTCAAAAGTGAAAGATTATGGTGCAAACACAACGGTTGCATATCAGGAAGCCGAAAGGCCAGATGCCGCCTTAAACCGGTGAGGAAGTAAACCGGAAAGTAGTTACCAACCAGCAAAGCTCAAGGAAAGACACACCAACGGGAAAGATGTCTGACAACCTTTGCGCTGGGAACACAGTTCAGCCATGGTTGGACGCGTCCAGAGCTGGAATCGTTCTTCGGCGGGGTAGAGAACAGCCGGGCCAGATAGCTGCCAGTCGGTAGGAGGAAGGCCATTAGAGAAAAGACGTCTGAGTGTAGCCTCATTTCAGGCTTTGAGCAAGTGAGTGCAGAGCTGGGGGTTGACTAGTGACGGCGCAGGAGAACAGCGGAGGCATACAGGGAGTAGAGGCTGGCAGGACACGAAAAGTCCAAGCGAGGCGGATAGGAATAATACACATGAATCTGCGTAGGCAAGCGACAAGGCAGACAGCCAGACACGGGAGACCTGCGACATGTCAGGGAGAGGGGAAATCATTGACAGTCGTCCTCTTGCTGAACTGTGTAAATAGAGCACCAGATATCCTCTTGTGTACATTCGCTTGCACAAGCCTTCAGTCCCAATCTGAGCAGTTAGGGCGGTTTATCCCAGTCGGTATACTCTACTAGTTCGGCTTTGATTGGGTTGGACTTTTGGATGCAGTTGTCCAGTGGAGTAGGATGTCGGAGATCACGGTATCGATCATGCGCAGAGGACCGGTTCCTAATGTGGCAACGGCCAGCAGGAGCAGATCATCATGGTATTGTTTGGGGATGAACAGGCTGAATTAGCCGGGAATACTTACGGGAAGCGGTCGACAGTCGCATGGGCAGAAATAATCCCCATAGCATCAAAGTGCGTTCCTGCTGGGACACAGTGTGAGCGAGCTGCATTCGTTGTGCCCGAGTGAACACTCTGAGTGGTCCCCAGTTGGCAAGTACGGATCGGCGCTGGAGTGTTGAGGAGGTACAGTCCTCGGTTGATGTGACTGCATCTGCTGGAAATGTAATTCGTCGGCAAGGAGCTAGAGTCAGAGGTGTCGGTGATCAAGCGCGCCCAGGACAAGGCACGAGCGCAGTGCGAGCAGCGTGAAACAGGTCGACATCAGAAGTCGGAGCTAGCCGGTTGCTGCCAGGAACCAGACGGAGCCACGAGGTACGCTGATGCACCGGATACAGGCTGCGAAGACAGTAACGCGTGATATTAGATAACAGGCAGGAGTGCAGAGTCCAATTGTTCATAAAATCAAAGCAAGAGAAAGCTGTCCGATCCGAGCCCATCTGCTACATCTAACCATCGTCAGCTAGATCCCTCACAAACCAGAGGACTTACCTATATCGCCGCACCTAAGAACGTCGCTACCAGTACAGCAACTCCTAACCCTGCTATCCCAGTCCCGATCTTCACAGCAGAACTGATATAATTGTCGTCTGGCCCTTGTTGTCCTCCTACCCCAGTAGCTCCCGGCATCGGTGCAGGCCCCGATCCGCCCCCACCGCCGAGCGCTACCGTGCCGGTCCACGTTGCAGTGGGTGTCGTGGACGTGGTGGTCGTGTGGGTGGTAGCGTTGCTCGCGGCTGTTGAGTTGGAGGTAGAGTTGTTGATCGCGGCGGGGAGGGTGACGACAATAGGAGTAGAGACGGTTATGTCCTGCGAGTTGGAGAGGGACTACACAAGGGTCAGAGGGGAAGGGAGAGGAGGAAGGGAGCGAACGATGAATGTTGAGAAGGAAGTTGAGACTGCTGCTGCCGGTGCTGTTGGTGGTGTGCTTGTTTGAGCTAGCACGGCGGGCAGGAGGAGGAGAGCGAAGAGACGCATGATGGTGGTCTTTGGTGGATGGTGGTCGTCAGGAATAAATGGATAAGGAAGGGAAAGTGTAGCAGGAGCAATTGAAATTGCAGGAGAAGGTATTGCTGGCGTAGAATGAATGATGAGACTTGCATCGTCCAATGTGCCTCGGTCCGACGCATGCGGGCACAGCCACATTTCTTTCTCGGAGAAACGGAATATCTTCCACGTGCTTCAAGTCCTTGCGCGTCCGATCTCAGCTTTGAACGCCAGATATCAGCTCAGAACTCCGTACGGGCAACAGACAAAAGATGCAGGAACAACACCCACAACCTTCTGCATCAACCAGCACCAGCATCCCCGCACCCAGCGAACTCACACTACAATGCGTCCATTCACTCCTCTCCCAGGAATCGGATGCCAAAGCTGCATGCCTTGCTGCCGAATGGGTAGTGGAAGACCCTACAATCCAGGAGGAGATCTTGAAGCTCGGTCTGGCGAGGACTGAGACTGCGGCTGAACGCGCTCGGGAAGTATGGGACGAGCGGGGGGAAGCAGGATTTGGGGAGTGGTTGGAGGAGGAGGAGAGGGTGGTCTTGAGGATGAGGGGAGTGCTGTTAGAGAGAGGGGATAGGTTGAAGACGTGGAGGGAGATGGAGAGCGCAGGGAGATGGACGGTTACGGAGGAGGCTGTATCTGCCCCTGCCCCTGCCCCTGCCTTGGAGAAGCAAGAGGAAGAGGAGGACGCCTGGGGGAACGACGACGACGATGCCTGGGCCGACGATCCCAACTTCACCTTCTCAACCGACCCGTTGGCGAACGTCACGCTCACCACTGAGCCCTCCTCTGATCCATCCTCCCTCCCTCCGACCTCATTGACCCGCTCCTCCGCCCCGTTGACACTGAGCGACTTCCTCCTCCGACCCCTCCTCCAGACAGCGTGCATACTCGCTTCCTCCGGAGAGTATATGCCGCTTCAGCAGCTCATAAAACGACATTCGCTCTACCCGTACCGGTTCACTATTCTCTCCTCCATCCCGGAATGGGAAGACGTCGAGCGCCACTGCGCCCTTCTACCAGGGTACGACTGGAAGACAGAACGCGAGTCTGTCCCTTCTAGTGAGCCTTGGCGGGTAGAAACGGACTTCTGCGAGCGTCCTGCTATCATCGACCTCATCTCGCCTTCACCACCGCCTTCGACCGAAGCAAGCATTCCCTCCCACCCGGCACCACTCTTGGCCCAAGAACTCTCAGCATGGTACCTCTCCCGCCTCTCCCTGATCGACAAGCACACCGGTGCCGTAGACACAGCCCTCCAGCTAACCCAGTTCGCCGCTTCCCTCGGCCTCCCAGGGATGGACGAAACGGGGGAAGAGCTTTCCCTCCTCTCCCGGCTCGTATACGATGCGCCCTCCCCTAAAGGAAAAGCAGTAGACTACACGCTCGAAGACTGGCGCTCCCTCTCTCCTGCCCAAGTGGTCGACGCCTACCTCGCAGGCTCCACCCCGGAAACAGTAGCCCGCGAGGTGAAGCGACTCGTCCTCCCGTACCTGTACGTACTCGAAGCGCGAGCCGAACGATCAGGGCATCCGGACCCTCTCCTACCAAGCAAACTCCTCTCCTCCTATCTCCTCCGCTCGCCCCTCCCCCTCGCCCAAGCCCTATTCGAAGCCTCGAAACCCACCCTCCCAGAGCAAACGAGGATCATCAAATCAGACGAAGATGTCGCCCGTCTCGCCCTTGCCTACCTGTATGGTTCCGACCTCCTCCTGCCAGGGGACTGGACATCCATGAGCAAGATATTCGAGTGTCTCCCTGCCTGGCCTTCAGCGGGGGAGGACGAGGCAGAAACGACCGTAGCCAGCCTGGCAGCTTTCGTCGCCCCTTCTACGCAAGCGAAGCCAGGCCCGGAAGAGCTGCTGTTGTTCTTTAACCCTTTGCCTAGAGGAGCGCTAAGTCAACTACTGGACGTGCTAGACGTCCACCTGGAGAGTGGCGAGCTGCTCGCGAAATGGAACTCTCCGGCTCCGCTAAGGTGGTTCCTACAGTCGAAAGAGGACAAGGAGGCGCAGCGCGCTTGGGCTACGAGGCTTACTAGGGGAGTGGCAAGGTCCCTGGGGGCAGAGGATGGGGAAGGTGAGTGGAGGAACCTTTGGGAGGATATGGAGCGGTTAGCCGGGGATTTGGAGCCCGAGATTGAAGAAGAGGAAGGGGAGAAGGACGCATGGGATGAAAATGAGAATGAGGAAAGGGAGAGGGAGAAGACCAACAGGCCAGCGTTTGGTTTGCTCGGGAGGGAAGAGGTTGCAAAGGTGTTCTTTGCGGGGTTGCTCAGTTCTGGGAGTGCGTGTCTTTTGTACAACGGAGGAACGCAGCGGTTAACTCAGTGTGGGCAGACTTCAAGCTTGCGAAGAGAATGCTCATGCCGCCCCGGGAACCGTGGCCCCTCACTGGGCAGGTGATCGAGCACCTTGTTCTTGCTGCCTCGAGGGAGTTCTACGACAATGCCGAGTCTGGGAACTTTCATGAGGGGGAAATGAGTCTCGCTTATGAGTGGTATGCCCCATACTGTCATCCATGACTGGTGCTAACGCTGGGTTCTGGTAGTTTGGCCGTCGCCCCCTCTTCTCCGGCAGTCAATAAAGAACGCGCCTTCATCGAGGCCACCTCCCGACTCTGTTCATACAACCTCCTTTCCCGCTCTGGCAACACGTTGTCACCTATTGAGATCCGGCTAACGAAGGACAAACTCGCGCTTATCGCGCGTCTTCTCTCCTCCACGGAAGACATGTACAAGCACCCCGAGGTCATCTTGGAGCTCGTGGACAAGCTCGGGTTCGCAGGGGACGAAGTAGCCAGGATCAAGGCGCTTGCTATGATCGCTACTACGGCCTTGCAAAGCGAGGACTTTGCCGCTGCCGCAGGGGTGGCAGAGGGCATGCTCGCGCGGGTGTTTGACCTGCGTGTTGCTGATCCTCAGGGGGCGAAGGACTCCGACTCAGGCACGTTCGAAGCGCTTACTGTTTGCTGGCAGACGTGTTTCCAGCTTGGGGGACAGTCGGAGTATCATGATGCTCCTAGGAAGATGCATTTGCTAAGCAACGCGCTCAAGCTATGCCCGGCGGAGAATATCACCGACGTGCTTGCCGCCTGGCGCAAGGTCGAGGTAGAGGTAGACGCCATTCCCGTGGACGAGACGCTCCTTTCCTTCCCCTTGCAGAACGGGAAGCCGGCATCGATCTCCGGAGACAGACATACAAAGGCGCACCATCTCCTACCTCATTTATCGGATATCCACCTCCCCTCGTCCCTCATGAACCAAGAAACAGCAGCCATGGCCGCACGCACATTCAATCGCGTCGCGGCGAACTTCACGTTCCCTGGACGGGCGCGAACGGCGAGTATTATGAGTGGGGAAAGTGATAGGGAGAGCGCGAGGAGCGGGAGCCCGGATTTGGGAAAACAGGCCAGGAGCGTGTTCACGAGAGGTGTGGGGTGGCTTATTGGTGCGGACGAGGAGCAGTAGCCGGGTTGGAGGAGTTAATGGGAGACTTTTGCTGACAACCACCTGTGAAGTGACGAGGCGGTAGTTTCCTACGACACGGCGCGATCCTCTTCCCGAAGGAAATGATTTGATCTGGTCCGGAACAAGTCCCCCTTTATCCTCAGGAGTGAGCTCATTTCAGTAGTGTCGACTGCTACAAGTCGCGCCACCAATATCAAAAACATTATCAACCATTCTGCGCCAAGTCAACTTAGGCATCCATTCATATGTCGCTCCGCCGGCATGATGATTCCGGTGTCTTGGGAGCCCAGCCCCCATCGGAGCTCCGGTCCATCCGTTCATTCACTTGCTCCGTTATATCCGGATGACTCATTTCGGAAGGAAGAAAAAGCTCATTCATTTTTTTCTACATTGAGTCTAGGACGACAACGTTGTTAGGCGTGCCAAAGACTTCTCTTCTATCTGTCGTGTCGTTGGCGTCCTTATAAAATGGTTTCCTGTCAGAGGTCCCTTGAATGTAACCCCCTCTGTCATCAGATTTGACAGAGATATTTTTGGGTTTCCTGCGTTATTGTCGCTGGTCTTTTTCGTAGTATTTTTGTCAGCGAGGTTTCCAACGGTTCGCCGGCCAAAGGGTCCGAGCGAAGGCCAAGTGGCTGTTGACGTAAATTCTGGTAGCGCCGTTCCCCGTTTTGTATTCAAGGCTGGGCCGATCTCACTTGGAAACTCAAGTCTGTTGATTAATTAATCCTCCACCCAACCAGCGACGTTTCTTCCAAACTGTCCTTTGTTGGAGAAATCTCTCGGGAAAACATAGGGCAAGTTGCCACGCACCCCTCCTTCTTTCGCCTAGAAGCAACATGCCGGTCGGACCTCGGAGCGGGATCAAGATAGGATGCCCGACAGTCACACTGTTACACACGATCATCGTCTGACTGTCACCAAGCTGAGTGGACAGCGCTGGAGTCGCGCACAACACATGTATGCGCAGCAGCGAAGCTCGGCACGTCGGAGTAGGTGGATCCTGAAGGACTGTATATTTTCGATGAACTGACAATTTTCTACAGTCAGATGATGCAAAGGAGATAGACTTGCGCGTGGTCCCGTCATTTTCGATCATGTTCCACCCCGCACGGCATCGTGTTCCCCCTCAACTTGGGAGCAATCGCCGGCGGCACCCTGCTGCTGACTGTCAGCAAGGGTCAGTGGTTCTACAAATAGCACGCTGCCCATCAAACCAGCCACCGATATTCCCCTTCTCCTCGGCAACGATCAGGAACCCGGACCCACAAGAAGTTTTCGGCCCTCTGCCAGCTTCTGGACTTTCCATCCGGCTTGCCCACATTTCTCACCCTCTGCACTCCCCCCTTTCCCCCACCCTCTGTTTCGCAGCTGGGTTCGCAGGCAACCGCCAATCTCCAATTGATCATGCCAATGTGTTCCTCTCCTCGATACCGTCGACACCTGTAGGTCCGTTCCCTGGGGATTGACTATCAGACGGTTATATCTCATCGGCGCACGCGTTTCGACTCTTGGATAACTTATATCCTCTTGAATATCGGATTGGAAGTGGACACCAGGCTGGCAGAGGGATGGACACCGATGAACAAGCAGAGATAGCGGCACTCATCGTGTATGCTCAGCACACGCAGATCACTAACGTATGCCTACCTCCCTCCTGCTCGCTATCGCCTACTGATCTTCCCCTAGTATTTCACCGGTATGCCTAATCTTGCCCCCGTCTCCTCTACGCTGATCGTACCGGAAAGTCGCGAGCTTTTGCCTCTTTGTAAGTGCCAGATGTCCTTTGCTTCATGACAGAGTGCTGATGATATGGACAGGTGTATGACTGGATCATCACACTTCCCCTGGAGGCGAAGTATGTATGGCCTTCCCCCTGGTCATTGGGGAAAGTGCTCTTCCTCCTCACCCGATACCTTGCCCTGATAGACACGAGCGTCATCATCCCCCGTACGTCGCCTCAGTGCGCCCCTGTGTACGGCGCCGCTCATGTTCCATTGTTTTTCCTAGGACAACTCGGTAATAATCTAAGCACGACGGATTGTCAGATCCTTTATCAATGGAGCACTTGGAGTATGGTCGTGGGCGTCGCGATTGCGGACAGTAAGTCAACCGCCATCAACCCTCTGGGGATCTATTCGCTAGCCCTGCCCTGTCTCTTGGATGATTGCTGACAAATTACTAGTCATTCTTGCGATGCGTACCTGGGCGATCTGGTCTAGGTCCCGAGCATGGGGATTTTTGCTCGCTTTCGCTTGGTTTTCAGTGTATAGCATCACGTTCGGGACGATGGGAAAGGGGATGTCTGGCCTCACGTGTCCGTCTTCCTGCTCTATGCCCCGTGTTGAAAGCTGAATCTGGTCCGCGCTGCAGTCGGATTACCCCCGGATCCAGCTCTCAAGGGGTGTTTCATCATCGCAGCTGGAGATCAAGGAATCCTATTCATCGGATTCGTAGTGATTATGGTATTTGATTTATGTACGTTCCCATCACCACTGAGCAACTTCCCGGCTAATCGCAGTAATATAGTCACATTCACAGTAACAGCGATTAAAGGAATTGATCATATTCGACGAGGCGATTCGGCACTCGTCTCGGTGCTGTACCGGGATGGGTTGTTGTTCTCGGCTGTACTGTGTGGTACGTCGTCCCCTCACAGTATTCTTGAAGCGAGAAGCTTACCTCATCCAGTGATCTCGGTACTGAATATCATCGTTTTGGAGCACTTGAGTGTACGTGATGGGTTTGAACGGGCCAGGGTTTCGGTGCTTACACCCATCCAGTCCGATCTATTCGACGTCCTCGTCGTTCTCTTCCGCTCGGTCCATGCCATTCTCGCCTGCCGCATTATGCTACACATCCGGGACGCGGCTGGACGAGAACTCGACCAAACTACGGCTGCCATGGAACTGACTGCCGTGCGACCCCCAGCTAGAGGCAGACAGGGCGGAACAACATGGGGAAGTACGACATGGGGCAGTTCTACGGGGTGGAGTGATGAGGAAGAGGAGGACGGAGAAAGAGGAAGAGCGCAAGTACTGAGTTTGACCTTATAGGTCTTTCGACGGTCTGGGATCAGATGACATGCAGCGGGACGCGTTGGCCAGTGTGGCCAGTCTGCGATGCGGTGCACGAAGCATACAGACCAGTGCTGAAGTACGAGATGGGGACAGAAGGAAGCGGCTTTCGTTGGGTTTTATGATCGAAATGAACAGACACGATACCCTGGGCTATCTGTAGCGAATATGTATGTCCTGAGCTCAACTGTATGGTAAATTCTAATAGATGAGTACACGCCCGAGTAAACAACCAGAATTTCCATTTGGGTGTTTAGACCGTGCAGGGATGGTCTTTTTTCTATGCAGAAACTGCGACCGAATCAATCCAATGCTCGCACATACTCCTACGACCAGTATATTCTGTCTTCATGGACGGTTCCCCAAGATGGACGCAGAGCTTATCACAGCAGCTGATGATTCCCATGGCCGTCTATTGTCGTTCCTCATGTGGAGCACTGATGATTGAAAGCGGAGCGCATCATTGCTCTCCCCAGTCTTGCATGACAAGCAGCGGATGGGAAGGTCGCCGAGCGTGTCGTGCATCAGTTGGAGACTTTTAGTTTGTCCCTATTCAACACTACCGGCGGTCTTGGCTGCCACGTCATTCCGCGGTAGCAAATAGAAGCACCAACATACCATCTCCGGCATCTGTGGGGAAAAATAAGCTCTTGCTCGGGACTGTCCCTTGTGCTTGCTCACTTTCTTCCTCCTCTCTGTCACGCTTTGAAAACGGAGATCCGCACGGCAGGACACTTGACCCACTGCGCCGTGCCGGTTGGAGGCAGTCGCAACATACCCTGTCACTTAGCAAGCGCGCGTCATGAGATCTCGATAACAATGTGCACGCGAACGACGGGTCGCATCTGGCAGCTGGGCGCTTTCGGCAGTCCTCAAGGGTATCTCACGTCCAACCCATTCCCTCATCTTCTCGAGAGGGGTATATACCTAAGCAGATGGCATGTGTGCCACATTGCGGACTTGCAAATCGGGCTCCGGCAGCGATTTCCGCATTCCCGTGCGACATCTTTGTTGTTGTTGACGTGTTTACTCGACAGTCAATCGGTCACGAAGACGCTTTGCGTACACAGTGGAGCAGAGATACAACGGGTCACCATGAGGGGGTTATAAGTTGCGTCGAAACAGCACACCTGCCGACCACACCCTCCCTCGCTCGTTCACCCTCTTCCGGTTCAAGATCAACGCATTCGGTCACTCATTCTACTGACACTCTTCAACAACCCACACTCGTTACCTGTCGCGATTTTCTACTCCACCAACCCTAGAACAAGAAGAACCATGCAGCTCATCCTTGCTGCCCTCCTCCCCGCCGTTCTCGCCTTCCCTCTCCCTCACCATGAGCGTCAAACGCTTGCCCTCTCCCTCACCCCAGGTATAAGCCTCGACGCAGCAATCGCTCTCGATGCTGATGTCGATGTACAAGTAGCCCCGCGCATCGTTGAAGTCGATTCGCTCGATTCTGTTTACTCGCGCGATCTTGTTTCCGGCCTTGTCGGCACGCTCAGCAACACCGTCGGGGCCATGGTCAATACCGCCACCGGCCTGATTTCGGGCCTGGAGTCGGAGGCCGGACAGCTCATCCAACCTCCGTCCCCGTCTCGTCTGGAGGTGCATCCATCTCGCAGAGACATCGAGCGCGATATCGTCTCCACTCTGGAGAATGATGTGGCAGACCTACAGGCGGAGGCATCAGCTATCCTTGGTGACCTCGGCGTGCGGGATCTCTTGTCCCCCGTGGAGGGCGAGATCACCGCCGCCGTTGACGAAGTTTCCTCTCTTAGTGATAGTTTCGGTGTCCGCAACGACGAGATCCTCCCCCGCGACATGCTCGACAACCTCATCCACGACGCCGTTCTCGCCGCCTCACCCCTGCACGACCTCCTTCCTCTCAGCACGTACGAGAGCATTTCGGTGCTCACCGAGATCTCGAAGCAGGCCAAGCGCGACTTTCTCAAAGCCTTGTTGGGTACAGTGATGGGCCCTGTTGAGGGCACTGTTGAGTCTGCAGTCGGGACCGTCACCCAGTTGGCCGACGGCATTCTCGACGATGCAAGTGGTATCCTCGGCGCAAGAAACCCCGTCGGCGCTGCTGATCCTGCCCTTGAACCTGTTGTGAACCTGGCAGGCGGGTTAATTGGGGATGTAACCACCAATGTCGATGGTGCCCTGGATCCCGTCACACCCCTCCTAGATGGCGTCCTTGGCGAAGCCACCAATCTCCTTGACGTGAGGAATCCTCAGGCTGTCGCCGGCCTCCTCAAAGAAGTTACCGACTCTGTCCTTGGGACTGTTGGCGGCCTGGCAGGCGGATTGCTGGGCGAGGTCACCGACACCGTCGATAGCGCCGTAGTTGTTTGATGGGCACCGTTGGCACGGTAACTGGGACACTCGGTCAGGTCCTGCCACTCGATGATATCACGAACCTCGTGGACATCTAAAGATTGCCGATGTCATTCTTCCGACAAAAGTGCCGAATTCGTTCCTACCACTTTGATCAGTCCGAATCCCCCAACATTATTCAAGTATAATCACTGACCTTGTCCTATACCACATGCAAAAGCGTTGTAAAACAACTGTATTTGTATATCTGTACACAGAACGAGAAATGAATAGCCTATGTTTTTCTCGATCTTCCACACGTTGGTTGTTGTTCACGAGCCGACCCTATTGCGCAATGCCAAACACTGGTGTACCGAAGACGAAATATGTAACAATCTGCAAGCTATTCCGCCTTGCTTTCTCATCAACCGAATCACCATGGTAGAGGCCACCCGACTTCCCTCCAGCATCGCCAACAAAGCAGACTTCTACTCTCTCCTCTGTACGCAACTCCAAGCCCTCCTCGAGGGTGAGCGTTCCTGGGTCCGTCGTCCGTCCGTCCCTGCCTCCCCAGTCCCTGCTCACAAAGACGTAGATCACGAACCTGTCGAACGCTTCTGCCCTCCTGTTCTGGGCGTTTAGGGACTCAGAAACATGGGGTCAGGGAGAGGGAGCTGTAAACTGGTGTGGTACGTCTATCCCTCTTTTCCGCGTTTCCCAGCTTCCAACACCCACAGGCTTCTATCTCGACTCGCGATTATTCCCGCCTTCTCCCGCTGGGACTACTACTTCTTCCGGGGAGGAGAAACTCAAATCAGCAGGAAAAACTATCCTCAAGCTCGGACCGTTCCAAGGGCGCCCTGCCTGCCTGCTGATTCCCGCCCGACCAGGGGGAGGCCTCTGCTCCGCCTGCTGCCTTCAGCATCAGCCCGTCCTGGTACCAGACGTCCATGCCTACCCGGGTCATATACCCTGCGACGGGGAGACGAATTCCGAGGTTGTGGTGCCCCTTCTTTTGGGGAACAGGATACTGGGTGTGTTGGATCTGGATTGTTTGAGGATCGCGGGGTTTGAGCAGGAGGACGTGAGGGGGTTGGAGAGGGTTGCGGAGATTGTCGTGGGGGGGTGTGATTGGCCTGAGGGGAGGTAGTGGTGGGGATGGTTTGTCCGACATGCCCCAAGTCACAATCCCGATACGTTGTGGAAAGGCAGTTGAAGAATCTAGACTGACAACCTGGTACTTCCCCAACCTCTGTAAGCTAGTCTGGGCACGCTCCAAACGCACCCAGTCACACCATCAAATGAGAGCCATCGCATCAATAAATAATCAATTGGGGAATAACATGTTTTCCCCTACGTGTACACTCAAATCCTGTTTCCAAACCCGCGTTTCCCCAGGCAATAACTTACCCCCCAACCCTCACTCCCAGCAAGCTCACTCAAGGCGCAGTCAAAACAACACTCATAAACGTCTCGTAGTTCATCTGTACCCAGCCGTCCCTATCCTCGTCCATCCGCTGAAACGCGTCCGTAAGGTGCTTGACGACGACGCAGGCGCGGACAAACCGGTCGAACGTCATCCCCGGAAGAAGGTTCACGCGGGACTCGCCTCGCGGGAGAGAGGCTGCGTTGGCCGGGGGAGGGTGGGAAGTGGAAGTGGAATTGGTGGGCCGGAGAAGGTCTGCTGGGGGGAGGTCAACGGTTGGGGCTGCGTTTTTGGTGCAAAAGGGAGACACGTACTCAGCAGAAGGGACGATGGATGGAACAAGAGGAGAAAGAGGGACTGCATTAGCACGGGATGGATGGGCAGGAGAGACAGACGCACCGTATTTCACCTCCAGGAGACGGAGGATACGGGGCGTGAGTCGATAGCCGAATTGCTCGAGGGCGTTCTTGAGTTCCCGACCGTCGATGGACCCGGAACGGTCGGCGTCAAAATGCCGGAACACGCTGGGGAAGCGTTAGCAGGAATTCCTACATGGGGTAGGGAGGAGGGAAGGGAGACGGACTTCTGCCAATCACGGATATACTTCCAAAGACCTGCAAACTCGTCGAACGTGATCGTGCCGCTCCGGTCGACGTCGAAGAGCGTCATGAGCATCTTTACCGTGTCGAGGTCGAAGTCTGCGCACATATTGGGGTTAGCATGGTGCTGCACTGAGTTGGACAGGGAGAGGTGAGAAAGGGAAGGGGAAGGAGGGACAGGAGAGCACAGATAGGGGATACAGCACAGACGCTGGGTAATGAAGGCGTAGAACAGCCAAAAGATAGCAGAGAGGAAACAGACGCACTACTCCAATCCCCATTCAACAGCGCCTGCCTCAGTTCCTGGGCACTGATAGCCCCACTCTGATCGACGTCCACAGCGGTAAACCACTGCCAAAGCTGGGGGTCCGCACCGACCGGGGGTGGGGCACCCGACTGATACCCTCTTCCCCCCGTACGACCATATGCGTCCCTTCCCGCGGGCTGGTTGTACTGGTATTGCCCGGAATAGGCAGGGTTGGTGGATGGCCGACGGGCATGTTGTTGCTGCTGCTGATGTTGTGGGGGGTAGGCGGACATGTACTGACCGGGAGTGCCGTAGGGGGGTTGCTGGTATGCGCCTTGTGCGTAGGGCTGGTTATAAGGCTGTCCGTAGGACATTATGTTCGGTATTCTGTGTATTTATAGATGTATAGATAGGATATAAGTTTGTTCGTTGCCAGTTGGACAGTACTTTGTGCAAGTCGCAGTGATGGTGGTGGTAGCGAGAAAGGAGGGCGCGGAATGCACGTGTCACTGTGAGTAATAAGTGAGCTGGCTATAGTTCCAGATTGAGTTCCTTCCGAGTGGAAACGGGCGTGAAAAGAAAGAGGAAAATGTCGGATTTGTGGTCACGCGCTAAGTACTGGAAGAGTATTGCTTAGATGAGGGAGGGCGCTTCTCTCTTTCTCACTAGTATTCGTGCTGTGCCGCTAACCTCGTGGGTTGACAAGAGATGACTGGTTCATTGCTGATTGGTGATATAATGACTGCGGTGCTGTGCTGTGTCAAATCATATGCTTGGCTCCGTATAAACAGCATGGGAAAACAGCCATGATGCATTCCCACAAAGGGGTTCATTGTCATAGCACAGCCACGTATTACAATTGACGTCATCACAATCTCGTACACCACACCTTGTACCAGTAACTTACACCGTTCCTCGACTGCTGTATACAACATGCCCTCAGATCCACCTTGTCAAGCTCAAGGTACGCCCTCCTTCCCTTCCACCTCCAAGCACTAACCCTCGTAACACCCAGCCTGCGCTCTCCAATCCTGCATGCAGAAACATACCTACACTCCAGAGCGCTGTGCTGCCCACATGTTCCGCCTCTACGACTGCTGCGGGAAGATGTACGACGGGGCATTGGAGGTCGATTCCGTCAGGGGGGGAGGGGGGAAGGAAAGGGAGAGGGAGAGCACGGCCTGTCCGATGGAGAGCGTGACGCGTAGATGGTTGAGGGATCATCCTCAGCAGGATAACGGGGAACGATCATGAGCTCTTTTCCGGCTCAGGCTCAGGTTCCTCGCGCACCGTCTCTAGCCCTTTCCCGCTCTTTTTCTCCATCTCCTGCTCCTGTTCCAGACTCTTCAAGCCCCGCTCAAGCATCTCCCACACCCCTCTGCCTACTGCTTCCCCGCCCCAGTCACGGACGTCTTGAGGGGGGAGGACGACCCTGCATTCCCTATACAGCGCTCCTCCTTGTACGCGTTGCACGGGTGCAGGTACAGGTTGGGATGGGGAGTTGGAGGTGCCTGTTGATGGGGGTGAAGAGGATGTGGTCGAGCTTGCGGGAGGAAGGAAGGAGTGTGATGCCGGTGCGTATAGTGCGTAGAGGACGCTTTCAGCCGCCGCGCTCGGAGGTTTGAGCAAGAAGAACATCATTGGCCACAGTAGGATGTACCTATCCCAAAACATTATCAATCACTTCCATCAAGCCTTTGGTAAAGGAGGTCGTACCTCAGCTGACCGAGGAAAGTTGTACCAGGACCCAAGGCACCCAGGTATGGAGCAGCGATATCTGTCCTGCTAAACCCGGGGCATACAGCAACAGAGAGGATATTACTCCTCCTCCTGCTCCCCTTCCCCAACAACGGCGTCTCTCCATCAGTACCCTCAGAGGTCTTCTCCTCCTCACTGGGAGACGCCTCCGTAGGTTGAGGGACGAGCGCGTCCAGTACCCGCTGGAGGTGTACGCTCCATATGATACTGCGTAGACTGCGGATGCCTTCTTTCTGAAAGGATGATATCTTCCTGTCCTCCCCTTTCCCCTTCCCTTCTCTCGCCTTCCCCTTTCCCTCACCCTCCCCACTCGGAGGAAACAGCACCCCCGGAAACCCAGGGAAAGCCGCAGCATAGAAAGGGTTCACGACGTTGACGATCCTTATATCCCTGCCCTGAGCGCGCAAGAGCATAGGCAACAACAACGTCGAAAGGTGGAACTGGCCCAGTTCCTCGCGGCACGCTCCCTCCGGTTTGCCCCCTCCTTTCGAAAGAGCACTCGCCCATCCATACCCCCGCACAAGCACCAGTGCATCCACCCTCCCCTCCTCGCCCAGTGTCAGCGTCCTCCCAAACCTAGCCACAAACTCCCTCACACTCCCCCCGCTAGAGAGGTCGCATTCCGCAACATGGATCTCCCGGTTCTTGTGTGCTTCTTGCAGGACTGGGATGAGTAGCTGTGCGCTGGAGCTGAGGGTAGGCTCGAGCAGGATCAGGTGGGCGCCTTGCGCTGCTAGGGAATCGAGGATCGTCAGACCTAGGGGTGTGAGTCCACCCTAGGGGCAGTCAGTGACGTGCGTAGATGGGGAGGGAGGGAGGGAGGGCGTACGGTTATTAAGACTGTACGACCGTGCATATCCCTCAAACGGGTGTTGCTGGGTCCCCGAGAGTAGAGGTAGACGAGGATGAGGAACGTGAGGGTTAGCGCTAGGGGGAGGTAGAGCGAAGAGGGGAGGTAGTCGGTGAGGGTTAGCAAGAGGGGAACGGGCATCTTGTACTCTTGAGATAAAGTAGTGGTGGATACTACTAGGACTGCGATGGGATGGGTATTTTAGGTGGTTTGGGTGTTGGCCAACAAAGACGCGTGTAGGGTTCCAGGCTCGTGAATATTTCATGCCATTCCAAGAAGTAATACTATCCAACTGCCGTAACGACATCACAGGATCATAATAATGCGTTGCAGCCTTCTCTTTCCCTCCAAAAAAATCACACTACCGGCCCCTCCTCCGTCGGGTCCACATACTTGCCCGACCCAGGCTTGAACATATCCTTCACAATCCCCCGACAGACCATGGCAATCCCCAGCCTAGACTCCCAAAGTGGGTAGAGGACGACGATGAACGCGGCGATGAAGGCCCAGATGAAGCCTATGACTACCCAGGCTCCGAACCCGGATACGCCGTATACTACTGAGGAGCCGAAGAGGGAGAGGGGGATGATGATCACGAATATGAGCGTCTGGATTCCTGTCAGTACCAGTGTCATGGTAAAACAAAGTGGAGATGGTCGCACCAAGATGACCGAAGACCACGCGGCGAACCGGAAGGCTTTCTTTAGCCCGGCATGGCTCAGTTCCGCAGCGGAGGTGATGCCCGTCTTGTGTGCGGACTCGTAGGCGTGCTCTTTGTCTACTGGGACGGTCGTCTCACCGCCTTGTGCCTTCTTCTTCTCTGCGATCGAGCCTTCCTTTTCAACTTCGTATTCTGGTGTGATAGCCCCTTCGGGCTTGTTGAGTGCTCGTGTGAGATCAAAGTCAAAGTTCTCGGGAGCCTGGTTCCCAATCAGCCCCTGATCAGGCAAGAAAATGAAAGACGAACAATGAGCGACCAGACCACGGCGATGATGCCGCCAACAGCGATTGCGACCAAGTTACCTGTCAGCATAGGATAGTTACCCCCGCTTGTGACGACATTGATGACGTTGTCGTTTAGCTTGGCAGTGGCGACAAGCCAGGAGATGACTGCGAGTACGAGACCGGCGACGGCGCCGACTAAACAGCCAATCTTGTTCGCCTTGCTCCACGTGATGCATAATGCGATTGGTACGACTGCCGATCCGAGGAGAGTGCCCATGAACAAGTACAGCCAGCCCATCGACACCCCGATATAGAAGAAGATGAGGCCACAAAAGCCCATGACGACGGCAAAGAATACGACCATGTGATGGCCCATGTTAAGGATCTGACGCTCCGTCGCTGCGGGGTTTACGTAGCGTTTGTATACGTCGTATGTCAGGATTGAAGAGACAGCGATCAGCTCGGCAGACGTCGCGGATGTGACGGCAAGGAAGAGAAGGACGAGCATGGCCGCGGCGCCGGATTTGCCTAACAGGGCTGCAGCGGCGGTCGGTGCAGGAAGACCAGCGCTCACGTCCGCTGCGGAAAGCGGGAGCATGTCTGGGTCACCCTTGAGTGCGACAGCGGCGAGACCGAGAGTTGTCGCGAGACCGAAAGGGATGGAGAACCATGCCATGCCACCCAGTAAGTATGCTTTGACCGTAGTTTCTGGACGAGACGCAATAGCGCGCTGCCAGTAAGCTTGATCATTGAAGACAGTCGCAAAGTTGCCGATGATGTTGATCACACCAAAGATCAGACCGTTCTGAGGGGGATATTTAGTGTCGGTCTAAGGCCAATCAACCGTAGCTTACAAGGGAACGCATTGTCAGGTAAGATCCACCGGCATTCCCAGAAACAGGACTGGTGGCAGCGGCATTGGTAAGCAGTTCGTGCATCTTGCTGATACTTCCGATCTTGGGAGACGTTGCATAGACAGTGAACAAAAAGGTGAAGATGATGGCGAACAGAACGGTCGTGTGAGTACTGTGAGCGCGTCAGGCGGAAAGACGAGTAAGAAGCCCTTGAACTCACTAGTCACAGATGAGAGTCGAACGCATGCCGCCGACCACGACATAGATGGCAACACCGACAGGGATCAAGAAACAAGCCGCAAGGGTGTTCATGCCAGTCAGAGCCTAGTGCGTCGACGTTGGCTTCCACACTTCGCTAAGATATACAGAAACTTACTGTGACCGTCGCAGATCCTCCGAGAATGAGCATAGAAGACACGATGATGTTGGTCGCGAGACCAAAGAACATCAAGATGATGTGTGCCGTTGTTCCCCAGCGCACACCGACGATCTCGAGCCATGTATGCGCGTTTGGCGCATTCATCTTGAGCTTAGCAGCCAACATTGCGAACAGCAAGACTTGAATAGTCGCGCCTGACGCATACCACCATGGACCAGATATTCCATACTCGTAGGCAACAGCAGATGATTGCCTTAGCCAAGAATCAGCATCTGGATCACACTTTCGTGAGCAAGCCTTACAAAAGCGTCGCAGCCCATGTCCACGCGGAGACGATGCCGGCAGCGATGAGACCGGGTTTCACGCTTCGAGAGGCACTAGAAAACTCTGTGCATGATTATCAGCACCAAAAATTACCCATCATGGATGCCAGCAACGTACCTTCGGAGGTATTTGGTTTAAATGCGGTATATCGGCCCTGTATGGCAGTAATTCCCAGCATGAGCGCCGAGAAGAACAATCCGATCCCGACAACGACACCATAGCCCGCACCTTGCGGTAATACAGTTGCAGCAGAGCTCATAATAGCAAGACCGTAATAGACAACAACGCACTACTGCAAGGTCGAGCAAGTGTAATGACTTCCCCCCAGTTCGAGCACATGCTTATAACGCCCAAAATGCGGGGTCTGATGATTGCTCCACTGAGATGTATTTTCGGTAGTGGGCGCAAATCTTCGAATGAGGTGGTTTGTGGTTGGACAACTGCAGCGATAAGATACCAGCCCCATGCGAACTACGATATTATCGAATGAAGAACTTGGTCAAGATAGGAAGTCAAGAAGCAACCGCGTAGACTCTGCACACACGCGTCTTGCTGATGGAACCCTGTAAAGAAGCCAATCGGAGTCGCGGAACCGGATAGCCAACGGTGCACGCGACTCATTCGTCGGAGTTGTCGGCAGCCCCGGCGAAATACTTGCTGAGAATTCGCAACAACAGTTCATGTCTCGACCCCAAGACGGCTCCTGGGCGATTTGCGCGATCTGGCAGCCAATAGCTCCACCGAATCTGTGGCACAAACCGTTTCCCATAGGCATCCACCTGAGGGTCTTCGAACGCTGGCTATCTGAGTGGAGCATGTGGTTGATTATCGTGTTGCAGAAGCGCACAGCATCTTTCGCTGAACGTTATTCCTGCGTCACACGCACGGGGCAAACAATATCGGTACGATAAGCTCTCCAAGAGCGACATTCGCAAGTCAGGAACAGGAGCGAAAGTGGATATTAAGGGCGGATCAGTCTTGGCTGTCCGATTCCTAGATCGACCGCGGGCAGTCAATCATCAGAGTCCGAGACCTAGACAAAGCCGAGAAAAACAAGGAGATTTTGAAGGAGGGGAAGTTGATTGTTTCACATCGCATATTTCATCGTCTGCGGCGGTATCGCAGCCTGCTTGATCCGCACTTAATTATGCTGAGGGCTGACGTTCTGCAGTATCAACATATAAGCCAGAGCCCGGTTTATAGATGTCCTAAAGTGCGTGAGCACAGCGTGCAGGAGGGCAGTGCTTGAAACACGCTAACCTTGATAATCCCTCTCGCTACCATCGCAAGGCCGCCTCTGGACTCCCATAGTGGATAGAGGACGACTATGAATGCTGCCAAGAATGCCCAGACGAACCCGATAATCACCCATGCCCCGAATCCGTTTACGCTATAGACGATCGATGACCCAAAGAGAGACATCGGTATGATGATAACGAGAACAAGGGTCTGTCAGGAACAGGTAAGTTTCTAGACAAGCTATACTGACTCGTCCCTACAAGGATGACCGAAGACCTGGGACAGATTGAGCATATGGTCCCTTGACAAGTCGAGCGAGGCTGCTCACCAGGTAGCAAACCGATATGCCTTCGCCAATCCCGCACGGTTTAGCTCAGCGGCACCTGTGATACCTGTATTCTGCGCGGTCTCGTAGGCCTGCTCTTCTTCGACCTGCAGGGCTTTCTGTCGGCTTTCTCCCTCCTTCGACTTCTCGGGGAAAGGTCCTTCGTTTTCTGCCTCATCTGTGCTAGCGGTTCCGCATGGCTCAGGACAATTTATTGCTCTTGTGATGTCGAAGTCAAAATTCTCTGGCCACTGGGTTCAAGTCAGCTATACCTTTCCACCTGATTTGTTAAAGAACAGGTTCACAATGAGAGACCAGACTAGCGAAACGAGTCCCCCAACAGCGATTGAGACCAGATTTCCTGTTAGCATGGGGTAATTGCCTAAGCAGAAAGTCAGCTATACAAACAACATATGCGACAATGCGGAACGCTTACCGCCTGTGGTCTATCGCCTGTGAGATCAGCAAAATGTTACAAGCACGGCTCGCGATATGGGCGTACCACAACATTGATCACGTTGTTGTTGAGTTTGGCAGTCGTAACGAGCTACATCCTGTTAGCGAGTAATCGTTCTGTTTCAACTTACGAGAACCCACCCAGGAAATGATACCAAGAATCAAACCGAGGACAGCACCAACCATACATCCGGTCTTGTTGGCCTTACTCCAAGTTATGCACATCGCAATCGGAACAACCGCAGAGCCCAGCATGGCGCCCATAAAGAGATACAACCACCCCATAGAAATACCAATGTAGTAGAAAATAAGACCGCAAAAGCCCATGACAACAGCATAAAGCACCACCATCAAATGGCTCATATTGAGGATCTGTTTCTCGGTCGCATGAGGGTTGATATATCGCTTGTAGACATCGTAGGTCAACAAAGATGATACTGCGATTAATTCTGCGGATGTTGCAGAGGTAACCGCCAGAAACAAGAGAACGAGCACCGCTGCTGCGCCACCAGGCCCGAGTAAAGCAGCGGCAGCTGTTGGCGCTGGAAGGCCTGCGCTGACATCGGCTGCGCTCAGAGATCTCATATCCGGATCACCCCTCAGCGCAACTGCTGCCAGTCCTAGTGTTGTGGCCGGTCCAAAAGGGATCGAAAACCAAGCCATGCCACCAGGAGATAGGCTTTGACTGTAGTGTCCGGCCTAGACGCGATGGCTCGCTGCCAGTAGGCTTGGTCGTTGAAAACGGTCGCAAAGTTGCCGATGATATTTATTACGCCAAAAATCAAGCCGTTCTGATCATGTCAGCGCCATTTATTGTTCGGAAATGAGGCCATACCAAAGAGCGCATTGTCAGGTAGGAACCGCCGGCGTTTCCAGAAACAGGATTATTTGCTGCTGCTATCGTGAGAAGCTCGTGCATCTTCGAGATGCTTCCAATCTTTGGTGACGTGGCATATACGCTGAACAAGAATGTGAAGATGATAGCAAACAGAATGCTCGTATGTGTGCTGAAGGATTGTTAGTGCCTATCGACGACACAATAGCAAGGTTGCTGACTAGTCGCAGATAAGGGTAGAACGCATGCCACCGACTACGACGTATATTGCGACGCCTGCCGGTATGAGGAAGCATGCCGCGATGGTGTTCATCCCGGTCAACGACTAACAGCAATTTCCGTCAAATTTCTGCCATATCGTTCCAATGACCCCGAAACTCACGGTAACAGTCGCCGACCCCCCGAGAATAAGCATGGATGAGATGATAATATTGGTAGCCAGGCCAAGAACATCAGTATGAGATGTGCGGTCGTTCCCCATCGGACACCGACGATCTCCAGCCATGTATGCGCGTTTGGTGCGTTCATCTTTAGCTTGGCGGCGAGCATGGCGAACAACAGGACTTGGACTGTTGCGCCGGATGCGTACCACCATGGTCCAGAAATGCCGTAGTCATACGCTACGGCTGACGATTGCCTTGTATATGCGTGTCAGCTTGTGCGCATTCGGCTCTACGAATACACACAAAAGGGTTGCTGCCCATGTCCAGGCTGAGACGATCCCTGCGGCAATCAGGCCCGGCTTCACGCTTCTTGAAGCGCTTGAGAACTCTATGAAAATGGTGAGAAACACTGGTATCCCAATGCAAGACTCTCCTTTACCCTCAGCATTACTCGGCTTAAAGGAAGTATATCGGCCCTACACAGCGGTGATGCCTAACATCAAGGCCGAAAAGAATAGGTCGATCCCGACGACGACGCCATACCCGGCGCCCTGGGGCAGGACGGTGAGAGTTGTGGTGCTCATGACGTCGAGAACCAGGAAGCAAAAAACAGCGGGTGTCGTCGTATCCAAATAGCGCCTGCATACCGCAGATCACTATATAGGTTTGGCAGAGGGAGCATCGTATATCCTATCTCTGACCAGGGAGCTCCAAGGCAGAAGAGCAGGATGAGATAGCAGACCGGACTAAGCTGAAACGATAACACTGAGGACCCAGCCTAGTCATTTCGATGATAACGCGTAGTGGGAGGTCGGATTGCAACAGGACAGAAGCCAGCGGCGATGTGTTGGCTGTTGGGACAAGTTCCGTACCACAGCGATGTGCTGTCAAAGGGCAAGGGCCACCTAGGCGCTATACTGCTCCGGCTCTCCCGGGCGTAAACTGATGAAGCAATTCTTCAACAATTCGAATTCTCTAGCGCAACGGATGTCTACTAGAGGATGTCGACTTGCATCATCTGCACATCCGGTTAAACAAGAGCATCAAACGGAGTGGTGAGATACGAACATTCTCTTTCCTCTTGCCCCACACGCTCCGTTTCCTGTCCCGTGCACCAATCGCGTAGTTCAAGGATCGCTCATCTCTGATAAACTTCCTGCTGAGCCTGCATGAAGGAGCAGGCCAAGTACATGGCGAACTCGTCATGAGGTGATCGAGTGACGGTTTGTGACTGATGGACAAGTCATTTCGGTCTCGCTAAGCAATCCAATCCATAGGGGATCCGCTGTGCCCAGACGAGTGATATTAGTTACATGATAGCATAGTACAAGATGATGGGGAACGAACTGGGGAGAAACCCCGGTCTTTTCCTCCGGTCCGCACAACCGTGAGTGGCGTACGCCCCCGCCTTGTCTTACGTCCTTCCCACCACCTCCACACGTCCATCCGCCCACCGACACTACATTGCAAATGTCGGGACTGTTGGATGATTGGCTTGGCCAGCATTTGATGGGTTTTGTATTTTCCGAATCGCTAGTCTCTTTTCGGTAAGGATTTGCCGTCGTCGATTTGTGCGGTTGAGTCGGTGTCGCTCCGATCTTCTGCCACCGCTGAACACGACACAAGGTCGGTCTCACGGAACCGAAACATTCGAGGAATAGAAATTGGAATTGAGCTGTGCGCTTTGCTCCCCCACGGACGAGGTGCGGAATGAAGAAAGAAAGAAAACTGCCGCCACACCATGTCAACATGGTTCTATGAATGCTACCGGGGACGGCAGGCAATTAGACTATGATGGGGGGGAACGCCCATCAGGGGAATGCTTCGTTCCCCTACCCACATACATCTGCTCCATCTGCTTCGCGTAATAATCCCCGGGCGGCCTCGTGTCCTCAAGCCATGGCTCAATGGCATAAGGCTGGTTCAGCCCGTTCCTTTCCAAATGCGCGCGCATCTCTGCCTCAGTTGCGTGCAGATGGACCGAATCGACCTTGGATGCATCGCCGCCCTTTGCAGCAATCATCCGCTCAAGTTCCTCCGGGATACGGGAGCCCTTGAGCTGGTAGTTGCGCGGATAGTACGTCTTGCGCTCCCTCGTGATGTGCCAGTCGGGGAGAGACTTGACACCGAGATTATTCAGGATAACCTGCTCGACAAGGGAGTAGTCGGAGGGATCCTCCCGATTGAAGTTGTAAGGCTCCTTGCCGTTGACATGCGGGTTGGTGATGATGCGTGGTTCGCGAATGTAGTTCTTGCCAACACAATGGGGCTACATCACATACGTGAGCGAAATAATAAGATGGATGATGCAACAGAACTCACCAGATGTCCGTGCAGAATAACGACATCACCCTTCTTCCCCACAATCTGTGCGAATTTCTTGCACTGGGGGATGTGGGCGTAGAACGTATCCTTCTTGTAAGGCCATTCGATGCCCTCGGGACGGTCGTGCAAATACTTGACAATGCTAGCAAGCCCATCTTCGGCGACCCAGGTTCCTCCTCCGCCGGGTTTGATATCGGTGAAGAGACAGATGACGGTGAGCATGTTTCCGGACGAGTCCAGGAATTGGCGATACCAATCGTTGTCGGTGTGCCAGCCTTTGAGCTCCTGCGGCGGGATTGGATGCTATGCACACGAGAAACGATTAGTGAAATGTTGCCAAGACGTGGGTGAATCACCCACGTCAGACGAGTTGTTACTGGAACCCGCGTTGAAAATGAACTGATCTCCTTGGTAGCGCTCTCGGACGAGGCCAACACGATCAATCCCTCCAACAATATCCACTAGTAAAACGATCAGAATATGATTTCCGCCATCATCAGCAAGTCAGCATACGGATAGCATTCCACGCCTTGGGCATTATGACCTCATTGAGCACCTCCCTATGCCTCGGCATGGCGACGTCCTCATACTTCCAGGTTGTAGGGTCGTTAGGGTCACCGGGAAGTCTGATCCAGAAGTCCTCAAGCCATTTGTCGATCCATTCCGGCTCCATGCCACCTTGAATCTGGAGCCAGCCATGCTCCAGGAAATGCTGGCGCTGTTCTGGTGTGAGGACCTTGTACTCGATGGGCATGATGTTGATGAGAGCTTAATGCTTGCAGTGGGCGGTATCAAGGCTGATCCAACTTACCTATATACAATTGGAAAGCGGACCAGACGTCCGAAACTCGGAGTGGAGAATAGGGTTGCCGGTGCCGCCTCCCGGCGGGAATTCTCTCTCCACATCCGCACGGCCCCGCCGGTGCCGGTGATCGTGTGCTATCTGGCGACTATCTCACCAAACAAGGTATCGGTTCCTGCCCGCCTTAGTGGGCGTATGCCCGTGGCTTGGAATCACGGAACTCAACTGAATTGAAACCGGAACAATTAAATGTAACCGACCCCTCCACCGGATTCACGCTCACGTCTTTCAGCATGCCGACCACCCTCCACAAAGGCCGCCCACCCCTCCACAGGCGTTTCCTTTTACAGAACGAAGCACGAGACCTTCTCGGGTCGCCCCGCATTCTAAATCGGACCGAAGTGTGGAGAAGGGTCCGGTCTAAAACGGCAATGTGGGGAGAGGATTCGTCGAATGTTCCTGTCAGCATGTCTAAAATTGTCTAAATGTCTCTGACTGGAATCTAGCTTCCTGTACCCCTTTTTGCCGGTTTCGACGGATTATAAGGATTGCCTCGTGCCACATCGTAACTTCTCTGTGCGGTCGCCCCTTCGCCTTCTCTCACCTCCGCCACATTCTTCATTACCACGTCCCTCCAACATGGTTCACCACACATCTGGTGCACACGGTCTTACCTACGATGGTCTCCTCTTGTCCGACGTATTGCCCAAACGCAAGGGATGGTGGAACTATTGGTACTTGTGGCGGCTCAACCTCGCACTGTTGAGCTCTGTCGTGTCCCAAGCCACCGGCGGTTACGACGGCTCACTCTTGAACGGTCTGCAATCCCTCCCCCTCTGGACCGACTACTTTGGCCATCCGGCTGGAGCCCGACTTGGTGCTTTGAACGTCGGTATCTCTATCGGTCAAAGCGCTGCAACCCTCTTTGCCGGCTACGCATGCGACAAGTTTGGTCGCCGCATTCCCCTCGGTATTGGTTGCATTATCGTCGTCATTGGTTCCATCGTCGGTGCCGCAAGTACCAACTTTGGCATGTTCTTGGGTGCACGTATCCTCGTCGGCTTTGGAGATGGCCTTTGCCAGGTTGCCAGTCCCACTATGCTCGCCGAACTCGCCCATCCCAGTCAGCGTGCGCAGATTCAGACGATGTATGCGCCCTCTTACCCGCTTGGTGGCATTATCGCTGCTTGGACGACATACGCGACCTACACCTACACCACGACGTGGAGTTGGCGTCTTCCGCTCGCCCTTCAAGGAGTTTTCGCCCTTCTCCAATTCTTCGCTCTGTTGAGCTGCCCCGAATCGCCCCGTTGGTTGATTGCCACCGGTCAGCGTGAGAAGGCCATCGAGGTGCTTGTCAAGTTCCACGCGAATGGAGATACGGAGTCGCCTTTGGTCAGGTTTGAGCTGGCCGAAATTGACGCTCAAATCGAGAGCGATAGCATGTCCAAGGCATATTCGTGGTCGGAGTTCTTCAAGACAAAGGGCACCCGTCGCCGCTTCTACATGATGTTGTTCTTCCCCTTGGCTCGCCAATTCACCGGTTCCAACCTCATTTCCTACTTCCTGCCTCTCGTCTTGAACAGCGCAGGCATTACGAACAGCAAGACCCAACTTCTTATCAACGGCGGAGTCAACATCTGCGCGTGGGTTTTCGCCATGTCGACTTTCCTTTACGTCGATAAGTTCGGTCGCCGCCCCGTTCTCATCATCCCGATGGCCCTCTGCACTGTTGCCCTGGTCATTTGGACCATTTTGTCGGCACTTATCATCGAGTCCAACTACACCAAGCCTGGTCTCGGGTACGGTGTGGTTGTGATGGTCTTCTGGTTCCAAGGCTGGATTCACATCTTCGATGCTGCCGCCGAGCCGTACATTCAGGAGATGTCCACTTTCGCTCTCCGCTCCAAGATTGTCGTCATGTGGCAGTTCGGTCAGCAAGTTGTTGGCTACATCAGCTCGTTCGCGAATCCCGTGGCCATGGTCAGCTTGGGGTGGAAGTACATCCTGCTCTACGTTTGCCTTGATGTGGTCTACATCATTGTCATGTACCTGTTCTTCCCCGAGACGAAGGGGCTGTCTCTGGAGGAGTGCGCACTGCTCTTCGATGGTATCGACAAGCAGCACGAGGTGGAGGTCGCGTTTGCCGAGCTTGGCAAAGCGCACGGAGGTCACACCACCGAGGCAGACCTTATCGCAGGTGCCAGGGGTCTCGAGCTTGCCGGGGGAAAGGGCAGCTCAGAGCATGTCGAGTTCACCAAGGGGTTGGAGGCGAACGTGTAAAACGAAAGGGTCCCCCGGATTTTCTTCGCAGTTTTTTGGACAGAGACCCTTCATTCACCTCTCTGCGTACAGCACTGTACTACCGTACTGCACTGCTCTAAATGCTAGTTATGACACTTTTATTATTATTGTGGTTGTTTTGACAAACACCTGAGGTCAGCGGCGCAACTTCGACCCGCCACCAACGAAAGACTGTGGGAATCCTTATGGTTAACTGTTCCAAAATCACCTGAGCTCAGCGGCACATCTTCGGCCCGGGGTCGCATCACTTTGCCATCACTGAACGAGAGAAACAAACCGATCACAAATCAGACCGTCACTGAGACATCGGGGCCCCCCTAAGCTGTCATGGAGCCCCGCCGAGCTAGTCTTCAAGGGTGCTGCCTCAGGGGCGAAAATCGCGCATGTTCCACTTTTGTGGCGAGACACGGGCTAGGAACCGAGACTGAGCCTGCGATTGGTCAGTTGGCATCGAGGCGAACGGAGGCGTACTCAACCAAGCTTGGATCGCGAAGTCAACTAAAGACGTTGATTGTCATCTTTCGGCGTGTTCCGCGCTGGATGGCCTCTTGTCATTGGTTACCGCACCGAGCAACCGCCTACCTCCACACCTTCTTCGAAGGATCAGCTGCTTCGCGAAGCCGAAGTATCACCGTGGCGGACCGTCAGAACCGGAGCAACCAGGCAACCGGAAAAATATCGGCTGCTTAGGACCCTTTGTAGCCACTCGATCACGTTCTTACGGAAGTACGCGAACAAGGGGTGGGAATGCGGTATGATTCGGGCAAGCTGCTCACAAATATTCTCTTGATTATTATCGACTTGATATTCAAAGGGTACACACGGTCAAATAACGAGCAATATGACCTGCGTGAAGCTTCAACGAGAAAAAATGGCTGAGTGAACCTCGGCGCACCATGCAAGAACAGCTTCCTCCCTTTCATCCAGTACTCCACGGTCGTAACCCCATTCGCTCGCCTTCCATCATCTGCAAAGAACTTGATATCCACATGAGCAGTCGATTCTCAATTCGATGAGTCAGGAGAGGACTTACGAGCTCGGCAGCGTACTTGCTCTTCGCCTCTGGGTCGTGCAGCGCACTCTGGTTGACGTGAATACGGTGCACGCCAGACGGTGAAAGGCCTTTGCCCCCGGCCTCAAAGTGATGCTTCCAATCGGTTACCCGAGGTATCGCTAGGGGTAGGAAGACAGACATTAGGTACTGCCTTCTGTGTACATAGATTGATGGGGGAAAGACGCACTCGCAACGAAGATATCTCCATTCTCGTCCACACTCAGATTATCCTCATATCGATCTACTTTGATCAGCCACCCAACGCTTGATCAACATCCGGCTTTACTCACTTAAAGGTATCCGATCCACCTCCTTCAGCTCGCCCGTTCGCACTTCTTCAAAAGCTACCACGTCGCCCGCGTAGCTCACAGATACCCACACCTTGCCGTCCCGTCCACGAGCGAGGCCGTTCGGCCCGGACAGAGGCGGAGACGCAACACTACAACCGGAGGTGACGTGACAGAATCCGACATAACCGAAGCCATATGGAAGGCCGAGGCGCATTGCTGATCGCGACTACCGAGCCGAAGGCACAGTCGCCGTCAGCCTCCTGCATTTTCTTGTGAAGGAGAAACATAAGCCGCACCAGACCAAGTTTTTCGCCGTACTCATTGGAAAAGTACACCCATTCGCCCGTCGGCCCACCGAGGACATCATTCGGCGTTTTGATCACCCTCCCACCGTCTTCGATCGTCCGAACCCACTGCAGGCGTTCCTCGCCCACCTTCAACTTCAGGACTTCGATGACGCTATCTGCGCCTTTTTCACGCGCTCCGCCTTCGCGTGGAATACGATGGTTCACTGCGTACACCCACAGCCAACCCTCTTCACCCTCCGCCGGAACGAGTGAAAACCCATGCATGCTTATCCCCATACCCGGATAAGGGTAGCCTTCGATCTCGAGCTTTGTCACGGTGCCTGTGGAGGGCTGGTAGGTGAAGAAGCTATCAGTAGCAGACCGCTTCGAAGAGTCAAGATGATCCATGAAGGGAGTCCAACCTAGTCGGGACTCTAGGGAGGAGCATGCGAGGTAGAGGGTGTTGCTGGGCGAGTGCCAGATCACCTCTGATTGATGTTAGCGCGTCCATTCGCATCAGTGCGGTTCTCGCGTACTTTCACATGAGTCGAGCCCTGCCAACCATGTCAGTCAACAGAGTTCAGGCATAGAAAAACCAGGATATAGCGCACCCTCGATCTCTTCACACCTCCCATTGTTGAAGCTCTCCGCATACCTCCAAGGTACCATGCCAAATCTCGACATTAACGGACTGAGCCATGTGAACCACGCAGCGCCTCCCAAAGCAAACAGGAGTACGCCGACTGTGGCGACGCCGGCAATGGAGGGATCACGTTGTATGGGCTGAAGGGGAGTGGACAGCTTCGCTTTGGGCGGCATTTTGTAAATGAGACCTCTGGAGTTGAATGGATCGTTCGGGGAAGGGATCGGCGATTAGCGTGCTGTTCGGCACCGATCGGCTGATGTCACGCTGCTTCCGCCCACAATGTACACGATAGTAACTTTTGTTCTCTCCATCAGAGTCGACTCCTCAAATTCTACGTTGCACTGTAGCTATAGAGACATGGCAGATCAGCCTCTCGACAGGGTTTCAATGGATTGTAGAACTGGAAGCCAAACAAAATGTCCCACGTGGTATAAGACTTGGTTTTTCATTGCACCGTGTCGTCTCAGACTGCTCTCTCTCCTGTAACGTCCTGGTATCCAGTGTCAAACCTTGCTGTCTACGAGCTGTTTGTTTGCCAAGTTCTAGTAATTCTCGTTCAGCTTTCGGGACTCGAGCGCTGCTTTGTTGCTTACTATTCCTCGCGTTCTAACTGCTGGTCAACTCTTCCCTCTCTTGTATCGACACCCCGCCCCTGCGACATAGCTTACTGTCTCAAAGGGCTTTGATGTCTCAACGCATCCTCCCAGCAGCTAGAAAACCCACCGACTCTCATTTTGCGCAATCTCCCCACCAGCACCCAACTCACGATGGACCGAACCCATCTATGCTCTCCTCGACTCACTCTCTCACCTCCTCCAGACTCAATTCTCTACTCCTCAAGTTCCCCGAGGCTCCCCATTTCTCACCAGCGCCTCTCCCCTGTGGATCGTTCGTTTTGACTGGCACAAGAGGAGACTCGCACACCGCAGATGCGGACGTGGCGCAGTCTACGCCTTCGTATCTGCTCCAGTCAGTCTCCTCCGGCTCCAACAATTCCTGGATACATGTCCCCCCCGAATCGAACACTATCAGCTCGCATCCTCCGACCCCCGGTGATGCGCGTTCCTCGATCCCAACACCTCGTAACGTACCCGAACCATCTCATCCTTTGAACTCAGTGGAATCCTTTGGTCTGTTCGTCTCAGCTCCAGATATCGGCCAAAAAATCCAAGCAACCCCCTCTCTCACACCCAGCTACTCCAGTTCCGCCTCTGGATCAAGAGAAGAGCAAGACACCTCAGAGCCGTCTGAACATGGGGAGGATTGTCCCCTCATCCCACCCGGATCCGGGGATACCACCCTCATGCCAATCGAAGATGCCCGCGCTGAAGTAATCTCGGTCGCTTCCTCCCACTCTGGGAGTCCCGCACTCCCTCCTTTGAATCTCCTCATTCCTGGACTGCGCCCAGCATGGGAAGCTCATCCCTTTGCGTCGATGCTCTCTGCCGACCAACACTATATTACAACGGACGATGAGCGGGTTCTGGACGAGCTAAGCGCTGCTTCCCGCGCTGCGCGTGCCCCGCTTCCGAGAACGAAACTAGGTGCTAGGGGTGGTGGCAATTCCTCTGTGCAAGTGCGGAAGGACGCGGAAGTGCCGGTATCCGGGGAAAGGTCGAGGGAGATCATGTGCCAGTCGGGAGTGCTAGATTTCACCGTAATTCGAGGTAGGCATGCGGTTAAGGAGTGCATGCAGCTGACATATATGAGCGACAGATCAACCCAAGCTCATTCTCCAGCTGCGACTGACAAATCACAGCAATAACAAGCCCACTGCTTTCAAGCTATACCATTCTGCTAATGAAGAGGTAAGTAGTCTACATCGTGATTAATAGAAGGCTGATGGACTTCCCTAGCAACGCAAAAAACTGAAAGTCGAACACAACTGTTTCCCTACACATATGCTCGATCAGTATTCACGCATAATTTCTCTCTCCCCTCGGGTTGGTGTCATTCATCCTATGTGCACGGCCGACATCACCGGTAGGTTGATAACTTCACCTCTGGAAGCATGTCTAATAAGGAGATAGTGCAACTTAAGCTCAGGAACGTTGAACCCGAATTTCTCGAATTCCTCGGCCGGACATCGACGATCGAAGTCCGGACTTTGCTACTCAACCCTACGAAGAAGCGTAAATGGAGCGATTCCTCCCTGAAAAAGATCGTACGTCTCTTCTTGTCAATAAATTCCGGCAGATGATGGATGAGATATCAGTTCAATGACAAGACCCACCGCATTGCGGCCACAAAACAAGGGATCCCGTTCTACTTGCCTTCGCTAGACTACGAACCCTCTCTGGCCCCTCACCACCCAAGTTCCAGCCTTGATTCTGATTCGGATGTCATCGAAGATATCCAAGAAACACGAAGAATGCCGACTGCGACAGAGATATCCCGCAGGAAAGACCACTTGTTGAGGGAAACAGCAGAGGCGGATCGCGTGCTGTTGTCGAGGCTCCAGGCACTTGCCGATGCCGACATCCCTTCTCATATCACGATGGCTCAGGTCAACACTCCGCCGCGTACTAAGGAACGAGCGAAGACGTCTCAAACGTATTTCTATTCGACAGCTTTGTTGTGTGTTGTTGCGATTTTTGCAGGAATCGTCCTTCAAATGATGAGGGAGCGAGAACCGGTTGAGAGACACTGGTCGGAGTATTAACTGTAAATAACCAAGCTACTGAGGCTATAACGACTTATAATGATTTCCTACAATAATGAAATATGTTGATGTCAAACTCAACCGGCCGGTAGCTCCCGATGAAAGATTGGTATTCTACGACATACTATCCTGGACAAAGTGATGAAGCAACAGTAGCGGAGGCAAAAGGTCCTGGCATATCCTGCCTATAGGGTCCTTTCACGGGGTCATCCTGGGCTTGTCCTGACTTCTATGAGTATGTACCTGGTCTTTGCAGCTTCTAATGGTATCTACCCATGTCTACCTGCTTCTATTGGATATTCCTGCATATACTGCCTTTTCTCAGAAGCCTGCCAGATCTGAAATATCCCCCATCTCACACAGCTACAATATCAAGGCAGTATGATTGGCATCTTTGACATGAATAATGAGGGATTGCTTGGGGCATTTTGGGACCAAACTTTTGGGATGGAGGCTAACCACCACAAAACTTTTTTGCATCCACCCCATCTGGGCTTGAGCAAGATTAGACAGGAGTAAGCAGGCTCTTGTGAGTATCTCCCATTCTGTGAGGGCAACAGAATCTAGCAAGGCTGATGAATCGAGAACTCTGAACAGAGATAAGAAGAGATTGAAAGGAGATTTGGGAGAATTGACAGATAGTCCAGAAAGTCAGGGGGTTTAGGGGTTTAGTGAGGATCAAAGCAGAGGTTTTGAAATCAGATAAATTCCAGACAGTTAAGCAGAGGCCAAAGAGTTGAAAGGTATCTGAGAGCAACAGAAAGCTATCAAAACAATACAAACTGATGACTAGAAATGTTTGATCATGGCAATTTCTTGAAGACATCAGATCTAAAGGGAAGTGGTAATGGGCAGAGGCAGGATTATATACTAGAGGGGTGGAAGTAATATGGAAGCAAAGAAAGTGGCTTGGGAACTGTACAGCTACAAATTGTTCTTTCAGGAGTCTTTGGCATGCAGATCGAGGGTGGTTGGGTGTTTTGAGTAGGGATCAGTGAGTCAGAAGGTTTTGGAGGGTTTGGGGGTTCAAAATATGTGCCTTGGTTGAACTGGGATTGACTGTGAGTTGACAGTGGATCAAAATTGGGTGTCCCCTGACACATTCCTCTCCCAATCTCTGTGTTCTTCAACTATCAATGACCTCACCTCCTTACTCTCCCAGTGACTTTGCACTACTATGCTATGCATGTACTGCCAGGAAAACACATTGTTGGCACCATCTCTTGCAACAAGTCTGGGGGTCACTTTTATTGCTATGAGACTGAAAAGAATGCAGTAAGTCTGGGCAGTTTACCACACTTTCTTTTGTCACCAGCCTATTCAGGACTGCATCCAGCACATGTCCTGGTGCTTGGAGATAGGTCCTCATAATGATCATGAGGCCAATCCTCATGGATTGTGAGTTCAGTTTCTCAAAACATGACTTTGGGACTGATCTTTGCACAGAACTGCACTTCAAGGCACTAGCTTTGTCTACACTTGATTTATTGACTATACCAGACAGGGGATGACAGTTATGATCCTGTCTGCTTAAATGCTTAGTGATGAGGAGGGGTAGTGGGAGGAATATCATTATGCTTCTTCCCTTATATTTGGGCTTCTATGTATATCATGCTGACACTTATATCCATCATGTCATAATCATCCCTTCCCAGAACACAGCTTTTGGCCTGCCAAACAATCCTAAGATTGATCTCAGGTGAGTATGTCTCAAACCATAGTAACATCCTGCTGAATGTATCCAAGCATGCTTCAGCAAGTGTATGAAGAATACAACTTACTGGCAAGTATTTCACCAGCTATCAGTCATGAACTTCAGTGCTGAACAACCCCACCTTTGGTGGGGTGTGTCAGACTTGGTTATTTGGACCCTTGGAGACAGTTGCATGGCACTACAGACCCTCACAATGCAGACAATGCACCCCAGTGATAGGGCAACACAGGCTGACTAAGTCTGCTCACCTAAGAGTGCCAAGAGTCTAAGCAGGCAACAAGGAAGTGGAGTAGACCT